CACAATTTAAAAATAATTTGGGGGGTTATTTACCCCCCCCCCCCCCCCCCCCCAAAACAAAAACCTCCAGATCCAAACCGCATCACCAAACGGCCCCAAACTGACAATCCATCTTCCTTCTTCCATAGTCCATCCGCCAACTCGCCCACCGCCTCTCCCTCCTCCCCCCCGAAAACCCCGTCCGCCGCAAGCACGAAGACCTCCTCCTCGCCAAGCTCTACGACATGGGCATCCTCTCCTCCTCCTCCAAGCTCTCCGCCGTCGAGAACAACGTCACCGTCAGCGCTTTCGCCCGCCGCCGCCTCCCCGTCGTCATGACCCGCCTACGCATGGCCGAGACCGTCCAGGCCGCCACGAAGCTCATCGAGCAGGGCCACGTCCGCGTCGGCGTCGACGAGATCACCGACCCGGCCTACCTGGTGACGCGCAACAACGAGGATTTTGTCACGTGGGCTGTGGGAAGCAAGATCAAGAAGAATATTATGAAGTACAGGGACGAGCTGGATGACTTTGAGCTGTTGTAATTCTGGTTTTTTTGAGGGGGTGGTTATGCTGGGAGTGGACTCTTCTTTTTTTTTCGAATAGACTGCACGCATGGGGGGGAGCGTTTTGGTCGATTGTCATGGGGGCTGGTTTGGCGTTATGGGTTGGGCTGGAATAAGTCCTGGCTTGGGTTTCAATTCAATGCTTCAAGATGGACAGATTCTAAATGTCCAAAAATACAACTTGTTCACATCACATTTCTCTACCAAGAAATTGGAACCAGTAGGTATCGTCAAGGCGGGAAAGACGTAGACAGTATCTTGATGCGCATTCGCAGCGAGATATCACTGGTATGTCTCTAATTCTACACTTGTCAAAGTCGCGTTTATATCACTATTCATGATATAGCAAATCGTCAGCAGCATCATGTTAAGCTTTCTCAGTAACAGCCTTGGTGGCAGATGCAACCATGGCTACTCTCCATTCACTGATCAGCAGCCGTCTCTTTCAAAGAGCCAAATAAAGTCACACCACGAAATCCATCGTTGGGAGCATAAAAGGCCCTTGTTAATCATCGAAGAAGAAAAATCCCCCCTGGTATATGGGCAACAGCCCATCGCACTGTGTTTCGCCCGAACCCTCTCATCGACGTTCCGCTTCTCTCATGGTCATTCGTTCGTTCGCTCTCAACCAAATGTATGAGCATCCAAATCAATATTCCATCTCATGAACTTCTCCTCTCCTCTCACGTCCCTCAACGTAAAAATATCCCCCAAAAACACCATCAACATCGTTCATCCAAATCTCATATCTCCAGAATCTTCACCAGCGCCTAAACGGACATCCGGAACTCCACCCGATTCGGCCCCACATTCGTAGGCCTTCTTTGCGTCGACACACCAAAAGGCGCAGCTTGAAGAGAAAAAACTCACATGGCTTATGAGAGAATGAGCTCCAGGTTGATAAACACACTGTGCGTGACGGCTATAAAAACCCACACTCACACGAGCTCCCACACTCTTCCCTTCCTTTCCCCCCTAATCGGCTTATAAGAGCTTGGTTTTCTCCTGTTCTTCATAGAGCCCTTCATTTCTTCCTCGGCGCTTTTATGCAAAAGCGAGTGCCTGCTTGAAACATAACCATTCTCCCATTCACCTTTATAAGAGCCTCCTGAGCGCCGAGGGTCGTCGCCCTCTCCCTCCTTCGCCATGCCCATCTTGGCCACTATCCGAGATGTCCTGGCCGAGCTCATAGGTCCATGGACTTTCATGGCCATCTCAGCCTCTCATATTCCTGCAACAATTCGTGGACTTATCCGTGACAAGAACTATCGCGCGCTCTTCTCCTTCGATGGATTCCGCGAAGCCCTGTTTGGCACATTTTGGGCCACCGTCGGGCCAAATGTCAAGCTCAACGCCGAGCAGCGAGTCATTCCTCTTCTTGAAGGTCGTATCAAGGGCGGTGTCATCCACGACGACGTCGTGAGCACTCCGGTTTATGGCACCGTCATCGAGGTCGGCGCCGGAAGTGGCATGTGGGCAGATGTTTTTGCCCGTTTCCGTGAGAACACCAGCGATGCCAACAACGCAGACGGCCTTCGCAACAGGAAAACCACGGGCGGCCACATCACCAAGATTTATGGCGTCGAGCCCAACCCCATTTCTGCTAAAGCGCTCGAGAAACGTGTAAAGGACCTTGGCATGGATGACACCTATCACGTCGTCCCCGTCGGTATCGAATCCGTTGATGACTCCTCTGCGTGGAATGGCAAGATTGAGCCGGGTAGCGTTGATTGCATCGTCGGCGTCCTTTGTCTGTGCAGCATTCCTGACCCCGAGAAGAACATCAAGCTCTTGTACAAGCTGCTCAAGCCAGGCGGGCACTGGTACGTCTATGAGCATGTCAGGGTTTGGCGCGGAGGCCCGTTGATCAGCCTATATCAGCGTAAGTCAAAACACTCATGATTCTCCTGATGTAGGCATACCAGAGGCTAACCGTGGCCGGCTCTCTAGGCTTCACCAACCTCGTTTGGCCACACTTCTTGGGCGGATGCCAACTTTGTCGCGATACCGAAAAGAATCTTAGGGCCGCTGGTCCCTTCCAGGAGGTCGACCTCGCACAGCCCGCGGGTTCGTCTTCGTACCAGATCTTGCCTCACAAGATTGGCACTCTGACGAAATAAACGCTGCCGTCGAGGCCTTCGAGATAGAAGCCCTCGTTTAGGCAATATCTCGTCTCAAAGCTCGTCGTCGTCGTCGTCATCCAAAAGGAAGATTGAAGTCCTCTTGGACTCGCTGTCTGCCGGTATCGGCTTCTTCTCGTCGACAATTTCCTGTTTTTTGACGTTTATTTTCCCATCCTTGACATCTTCTGCCTTCGTTTCCGTTTTGATTTCGCACTTCACCCCCTCATTCGCTTCCGTTTTTGCCTCATTCTCCTCTTTCATGTTCTGGAGCCCAGATTGAGGCCAGGGGTCCAAATCTTTGAGCATTACCCCGCTTCTTGCTTCATCCTCCTTTATCGCTTCCAGCTTTGGCTTGTGTTCTTGCTTCAGGGTTTTTACCCTTGCGTCTGCCGATGATCCTTCGTGGTTGACTATACCCTCCTTTGCATCAAGGAATCCCTCCTTTTCTAGCTTAGCCTCGCGCCTCTTATAGAATGAATTCAAGCAATTCCTTCTCGCTTCTGTCGTCCAGTTTTCCACAATGAGGGCAAAGTCCGTAGCGTTAGCAAAGCCAAATTCCCTAGCCATCTCGCAAAATTGGCGCAAGCAAACATCCTCGGGCGGCTTGTAGGAGCTGTGAAGCCCGTCACCCTCGCCCTCGTCGCTATCAGCAAACAACGTAGTTTGGCCCGCAACATCTCCTTCTCCAAACAGTCTCATGGCCGCTCGCCGCGAAAGCTGCTCCTCCACCTTGGAAGATCCGACCACTTCGGAATTGTCATGCGTGTACTCCACACCAGCTGCAGTGAGAATCGCTTGCACAGCGTCGCTTCTTGGACGGCTCATCTTTGCCTTTTGGGCTTTTTCGGATTCCAGGGCCTTTTGCTGATCCCCAGAAGTCAACAGGTCTGCCAGCTGGCTGAGTCCTCCATCTTCTGAGTCGGTGCCCTCCTCTCGTTTCACGACTCCTAAATTTTCACCATCTTTGGCCGCCTCTTCCATATCAACATCAGCCAAGTGCACTCCAGCTTTAGCCTCAGCAATGTTTGTCTTGTTCACAATATCGCGCAGCAAGCCCATATTGCTATGGTAGGTGAAGATGTTTGATAGACCAAAGATTTCGCCAGTCCGTTCAGTGTCTTGCTGAACACCGCGGAAATATCGTCGCTCAGATGATGCGGTATATCCAATGTTTGCCTGCTGCTGCTTGTAGACTTGCCGAGCATAGACAATTTCCTCTATTGTTCCCACGGAAATGAGCCGAAAGACTTCGACATCACGAGTCTGGCCAATTCGATAAGCTCGGTCCTGAGCTTGCAGATCATATGCAGGATTCCAGTGAGGGTCTATGATGACCACCTTGTTAGCCGACGTGATGTTTAGCCCAACACCACCAGCCTTGGTCGATATAAGGAACACAAACTGCGTGGGGTCGGAGTTGAAAGTATCCACCACATCTTGCCGCGCTTCATAGCTCAGGGAACCGTCCAGATAGCTCACGGTGTAGCTTGTGTTGGTAAAAAGGTGCTGTAGTATGCGGAGTAACCGCACGCTGTGAGAGAATACCAAGACTTTGTTTCCGCTGCCATGCCAAAATTTGAGCAGCTTCCTCAGGATCTTCCACTTGCCGCAGAACTCAGGATTGACCAGGTTACTAATCCGATCTCGCTTCTCATACAACACTCTCCACGTGTCAGGCATGCAAGTCTGGAGTGTTGCGAGCTCATACGCATGCTTTTCTTCCAAATCTGTCGTCTGAGGCACCAGCAGAGTCAGGTGGTTCGCCAACTTTTGCAAAATTATCATGCTCGGAAAGACGATGGTTTGCCAGCGTCTGCCACTTGGAAGAAATTGGTTGCAACACCAACCTCTCTTGCCCCCATGCTCGCAGTCTTCTGAAATGGTCTTCAATATTTCCACTTCTTTGCTGCCGAGAAAATTCTCGTACGCTTCCATTTGTAAATCCGTAAGGGGACAAAAGACGACTCGGTCGGATTTTTTCGGCAACTGGTCAGCTATCAGGGACTTCATGCGGCGCAAAAAATACCGAGGAAGAAGATTCTCGACCAGTTTCTTTGCGGTCTGCCGTGCGAGACTCAGCTGTGCAACCGTTGCTTCATGGGACTGACCGACGGTCAGGGGTTTCGTGATGGTATTCGACCACTCTGCCTTGGTACCAAAATGACCCGGGTTGGTCCAATCTAGCAGTGTCCAGAGCTCCTCATACCTATTCTGTATAGCTGTTCCCGTTAAGCCGATCCGACAGAGCGCGTTGATCTCTTGCATTGCTTTGGTCGTCTCCGAGTAGCGGTCTTTGAGGCGGTGGCACTCGTCAGCGACGACGGCATCCCACTGCACCATATTAATGGAGCTGCGAGAGTTTTTATACGTCTCGTAGGTTGTAATCATGATTTCCAGCATCCCAGCGCGGGCCGCACCAAGTACGTCGTCCTTATTTGTCCCGTGAAACAGATCCACATGCCACCATCCCCATCGGTTCAACTCGTTTCTCCAATTCATAATGAGAGATCCGGGGCAGACGATTAGTATTTTGGGATACCATCTCTCTCCAATAAGCCTCATCTGCCGCATACGTTTGTCATCTCTTTCGTCTCCTGTTTTTCCAAAGGCCGCCGTCAAAAAAGCAGCGACTTGAACCGTCTTGCCAAGGCCCATGTCATCGCCCAGGATGCCCCCTTCTTGGTACACAAACTTTTTGTGCAAAAACCGGACGCCTTCAACTTGGTAATCGCGCAGGTACTGAGCGATCGATGCGGGAATGAGACCACCTGATTGAGGAAGTTCGACATCCTTGTAGGGCCGAGACGGTTTGATGCCACTCCTTGGGGCGAAATCCGGTCTCTCCTTGAGCTCTCCAAGCCTCCTTGACTCATCGAATTCGACATCTATATAACCAGGAGGTAGCATCAGGGCTGATTCGTGGTATAATCTCTTCTTGGCGTCAAAAGCTCGCCTTCGCTCAACCAAGTAGTCCGGAAGATCAACCTTCTCCAACTCGTCTTCTGTGTGCTTCACATCTCCGGTCACCCTTGAAGCCTTCTTTTTCCCGGCAAATTTTCGTTTTGTTCTCCTTTTCTTTGGCTTGGAGGGCGCGCTGTCTGATTCATCTGTCCACTGCACCTTTTCCGTGAACTCCACTTCGATCTTCCTTTTCAGAGGAGGTGGTTTGGCCAGTCCCTCAAAGTCTTCCTCAGAGTCTGACTCTGTATCATCATCTGAGAGTTCGATGATATCCGTGGCCATTCTGAGCGTGAAAATGGCAGCAAGAGCCACAATATATTCGTCGAGAGAAACGCGTAGCGATAACACGAGGAGGTGGTGAATTGGTGTGAGATCACGTGACGCATCCTGTGCTGCCTGCCTGAGTTCAAAGTTGTGATTACGGCCTTGCCTTAGTAGGTACCTGGACCTGTAATTATAGTGGTGTGAAAGCTTCCAGTCAACTCACAGCAACTGTGCTCGACCTGTTTGCTCCTATTCCTCACATAAACAAAGAAGAAAGACCGGACTGATGAATATGGTGACAGCTTTAGAATTAGCCAATCCCATCACTGGCGCAGCGCAAATAGCCGTGCATCTCATTATTGACGTCATACCCTGTATACCTGGAATTGGCCTATAAGACGCTGTAGATTTAACCTTCTCGGATGCTTTAGGCGCTGAGTAAAGAAGTAGCGGGTACATCGAGCCGCTAATATCAGATCCATGGATCCATTCTCTCCCGGTTGCATCTTTTACAAGCACCGCCAAAACTCGATCACGAGAATGTTGAAAGAATCGCTACTCCGTACAGCCAGAGATTATGACAAGAACGCAAATTAGTTTCAGCTTTGATGGTTTATCATCAATCATATCGATAGCGGCATTTATCTTGATATATGCCAGCCCGCTCCATACTTGACATGCAACCGTCTCTGGTTCAGTCCAGGTACATGTACCTATCGCGTATGTGCCGCTCGCCTCCGCCTTGAACTTGCCTTTTCCCATCTACCTATAGTACCTACCTAGGTATGCCTCGAACAGTCCAATTTGACAATCTCACCGACAACTCAATAGGTATCAACGTTCTACACAAATGGCCAACATGTTCAACAACTTTGAGGCGGTCCGGTGACCAGGCCAAGGCAATTCTCCTCTCTCTTTGCACCAACCCTGCCATTCGTGCCAAGGTTGCCTCTTATGCCAAACAACTCGATCAAGAGGAATCAAGCAAGAAGCGGAAACCCAGTTTACCATTGCCATTTGTGTGCAGTGTGACCAACCGTTCTACGACGAGGACAACGATGACACTAGCTGTGTCCATCACGATGGTACGTCCTTTTGATGCGTCTTGGGGCAATTAACATGCCAGTTCAGGCATCGGTAACCGTACATTGCAGGCTTGCTAGAGGTCAATTACAAAGCTGAAGTCTGGGAAAACATTGATGACGATGGCCCAATTGATTCTTCAGAAAATGAGGACGAGGTTCCCGAGGGCTTTAACTGGACCTGTTGTGGCACAGTCGGCACCTCTGCGGGTTGTAAAAAGGGCCCGCATCAGGCAGATCCCGAAAAGTCGAGGAAAGGCGGTCATGCTTCGGGGAGCAAGCCCAAGAATGATGAGTAAGGGGAGATATAACAGAGGCGTTATCGTTGAGCGCATTGGTGTTTTGAGCAGAGTAAGCCAAGGGACAAGGTCGCAACGACTAGGGACATATGGCGTATTGGTGCAACCGTGCAAGTCTTTCAATCGGGTGTTGGTCCAAAGATATGAGTGCAGTTTCCGGAGCAATAATATCATCTTTGCTGACTTATTTGAGTCGTCCCCCACTAGTGAAATGAAGCTGTTGAAGGCAGTCCGTCATCGTAGCACATCTCGGGTTCATGTTGATGACCACATCACCACCGTTTAGCGCCAAAGCTCTCCTGGGCCCGCTCTCTCGATGAGATAATCTCCCTGCACGAATCAGGGCTGAAGTCTGGGGAAATTCCGTATGAAAGAGAAAGACCCAGCACAATCGATACACGTTGTCTAGCTATGCTGAGCGGCTTATGCTAGCAAGGCCTGTGTGGACAAGTCGTGTCGAGGGTTTGCTCAACCGAATGAGCACGATGGCTCGAACTATTAAAAGACGTCGGCTCCCAAAGCCAGAATTGTAGAAAATGAGTATACAATCGCCGCTAGCCGATCATCTTAAGTCATAAAGCGCCTCGGAATTAGACCAAAATGGCAGCAAATCTCACTTTATCCCCCGAAGAAGCGCGGGATCGCATCGCCATCCGCAAAGTCATCGATCGTTATGCCCACTGCGCCGATCACCGTCTAGCAGACGAGCAAATGTCGCTCTTCACTGAGGATACGAACTTTGTCGTGTACATGCAAGGGGAAGGTACGGAGCCCTCGCAGGTGGTCTCGAAAAGAGAAGACTTGAGACCCGTCTTTGAGTTCCTCCTCGGATATAGCCGCACGACGCACTTCAACGGACAGAGCATTATCGACATCGGACCGGACGGCAAGACCGCCACGGGAGAAACTTATTGCATGGCATATCATTTGTCTGAAAAGGACGGCCAGCGACAGATGTATATTGGCAGTTTGCGGTATGAGGACACTCTGACGAAAGGAGATGATGGGACTTGGTTGTTTTCTGAGCGGAAGTTGTATCTTGACTGGTCGGAGACGAGGCCGTCCAACCCATAGTTCTTCCAGTGAGCTTCAGGTAGACGCTGTTGATTGGAAGGAATTTGCTGAATGGCTTGCATTATGAATATCGCCGATGTCGTACAAGCTTCGATCTATTGGACTTTCCTATCCATAGGATATTAGCCATGTGCCCTCCCGCTAGCTAGAATCTAGTCATGTAAGCTCACCTTTATTTCATAGAATCCATGTATCCTCTTGCACCTTTGATCTGAAGAAGACTGGATCTCTTGCTGTCGATGATCAAATTGAATGATGCCTAATTCGTCAACCTAGATGCCATGTTTTTCGGTTGACACATTCTCATATCACGGATTGTTGCGTAAGTGCGCGTTTGAATGAATTAACAAAGAGAATCAAATTGAATTATTCTGTGTTGCGCCGAAATATGCTACGCACCCATAGTCACCCAAACGCCTGAAGTGTATATATATATATATACAGTCGAAAGATGGACATCTCTATATCTTTTTGCTGTCCCACTCTATACCATTGCCTCTATCGTCTCTTACAGGCGACCGATCTGTCCGTCCAAAGCCCACTTGCAAAGGACGGGCCAACCAAGCATGGCGCCGAAGATGGGGAAATAACTGCCAAAAAAAACAGGCCAAATGTTAGTACAGTTGCTTTATGGATGTACTGGTTTTTTGTATGTCTTATCTGGGCTACTTACGTGACAACCTTGCCAGCAGTCCAAGTAAGGTTCTTGACATAGTCTGGCCTTGCAGCCTTCATGGTGACCGCGAATCTCTCGTATGGGTGGCTCTCAAATACGCGGCCCATTCTCCGGACTTGAGTGTAGAAGGAAACAGGTCTGCGGACAGTGCTGGCAGCAGCACGGGTGACGGTGGCAGCAGACATATTGAGAAGTGTTTGAAGTTGAAAATATTGTTTGTAGTGGTGAATTGGATTGAGATTTTCTTGGTCGAATCGAAATTCAAATCTTGGTGATAATACACTGGATGAATCTTATTGAGTTGCGATTGTCGTAAGGGTGATTGAGTTGGGAGGTAATCCTCTGTGGATTGTATTGTTGTTTGATGCTGTGATGATGATCCAGAAAACGAACTTGCAAGGCTTCCAACCCGAACATTATGTATCCCACCAACTCATCGCAAGTCGCCGCATACCATGCGGAGCCGTCACTATCAAAATTTGATCTCCTCCCCATGATGTCAATTTTGCGGCGCCGCCGCTCTCGTGAGACTCCTTGCCGCACATTATGGGCAGATGCCTTACATCTAGCTGGGCGAATATCATACCACTGTCAGGACATTCTGCTGTGCTGGCTGTGAAACTGCCGCCCGCTGATTGGCTAGACTAAACAATGGCCTTACGCTTTCGGGGCTCTCTTCAATAACGACGCTCACAGAGTTTGGGGCTGACTGGTCCGGATCCCTGTCGGTGGTGCCACTCCGGAGCATCCCGGAGGGGGGGGGGGGGGGGTTGGCCGGCCGCTACAATTTGCTCTGTCTGGAAGAGGCAGAACAGGACAATGACATACGAAACACAGATCCGAAAAGAATACCCAAGCCGGGTGCAGAGTCAGGATCGCCTAACAGAACTGCCGCCTAGCGCTCCTAATGCGGAAGATTGTCAAATCATGAGGTCGTGTGCAATTTCCTATTATGAGCAGATTTGCGCAAGAAGACAGCATCATGCCACTGTTGACAAACATCATCCCGAACAACCGGGTTCTCTCGTACGCTGTTGCTTCGGAATCCGGGGAAATCGCCGCGACGTCAAATCACAGGACAGTTGCTATCACTCCGATTATGAAGATCTTGCGATATGGGATGATATCTTGTCCTTACAAGGGAAGAGGCCATCTCAAGGAGATTTTAGGCCGCTGAGATTCAAGCAACTACAGATCCTAGGGTATCCAATGTAAGGTGCCTGGCAGTCAGGGGCACGCAACTCTGTCTCTACGTCGCGAGGCGAAACTTTCGAGAGAAAATTCGACTCTATAAGTCATCAGGCCATTCTGATTCAATGCAGCGAGCACATTATGACATATATTATGGATTGAACGGTTCTCTAAGCGTATATTGCGGGATCTGCGGTGACTGCGGCATCAGCTGAGAATTCCACAGCCGCCGCAACGCCGCAGCCGCGATCAGCTCAGGGTCGGGTTCAGTCAGCACCGATCGTTTCGCCTCGATTCGTGCCTGCTCACGTGGTATTTCATGGAGGCGTTTCCCTTGAAAGAATTATAGCATACCTTACCTACATGAACGCAGCGGAGAGCTCCGCATGTCACATGTGTTCAGCTTGTCATGCATCTGGCCCAAAGCCCGCCACGACTGCTACTGACCTCGCCCTTGCTGCATGCTTAGTTTTCGCCCAGTCATGTAAGGCGAAAATCGAACGCGAGCCTCGTCATGCTTAGCAAATGGCTCCAGGGGTATTTTGGGAGACCGGCTTAAATAGCATACTGTGCCCCAAGACCATCGGTCAAGCAGGTCGTTGAATTAATTCTCTCAGCCGCAGCAGAGTGCAGGGTATGCAATCCTTCCATCAGGCGAGCAACACGGTTTGAGACACCAGCTGAAAGTCGTGGCGCAACTCAAGCCCCCCGGTAACAGCAACTCTGACAGGGTGTATTGCCCAATAACGCTACGTGACATGTTGTAATATAAACAAAAAATAAGAAGTCATTTATGCTATCATTTACAGTCGTCGCCAAAGGATCTGGGAAGAGATTAAAAATAGATACAAGTTTACACGCATAACAATCTCGATTATCGCCAACTTGATCTGCTTTTGATTCAACGAAACGTCGTAAAGAGATCAGCGCTCCGTTACGGACTTTACAAGTTAAGTTTTTAGAGACTCCCATCTCTTTAGGTTCTTACATCATACTGCTTTGTCCTCATGTAAACCCACGGCCTCGTTATTGTGCAGGTTATGTCTTCGTTGGGGTCCAAAACGCCAGTCAGCCTGCTTGGTGATCTGGCAATGCATGCAACAGGGCAAGGATTTTACATGAATTCACAAGCAGCCCCGTGCCAATACACTCGTAACGTTGCATATAACGATTTCCCCTCTAGAGGAGCGCTCCCATAATTATGCCGTCGCCCTTCGAATAGCATGCCCTAGAATTGAAGATACCTGTATACGCTATCATTAACTGCCCCCATAAAGCATACATGTATACCGGTGGAGATTGAACAACCACAAGTGGTATGTACAACTACACATCTAAATTGAAAAAGGATAGAATCTAGATCCACAATTTTGCTTCCAAGGGTTTCATGGCGTAAGGGCTATTAGCTTTATGTAACTGGAAATTCGAGCGCGGATAAGGCTAATATAGCATACATCCATGGAGTACTTTGATGGTTCCTTGAGGTACCCCTCCAAGATCCCATACCTGAGACATACTACATCTATGGCTGATGCGAGTTTACGGGTTGCAGCCCGGAGTTAAGACAATAATCTTCCCTTCATAAACGAGTGGAAGGATGATTGAATAGGCCAAATTCTGGCCCCCAAGTGTTCACAGTTCCATGATACGCTATCCAAGGGACTTTAGATTGCGCCGCTGCCAGCTCATCATCCTAATCAGCCATCAATGTATCCTTGAGTTATTGATTAGTGGCGTTTGTAATGTGCATATCCGACAGGAATCCTAGTAAAATCGGCTGGTAGCTAGGTAGTACGGAGCACGAAGTGTGACGAAGACTCCTAGGAGTGTCCAGACGGTCAACATCTGTGTGTTAGGGTGAGTGGAGAAAGGAGTGCATTCGTTTATTGATCTGCCATGAGTAACGTTGGTGGTTGCAGATGGAGTGCCTACAAGTACACAAAGAAGATATCGCTGTTGCTGAAATCGCAGTCAAATCAACATACGAAGATGATCAAAGTCATATGGTTGATGGGTACCAATATCAACCACGTACTCGTATGTACGAGTACTACGGGGTTGACTTACGAATCAATCAGCCACCAAGAGTTTACAACAGTCACTTGCATACATGTCCACGTATAAGACGGCTCGTCAACACCCTATCATCACCAAGCTCGCCCCGCAGCCAACATGGGATGTCAATGCGAGAGAACTTTTCAAGTGCAGTACGGAGTACATACTCCGTGCTCCGTCAGGGTTTTATTTTGTTATTGTTATTTTTATTTTTATTTTCAAAGACAATGGGCATTGGATTGGTGTAACAGGTTCCCCTCGCAGCCTCGTCTGGTGTACATGCATCTCGTGCTTCCCCGTTCCCTGTTCCCTGTTCTCTTTTTCCTTTTCTATTGGTGGGCATCACGTGCCCCCATCCGCCAGCGCTGTTTTCTCTTCTCTCCCTCCCCCGCCCAATCTTAACCCTCTGCCCTAATTGGATCGATATTAACAAACGCGCGCAAACTCGCAGCGCCGCAATTATTAGCTCGGCTATTCCGCCAAGGCTCCTCCGCGAGCAGGAGAAACGCGTGCTCTTCGATTTGTGATTTGCCAGAATCCGCACTGTATTTATTGTGTTGTTATGCGCGTTCTGACGAGTCACATCGACGGCTGCAATCCACTCAATCCGCGGTGCGACCAACCTGCGATAGAGCCATGAGGCCAGCGACATCAGTCCGGCAGACGAACAAGTGCCTTCGCTAGAAGCCTCTCTTTTCTGAAATGGAAGATTCGGACAAGGAACAGGAAGCTTCAAGGCATGGCCTTGACACCAAAACTGGGGCGCTGGACTGGCCGGCTAGGCGACTTGCGTCCATGGTTCGCCGTGGTGTTCATCTTAGCTCTGGCCAAGCAGCTTCGGCTTACCGGGATGTGACGGGAAGCTCCCTGCGCTAAGAGCTGCTAAAGCCCGGTTTGCTATTGTGTTCGTACGCAGTGACAATGTAATGTTTTCACTGTACAGTACGCACGTAGCATCACAGAACCAACGCACAGGAGTGGGCAATGCTTGCAGCACATGCGTGAGGGGAGACGACCACTTCCCCCATCGCCCTGGATGTGCTTACACAGACCCCTCAGATAACAAGCCTCTTAAAGGGCATTGACCGTCGCCTTCGATTCCGTTCTGTCCTTCACAATTCAGTCGCAATGGCCAATCCACAGTCCCCCGAGGGCCCGCCAACAGGTTCTCCAGCCGGACCACCGTCAGTCCCGGCACCTCCTGAGGCTACCGAGTCTGCAACGGAAGCAGAAGTGCCTCCCATGCCAGAAATACCATTTGTATGCACCTCATAAAGGCCCGTTCGGCGGGCCAGCGTCTTAATGGCCGAAAATTCATTCGCTTTCTTCAATGCCATGTATGCTGACTTGGGACGCAGCAGCAACGGGACGAGGACGATTCCGGCGTAGATGATGACGAAGATGATATGTATGTTCGAATCGACGTGAATGTTCCTTGCATTGTCCCCGTGTTGACATGGTGCAGCGCCTCGTCGACAGCCTCTCTCTCTGAGAGCATATACGACTACCGCCAAATCCATGGCCGGACGTTCCAGAACTCCAGGACGACCGAGTATTGGGGTCCCAACGATGACCGCCAAAACAACGGACTCGACATCTCGCACCACTTCATTACAATGCTTCTCAACGACCAGCTGTACGAGGCTCCCATCAAGGAGCCCCCTTCCAAAGTCTTGGACGTTGGCACAGGAACGGGCATCTGGGCCATCGACATGGCCGACCTATATCGGTCTGCCCAGGTCATAGGAACCGATATAAGTCCCATCCAGCCCACGTGGGTACCGCCAAACTGCATGTTCCACATCGAGGATGCGCAGCTCGAATGGACGTATCCGCCGGAAACTTTCGACTATATCCACATCCGGGCGCTCTATGGCAGCATCAGCGACTGGGGCGAGCTGTACAAGCAATCCTTTAATGCGCTCGCGCCGGGAGGCTGGATCGAGGACTTCGAATTCAACATTACACTGATGAGTGACGTCCCCGAGGTCCGAGACGACCCTAAACACATCTTCAAGCGCTGGTCAGAGGTGTTCGCCGAGGCCGGCGAGCGCATGGGTCGGACGTTGCTCATTGGTACCGGCGGCCGGATGCGCAAGCTGATGCAGGAGGCCGGCTTCGTCGACATCGTTGAGAAGAACTACAAGGTCCCGTGCGGCAGATGGAGCAGCGATCCCGTCTTGAAACAAGTGGGCTCATACAACCTCGCCTTTCTCGACGAGAGCTTGGAGGGCTTTGCGCTCTTTATGCTCAAGGAGATTATGGACTGGGACTACATTGAGGTGCAGGTTTTCGTCGCGGAGATGCGCAAGGCCATCAACAACCCAAAAATTAGACCATACTACATCCTGTAAGTTGTCCCCCCCTCCTCCTTTGATCGCCCCCAGGCTCCATCAAGGTCAAACAGCAGCTAAAAGCGCGAGAATAGTCCGAACGTCTTTGCACGAAAACCGGAAGCTTGGGAGTAAAAAACTGCTTTTTTAGCGCCCATGTTCTTTCTGAAGCGTTTACGTTGGAGTTTGTTGACCTTTGCACTTATACGAGACCCCAGTTGAGCAACCAAAAGATCAAATATCCCCCCCAATCAGAGAAGAAAGTCTTACCCCATGTTGGCCCGATGATTTACAATGGATGGGCTGCATGGCTTTGGGTGTGCTGTTTTGTCATGTATTGTTATTGATCACAATGTATTGTTATTGATCACAAGTCTAATTCACGCTATATGATACCGCGCATGCGAGAATGAAGATCTCATTGACCTGGGCCGCGCACTCCGCACATTTTGCCTTGAGCCTATCGCCGAAGTGTGAATGGGTTTCGGATGAATCAAAACCGCTGCCCCCTCAAGTCTTGTAGCACGGCTGCCGATCCTTGGGCAAATTCAGCATGTCTCGTATCACAGCGTTATACAGGTAGTAGTACTAAGTCATGTGTAATTCCGTCCCGTTTGTCATTGCGCTGAGACATGAGAGGCATCTGCGTCTCCCCGCCTTGACGCCCATCGAGCGCTACGCCAGATGCAGTACTCGCCGCAGCTAACCGATGCCAAAACTCCCGAGATAACGAAAACTCGTTGATACAGGCGATTAGCTTGTCAACCATGGAATGCCACGTGAATGATTATACCTGTGATATGCGTCGCTTTTTATGATGTACATCAATCATATCGAAGGACGGCTCGTATATCACATCCTCGCTTCCAGCCAAGGCAAACTAAAACAACCCGCCGTCCAACAGACCTTTCCCAACCAAGACGAGCGTGCAGAGGACCCCGGCAACGCATAGCACCCAAGCGTCGACGGCACGCCCGCTGGAAGACGGCCGAAAACACACCTCCAGGCATCATCCATGGCTCAAGGCGGTACTGAAAGATCCCAAGGCTCCCAAGGCTCCCAAGGCTCCGAGGCCCTTAGAAACGATGGCCACATCCCCCCTGCTAGCGCTATCCTTTTCGCAACAGGCAATGGCAGCGTAGCATTTACCTAAACGTGCACCGAATCCAGCACGCTGGGGGCTTCACAACCAGCCAGATCCCCGTGGTAGAACCAGATCCTCGCTGTAGCTCCACTACCACGGGGATCTGGCTGGTTTTGAAGCCCCACAAGTAGCCTGGGACACTACTGCAGGCCTGTCTTATTCCATCTTCCGCGGTCCTGCAAGGAGGGTTGGAGGGGAGACGGAAACCCGGGACGAGAGTCGAAAGATGCAGTGTCGTGAGGGAGGATGTCACAGCCATTTGGATATGTCTACCCCGTACTAGTAATCGAATGAAATGGTAGGACTTGAGGGGTTTGTTTGTCCCCTTCGTCTTCCTGGTCTGACATCTTCCTTGTTCGTATCTCTGTTGAGCTGAAAAGCATCTTGCTTTCACCCCAGCTCGTCCGCACACGCTATACCAAGAAGCTATTGCTCTTCAAGGCCAGGTTCGGGCCGAGCCTTGTTAGTATAATCAAGCGGGGGGTTTCTCAGCTCGCTCCACAGTAGAACACAGCTACTACTCCGTGCGGCTGCTGCAACGAGTACTGCTTCGTTCTTACGGCAAGCTGAGCGACCTGAAAATTGACGCACAAAAGCAAACTTGCCAGAACCATCGTCATACGAGTACATGATAGATACTCTTCTTGGTGTATCGGTCTAGGATGGAAGGCTCCATCCTCCTGCTCGCAGGTGGTCTCATCAGCCTCTTCGTCGTTGGGAGGATCGTGGCGTACACGAGGTTGAGGTCGTTCAGAGGACCCTTCTTGACCAACTTTACCAATCTGCCTCACAGGAAAGCTTTGTTCCAGCAGAGGTGCCAGGAGTGGTACGGCGAGATTTGTGAGAAATATGGTACGATGGTCCCTATACTCCAAGAAACAAAACGTCGCCCGCTTCGAAACGTTTCGTTAGTGACTAATCGCTTTTCCCGTGTACAATAAATGCAGGTCCAATAGCAAGGATTGCTCCCAACCTCCTAATCACCTCTGACCCCGATGTATGGATTCATGTGAATAATAAGCCTGGCTATAAGCGTTCCGAGTGGTATTATACGGCCTGCCGCATTGAGTATCGACGAGACAATGTCTTTACGCAGACAGACAACCAAAAGCATGAGGCTAGAAGAAAGCAAATGGCTCCGGGGGTATGTTGTATATCGCATCGCAAGCTCGTCTCGTTGAGAAAGTCATTGCAAGCTAACCACGACGTTGACATTCAGTACTCTGGAAGAGAAAACCCCGACCTTGAACAAAGCGTTGACGAGCGTGTCAGAGAATTCATTGACTTGATCAGGTCCAAGTATATTTCCACAAGTGTCAATGTTGTACCGGTGGATATGGCGCGCAAAGTCCAATTCTTCACTTTGGATGTCATTAGCGGAGTCGGACTGGGAAAGACTTTCGGCATGCTGCAGAGCGACACCGACGTAGAAAGCTATCTCAAGTCCAGCGAAGAAGGCCTTCATATTGCCAACTTTGGCCTCGCCTTTAGCCTCAGCTGGATCACGCAGGCACGCTTCCTCGGCAAATTCATTGCCCCGTCGCCAGAGGATAGCAAGGGGTTCGGTAGGATGATGGCCACTTGCTTCCGCTATGTCAATGAGCGTGTCGCAAACCCGACAGACAAGCGATCCGACATGCTGGCATCATTCATCCGCCATGGCATCTCAGGCGACGAGTTGCGCTCAGAAGCCCTGGAGCAGATCGTTGCCGGCTCCGACACCACAGCAACCAGCATCCGATGCACCCTGCTTCACATCATTACAAACCCGCGCGTATACGCAAAGCTCCAAAGGGAAATCGACGAAGCCATTCGAGATGGCAAAGCTCCTCAGGATGGCCTCATCACTCACAGCCAGGGAAAGCAACTCCCCTATCTCCAGGCCACGATCCGCGAGGCCATGCGAGTGTGGCCACCCGTCGCAAACATCTTCTCGCGAGACATTCCACCCGAGGGCGACACCGTCCAAGTCAAAGGCGAAGATGTCTTCTTGCCTGGAGGCGCATGCATTGGATATTCCGCGTTTGGAATGCACCGCAGCACCGACATCTATGGCCCCGACGCAAAGGCCTTCCGTCCTGAGCGCTGGTTCGAGGAAGACAAGGACAAGCTCGCGCTCATGGTCCGCACAAACGAGCTGATGTTTGGCCACGGGAAGTTTCAATGCCTTGGAAAAGCGGTTGCTCAAATTGAACTTGGAAAGATAGTATTCGAGGTACGTTTGTTCACATAGCCGGAGAAGACTGGGTAGGCTTGAGTATCTGGTTCGATTGTGCTGACGGAGCTATAGATCTTCCGCAACTTTGACATGGCCCTGATCAACCCAACGAAGCCATGGGTAGCTTTGAACTCGCTTGGATTGTTTACCATCTCCGACATGTGGGTGCAGGTGATGGACAGGCATGCGTAGGAGGCGCTTCAAGCTGGCAATTTGCTCAAGGACGGAGAGCTTCTAGATCTACGATTTCACATCTGAAGACTGAAAGAATAATCATGCATTTGTATTTAATATGCCGCTCGAATCAATCAACCGTCCGTAATAATTTGATTGCGACACCTCTAAATTCAAGTATATAAGGCACACAGAAGAGTGAGGCAAGGGCTTCGTCTGCATGGAAGCTCCCTTTGGTCTGGGTCACGTGATTGCCGCCATTGGCCGAACTCTGTTTCTGGAACCTCCAACTGCCCCAAATAGCTCAAACTCCAAGAATCACGGGAATGCGCTGGTAGGCTCAATCACCATGTCCTCAGCACTGGCAAAGGCTCCTTTAGCTCCGGCTACCGACAGCAAGCCAAAGGCCACCGTGACCGCGGTCCCGACATTCGACAATGCCTTGTCAAAGGGCATCGCCTTCGGCCGAGTCGCTGTCCTGCTCGGGCTGCTGGCTGCTCAGTTCAACGACCTGGTGGCAGAGCCGGTGCTGACGCTGCAATCCGCGCTGCCCGTCGTGGCTGTCGTCCAGGTGGCATATGCAATGCTGTGTCTACCAGCAGCAGGCTCTCAGCAGGCGAAAGCGGCCAAGAAGGCTCGTCCCGGCGAGAAGAAGAAGCCCGAACAAGCCGGAACGAGCTCGGTGGTGGTAGGAAGCTCCCAATTGATCACCGTGACGGCCTGATTTGGCCACATTGCTTGCGGCATTGATTTGGAATGCAAGATGCTAACAGACGTGCCCTTTTTGTTCAATCCTAGACTGCCTTCCTCGCCCTCGTTCTCTCTACGATAGCGACCCCTGTCATCCATGCGCTCTTCATCCTCTTCGGTGCGCCCCTCCTCGACCACGTTACTCACACGTTCCTCTGCGCGGCGCACTTCTCCCTCCTCGGCATCTTCCCCGTCATCTACGCACGTGGAGTGGATAACCAAGCTCTGATTGCTGTGGCTGGACTGTCTGCGCCTCTGGACGAGACGCTGGGCGGCCTGCTGGGTGCAGTGCTTGGCGCATGGTTGGGCGCGGTGCCTATTCCGCTCGACTGGGATCGAGAATGGCAGAAGTGGCCCGTCACGATTGTCTGCGGCATGTACGCGGGGTCGTGTCTTGGCAGCTGGCTGTCTGGAGTCGTGTTTTTCGGCAAGCGGCTCGGAGGAACTGCGTCTGCCGCAAAGGACGAGTAGGGCGAGACGGTCAATTGGCGCATGTACTAAGCATAATCATTATACGGAGCATTTTTGGGGAGATACGGCGGGCATCGTGTGCTGAGACGAGCATTACGAAGAGCTACTCTTTGAGTTTGGGGCTAATTGGCTGTATACGGATAGAGAAAACGGTGATTAGCAGCGGTTATCATATCAGCTAAGTTTTTTGTTATAATGAATTGAGTATGTAATGAATTGAGTATGTAATCTTAGACGCCATCTGCTCGACGAATCTGTCACTCTTGATTCCAGATAGAACGCTACCATACTAACCTACCACACAAGAGCGCCCGCAGACCAAGACCAGGCCCAGTTCTAGTTTGTTTGGGCCAATTCACAACGCCAGCCAGTTAGTCGACGCTTGATACGGGTCCTGTGACTGCACAGAGTCGCGCTCTTGTAATCCATTAGTCAAAAAAAGTCTTGGATGGTCCGGCTTGTACGGCGTTCGGGATCACTGATAGTTGGACAAGATAGAGCACACTATCGGGGAGATTGACTGCCAAGCGCTGCGCCTATCATGCCATTTGTCCAGCCAAGACGGAGCTAAAGCGGGGGGTGTGATGGGCTGGAGAGAAGAGATCCACGCAAGGACGAGACGAAAAAGAAAGTCACTGTGGCTTGGGCGGTTATGCAGTTTGCCGTTGAGTGACTGCAAAGAGTCGTGATACAGCAAGGCACAGCAACAGCAACAGCAACAGCAAATCGCAGCAGAGAGATTCTGCACCGCCTCATCTCATCATGACGGCAGCTAGAGCGAAACGGAGGCACCCAGTTTCTAAAAGAGGAACAGAACAAGAGTAACTCCAAACTGCATTGAGGCGACACCAAGATTTTGCTGCTGAGGTCACTCATACGTCGAGACAAGCCGCACCGGCACACACGGAAATGGAACTGGCATTTGCAGACGCTGTGGCTGGTACGCGTCCAAAGCCTCCAATCAAGCCAAGCTTTGTCGTCATGTGGCGACGACGCTGTGGCGCGTGCTTTCGTGTCCAAACTAAACTAAACGTTTTGCTGTCATCCCATCGGCTCCTCCAGTCATCCAGCTGCCCATCTGTGGCGGTGCGGGCAGTTTTTGAACCTTGCAAGCATGTGCATGGAAACAAAAGCTGCGCTAAGCAGGGGGGCCTTGCAGCAACGACTGTAGATTATGACGTAGCTTGATTTCAATCTCATGTCGTAAAAAAAAAGTCATGATGGCATATTGCTTCATTGGTGTTTTTTCCCCCCCTGCGCGACACGAACCGGGGGGCCAAACAATCGCCTTTGTTGCTTGTGCCTTGTTGCAGCAGCCCGTTAGCCCCTGCATGATACCGCTGCCCTAAGCCGCCCAATTTCTCGTCACTGGCTTGCTGTTTTCTTGTCCCGAAATGGCATCAAATGGCTTCTTGTTTCCCTCCCCCCCTATGATGTGTGGCTTGACCGGTCGATGACGCAACATGGAAGCCGGCTTCCTTTCTTTCTTGGCCCGGAATGTCTGGGAAGGGCCAAGATGACAGCCACGGGCAATAAATAGTACAAGCTTTCGCAGAAAACCTTCCTCGGCCTCTTTCTTCTCCCTTTTGTGTCTCACACAGCTTTTTCTCATCTCTTCCTCCACCACCACCTTTTACCACAAAACACAATCCATTGCGCCCTTGGAGCGACTCATTAGCACTTTACTCGATATCTATCAAAAACACGCTGAGCCCTTTGAGCCTTACGCGAAACCAATCAACATGCCTTTCACCGCCAGGTAAGCTTCGAGCTTGAGGTCCCGTGGCTTCCGTCATCTTCCCCGCAGCTCTCATCCCGCTTCCCTTGGACGGCACGCGATCAATGAGAGCTGGGATGATATCGAGGCCCAATCACTGGACAATGCTAATCATATCCTCTCCTTCAGCGATATCTGCAAGATTCTTCTTGCCATCCTTTTGCCACCCATCGGTGTCTTCCTCGAGCGAGGCTGCGGTGCAGACCTCTTGATCAACATCCTCCTCACAATCCTGGGTACGTCAAAAACTGTTAAAACACACTCACCGCCAATTCAGCCCTCACGTCACTGTGATTTCATCTTCCCGGGCGCCTGACTGACTTTGATTCACCTCAGGTTACATCCCTGGCATCATCCACGCTCTGTACATCATATTGAAATACTAAGCCCGCCTTCCGCTCCCGTATCCGCCGGAATCAAAGCGTCAATGTCGCACAGCATCATGCTGTGCGTACAGCCAATTGTTCCACGTTTGACCGGCAATTTCTCGCTTTAGAATGGATGCGTCAGTGGAGGAGTGAAGTTTGCGGTCGCCGGCTCACCACTTGGCCGGTCATAGACGCCACAATGACAGTGGGCCTTCCTTGATGGCTTTTCTTTTGTTTTTTCTTCTTGTTGGCTGGAGGCAGATGCACCCTGTTTGAAAGGGGCGTCAGGTTTGGCTATTGTTAATGAATTGATACCCGACTTCCTCTAATCACAAATACCTACCTTGATTCAGTCTCAAAACGAGTTTTGATCTCATTTCCGTGATGCATGCGTGCGTTTTATGACAAGCGAGCGGTCTTAACTTGCGGTTTACCGATCCAATTCGAACGATTGATTTGACAGACTACAAACAAAAAAAAGAGTTCATATAATTCCAAAAGACAAAGATGAAAATAGAGGAGGAAATAGTGAGGAACAATAGTGAGGAACCCCAAAAAAAATATGGTGATTCCGCCCGGGCTCGAACCGGGGACCTTTTCGGTGGTGTCAACGAAACTGTTAACGAAATGTCATAACCAACTAGACCACGGAACCGCTCATTGGTGATGCGATTCTTCATGTTTACAATTATACACCCATTGCAACATCTCGTCGCCGCAAAAGCTTCCTAGAAGAAAGAATACCTAGGGTTGCTACAGCTTCATCACCGGCAGGTCAACTATAAAGCATGAGAGTAATATTCAATCCTGCCTCATATACAACAATAGCCCTCACCACCAACAAAGGGCAATGTACATATGTTTGAACACATCCCTAGCCAACACAAGACGTGGAAACAAGAAACAAACAAGAGCGCCAATTCTAAAATAATCCCCAATCCTTTGCCATGTGGCCGAATTTAATCCCGAGCATGCAAATGTACCGTGTAAACGAGTGAAAAAGAAAGATAGAAAGGGACACACGACGGGTTTAGAGCAATTCTCCATCGCCCTCTTCAACCCCCTCCTCCTCCTCGTCCCAGTCCAACTGGGCCTCCAGTTCCGCAGCCTTGCGCTGGAGTTCTGCGAGGCCAGAAAGCTCGGCGACGTAATTCTTTTCTTGGAGAGCCTTCTTGACAAATCCCCAGCCGTCGTTACGGAAGGCGTCCAAGATCTTGGGGCTGCATGCGCTGCAGCTGTCGTATGATTGCCCGCGAAGGACAAGGTTCTGAAAGGTAGATACATAGCCACGGATCTGATGCGGCACAAGGCCAAGCGGGTGATCGGGGGGGTCCCTTTCGAGCGTAACGCCCGGCCTTGGTTGGGGTGCCGGGGCGCTGTTCTTCAGCGGATGCTGCAGGAGGCTTGTCAAAAGCTCAACCAAGAGTGCAGAGGCAATGGCCGCAACTCCGGGGCGAGTCACGGTACACTGCTGGTCAAGCGTTTGGTCCTTCATGGACTGCACGCACAAATACTGTTAGAAACGGGACAGGGAACTGGGAAATTTTGGGGAAACTTACATCGGCCGGGGCGACGACATCACTACAAAAGTAGCATCCAAGGGAGTCTTGGCTCTCTTGCTTCCCTTCAGCGCCGTGCCGCATAACCACATATGAATCAAATCCAAGGGCAGCATTCATGACAATTTTGCCGCTTGCTTTTCCCATCACTGTTGGCAGCCAACGGGATTCGCGAGTGTCCATCAGCAAGAAGACGACATCGTGGGCATCAATCAAGGCTTCGAGCTTGTCGTAGTCGGCCTTTACTCTAGCCTCATCAGTGAGAGCGTGACCGAGCATCGGTACGGATAAGGAGTGGCCCTCAGCATCTACTCCCGGATATATCCTCTTCAACATTTCGGCGGCTTGAATAGCCTTTGGTTTCCCACCATTGAGACAGTCTTCGTACTCAAAGAGCGGCTGGCGGACTGGGTTCGAAAAGGACACGCTGCCATAGTCAACAAATGTGATTTTCCTCACACCCCAGCCCAGTAAGTTTCGTGAGACGTAGCCTCCCAGCGTCCCGGCACCCAACAGCAGGCATTTGGTGTTTTTGATTACATCGAGGTTTAGATCCGGGGCCAGTCGCCACTTCATCAACTTGAGATTCAGGTCGACTGAAGAATCAGCCAGCCGGGATGGGTCCATGTACTCGCCCAAGTTTGCCAGCTGTGCTTGAAGTTTGCCGTTCTTTGCTCGCTCCCAACCTGTAACTTTGGGCATCTCCTTGATCTCCATGTCCTCAACGGGGTCCATCGTGATGGGTATAATGATGCTTTTGGCTTCATGCCTTCTAGACCATTCGTCTCTGAAGCACAGGATATTAATCTTGGACAAGCGGAATCGGTGGCGAATCAGAATCAGGAGGTTGCGCAGCGGCCATGATGGGCCTTCTGAGAAAGTTGATGGATCCAAAAATGCGACAAATCGATCCTCCTCCGCAACACCATCGAAGAAACCATCTTCAAAACTTCGCAGTGAGGCAACCTCCCATCTGTATGGAATCTTGAGTGCCGGGTCATGTTCGTTCAAATCCTTGGGCTTCTCCCCCCATATCTTCTTGGCCAAAAAGAATCCATGCTCACGCTTATCCACAATATATCTCCATGTGCCGACGCGATCCATAAGGGCTGTGGTCTCGTCCGAGTTGAGGCGCTGGATGGGGCCAGAGCGCTTCCACTGCGCGTCTGAGTGCAGCGCAGGAAACGCGCACCAGTATATAAATCTGTACTTCTTGAGGTCGGCGTATGATAGAATTATGAACGAGGATAGGAGCGAAGGAACGGAGTAAATGCTGCCGTCTTTGATAGAGTCCCAGATCTGCCTGCCCGCCAGCTTCAACATGGCGGCTTTGTCGGTCTTCCTGAAATCTTCGATGGTATTGACATTTTTGATGATGCCTTCGGCTCTTGCTTTTCCTAGAGGGGGACTGTATCGCACGTCAGCTCATAATGTTCCTGTTGGTTCGTTTCGATGTCAGGAACGCACTCTGTGTTTGTCAAGGCGCTTCCGAGAATCTGCAGCTTGGAGCTTGCGTCTGGGTCAACATCCCGCGGCTCGTACACGCCCAAAATCCCGCGCGCAGAGTCGTCGAGCTTGTCATAGTCTAGCTTGGATGAGAAGAGCGCCGAGTAAAACGGCAGCTCTATCTCGGATGTGAACGGCACGAACTGAAGCGGTTCGTCCATGGTAGCGGTTGCGTCTCGCAGTATGCCGAATGAGCTTTGGTGTTGGTGTTGGTTTTGGAGAAGTTGGCCGAACGAGTCGATGTACAAGGTTTATTTGACAAAAGTATAAATCCGTGGATGCGAGGCTGCCGAAGGTTCTTATCGATTTAACGTTCTGTCAGTGCAAGGCTCGAACTCGACAGGGCATGCGACAAGGCAGAACCGTCATCTGATGGAGCATCACGAGCTACAAGGCCAAGTGATGTCGTAGCGCTGAGCTGCCCCGCGGAGAGCGGGGAACCTTCCAAGTGCAGCGAGCATGCAAGGGGCCAGGCTTCAGTTGTTAGTGCTTGATGTCTGCCATGCTAGGGGGCTGCTTGCGGCTCTTTCGGCGAGTTCTAGATGCGGGGCTGAGCACTATAATTGCAAATACGGCACGAGCAGACATCCAAGAGAACAAGTCCGATATGGTGTAGTGGCTAACATCGCTCGCTCTCAATCTTCGATTGAAGCTCCGAGCAGCCCTGGGTTCGATTCCCAGTATCGGAGACGATCCTTTTTTTGCAGATTTCATCTGCGACAAGGCTTTGCGACTTTTGCAATTTTGTCGATCCCTTCTTTTTACCCTTGTAAACATAACAAAGTACTGCTATTATGAATATATACAAGCTGCGTGTGCATGTAGATTGAGCTGTCCCCATCATATCGAGTCCGAAATGCAATCAACTAAGATGTACTCCGTAGAACTATACAACAACAGTTGGCCGCTGCTTGTTGTCACCGGCTCCCTTTCTGTCTCATTTTTAGAAATATTGTTTGACATTTGCGGTAGTCCAACTCAGCTACGATTAAGGTTTCAGCCTGGCCCGTTTGCATGAAGCCAAGGGGGAAGAATATTCCCAGAGGCGCCACCGTTTGTCTTACCGGATTTGCAATCCTTCTCGGCTACCACCAAGGTTCAAGCCTGGGCTGTTGGAATGCAGCCAAGAGCAGCGAAGAGGGGGGAGACCAATCTGACGTCAGGAATTCAGACTTTGAAACTAAATTAAAATCTTAAACACTGCTAGATATATAATCTTAGAACAATGCCAAAGCTTAGCTACCACTCTGATTCTTCAAGCTGTCGAGATCCCCACTTGAAACAAAACACCATGGCGGGCAAGAAGTCAAAGAATAGGAACAGGAAGCAGAAGCAGGAGAAGAGCAGGGGCGGGCAGCAAGAGCCAGCTACGAGCAGAGATGGACAACAAGAACCAGATAACAGCACGGTCGAGCAACAAGAACCAGTTCCAGCTTCGACTGAGCAGCAGGAGTCAGATACGAATATTGCTCGGCAACAAGAACCAGCTACAGGCATAATTGGGCAACAGGAACCGGACACCAGTATTGTTGGACAGCAGATAGCAGCTACAGGCATTGTTGGACAACAAGAGCCAGTTACAAGCACTACCAAGCAACCAGAGCTAGAAAAGGGCATAGTTGAGCAACAACAGCTGGATACGAGCATCATTGAGCCACAACAGCAAGGCCAAAGCATCACTGAGCAACAGCGGCTAGATACGGCCACGGCTGTGCAACAAAAGCCTGATGAAATCATCGCTAAGCAACAGGAACCAATTTTGACCACGGCCGAGCAGCAGAAGCCAGTCAATACTATAGTTGGACAGCAGAAGCCAGATACAGGGAGTTCCTATCCCGACGAGCGAGATCATCTATCATCAAACGATTGGCAGGAAATATTGTACGCGGCCGCTTCTGCCATTGGATACACACAATAGGCTAACAGTTTCAGGCAACGTACAGGTGCATTGAACGGTTGGGTTCCCCAGAAGAGAAACGGCGACATCGACATCACTCGTGCGACTGAGCAATGTATGTGGCGCTCTGCTAACGTTACAGCTGAACCGCAATGCTGATGACCATAACAGTGTTCACATTGAAGCCTGAGACGATGCCAAAGTGGAACACTTCAAATGCTTCTGGACGGGAGGCTGTGCAGTTTCAAGATTCTACAGAGGAGAGTTTCATCAAAGCAGCTTTTGACACAAGTGCAATCAAGACGACACTGTAAGTATTGGCGTTTTGTACTATCGCTGAGAAAAGGACCTCATGAATACATGTACTGATATGTTGGTAGCCAAGCCACTACGCCCGTCGGAAAGACTGGTGTAAGAGGTAGCTTTACGCGGAGCACAGGAGACAAGGCGTCAATTGAGCACTCTGGCGATGTCAAATCTTTCTATCTTTTCCATGAGGTATATATGCGCTTTCACATGTCTTCTATCATGCAGTCACTAACAAAATTGGGACTTGTAGCTCCCTCTTGCTGTTGTCGATTTGGCAAGCTCTTCACTCGTACCAACCCAAAACTTTGTGGACTTCATCAAGGATTCGATCAATGAATATGCCGGACTAATACCCCCACCTACATCTGCAGACCGAGAAGCATTTTCCTCGGTACTGAACAGTTTTCATGATAGATTCGGTATGTGTCTTGGAGTTTCCACCTGCAGAAAGGGGCGTGCCTAATCGAAGATTTTTCTTGCAGGCACCGTTTTTACGAAGCGAGTTGCGTTAGGAGGCAGACGCTATGCCATCCAAAAAGTCTACAGGCACAGCCAGGCTGTGAACCAAAGTTCTGAAGAGAAAAGTGCCATCAAGGCAAGCCTGGATGTGCCGTTAACTATTGGTTCTCTCAAGGCTGGAGGAGAGCGTGGCTGGGGCTCTACCAGTGGCGATGGTGACTATGGGAACGTTATGATTGACGTCAATTCCCTTGTCATTGATGGCGGTGATGAGACCCTTACAGAGGAGTATGTCCTTCACTTTCTCTGTGTTATCATGCAATCACTAACATCCGGGATCCAGTGTCCAGGCATGGCAAAACACATTACTAGCATCAAAGAACTGGAAAGTCATCAAGGTAAGAGTAGAATCAGAGTGGGAAATTGCGTTGGCTAATTATCTTGTAGCAAAACAACGTCGAGGCTCTCTTCCCATTTCTGTTAGGGGTATTGGAGAGAATGGAGCCAAGATACGAGTATGTTGACTTTGTTAGAGGATTAGCTGTCTATGACCAAGACCTTCGAAAAGCCCACGAGAGAAAGCTAGCTGCTGCTCCAGAGCCTCTGACACTGCGCATCTCGAGCTCATACGCGCCAACAAAGAGTATACTTTCGAGTCTCTCCGGGAAGAAGCCAAAATGGACAGTGACGCTCAATACCGATAAACCCAAAATAATTGACAGGGTCAAGGTCAAGATTCCCGGATACTTTGAGAATGGGAAAGACCGTATTGACGACGTTGTCGGATTCCCGAAAGCTCTTCCCGTCTCAATCGATCTGCCCACCCAATGGAGTCTGACTCCGAAGAAGACAAGCAAGAAATACGAGGCAGAGTTTACGGTCATACTCAAACCCAATCATGAGTGGCAAGAGTCTGATGGAGGAGCTTCGACAGTCACTTTGAAGGACGTTGGTGGCAACACTCTGGTTTTCGGGGCCTTGTTGAGTCCGGAGCCTGCGACATTCACGGCAGAACACAGTGTACGCAGCACTAAATAAGAGTCATTCAGTACTTTTGCTTGATAAACGGCAATTTGCCGGAGGGGTACCGTTACCGTTCAACCGAGTCGATAAAATACAATTTGTGATCTAATCCTCATTTTGGATTGATGGAGTCGCTGCCGTGCCATAGATGGTGTTCTATACGGCTGAATGTGACGGACCGATCTATACAAAATAGAATAGGATATTAGGTAGTCAAAAGTCAATAATCTGATGGGAGTTTACAGAAGTCCTCATTTCATCACTCAGTATCGAAAATATTCTCCTTGAGGGTGGCAAGTTCGTCAGTCGACGATACGTACACGTAGACAGGCTCACTTCATTTGGTACTTCAAAGGGATATTATTCCAGAATAGAGCATCGTATTGTAATCTACCTATCCAGTAGTATTAATCTCCTGAATTCTTGCTGCAGCCATGCAGTACTAGCAGAGCCATGCTTATCCATGTGCCGAGATGTCCGAACTGCGAAACCCCTGAACTCCTAGTAAATCGTCACCCAAACCCCTTTTTTGTCCACTCAAATCCATATATCCATTCAGTTGTAGATAACTGACCATTGAGAGCGAGTACTTTGGATAGAAGCCACATGGACCACTCGCGACACATATTCTCTGTCGATCCATCCCGACTCTCATCTAACGTCTGCGCCACTCCACGTAGCGCTCCTTTGCAAAGACAACCTCGTCAGTGAGCCGGACGAGTTCCTCCAGGGCTCCGGCCTGGCCATATTGGAGCTTCAATCTGAAAGGCCATTTCTCGATCACGGTGTGCTTATCTTTCACCACCACTCCAAAGAGCTGGCCCACCTGCCAGAACCTACAGTGTTTCATAAATCTAAGGGACATGTTAGAGGTGAAACTATATGGGTGTCATGACAAGGACCAATTTGTCAAGGCTGTGCTCACCGATCGAAAATGGGGTCATAGGCTGCAAGATTCGCCTGAGCATAAGTCCACATGATCGCCTTGGGATCAACCTTGGGCCCAGCCGTGGGATCATAGCCGGGCTTTACTCCTATGTGCTTGAAGTACTGACCAATGAGCTTCGTCTCCGGGCGGTATGTGTACATATCCATCATTCGGTCCTGCATAGTCATGGTCTCTCCAATGGCGTTCCTGAACAGAGTGATGAGAGTGGCATGCGGGTTGGTGAGAGGGGCCTGGAGCAAGGATCCCATCATGTAGGCTGTGTGATGAACTCCAGCAAAGACATTGTCTGACATATTGGAGACCTAGATAAAGCCAATTAGTATTCAAATACCGAAAAAGTCTGGACATGGCGGAGCTTCGAGCGCTTCTTTTACCTCGATTCGGTTAAAGGAGCTGTGCTCAAGAAGAGTAGGGAGCTCTTCAAACTCCACACAGAACAACTGAAGAGATATTTGCGAGTCTGAAACACGGATTAAGAAGGCTCGAAGCATTGTACGAATGTGATTGAAGAGTTTGCCGTAGATATCAGCAGTCGCAGGCCCGCTAGAGCAGTCTTCGACGTCCTTCAAAGACCATCCTTGGAGAGGATCAGCACAGTCGGCCATCGGCCAAGAATCGGGAACATGGAACAGCGTCCTATTGCTCATTAGATGTATGCTCAGCAATCTAGTTGGTGACGTCTATTACTCACGGGTTTGGCTCCTGGAACTCATGGCGCGGAGCCCCAAAGGGCAAAAGGAGTCCGTCTGCCCGAAACCGATGCTTCGCAACTCGGCGGTAAGGAGACTGAAAAAGCAGATGCATATCCAAATAGTCTTTCCTGGATTCGTCAAGGGTAACAGCCGTGCGGATACGGCTCGCCCGTTCGGCCGTTAGGCCTTGTGGAACGGTCATGTAGGCCAAAAGGCGATCCCATAGCGACTTTCGTAGCACAAGTCTCAGGGAACGGTTTCCGAATTTCCAGGTCTTCCCCAAGATGCTATCAGGATTTTTATCCTTGATCTTTTCACAAATATTCTCGACAAGGGGCCGGACCTTTTGCTGAATCATGTCAAGATCGGACTTTCGAATCAAAGCCGAGTACCAGACATGAATCATGCAGTCGACTGCCTCGTCCATGTTGTCGGACACGAGGGTGATAAGAAGTATAATGGCGTTGCGTGCCACCACATCAAGATCGTGATCGTTGATGGTAACTTCGATGGGCTTAGTATAGCCACCAGGAACCTGAGCAATGGTTTTGACTACATTCCGAAGATCTCCAGAAGCTGCACCATAGTAGCATCGGTCAGTTTGGCGGCTCATGATGATAAGATGGGGTTGAGGACATACCGGCAAATAAAAGCTTCATCGGGTTTCCATAATCAACACCTTCGTTTGACTGAAGCTGAAGCACGTCGATGGCGGGAATGTTTCCCCAAAGGCACTTATTTCGGCTAAACGAGAGCAACGAGTTTGTGAAATCCGCCATGAATGTCGGTTTTCGGTTCTCCAGAACCCAGTTGGGGCGCCAGGTTTCATTGCCCAGGGGCGATTGGCAATCTGTCTTGTGAAGAGCCCAGTGGGATTTTTGGCATTCCGAACCGCAGTACTAGAATCAAATGTTAGCTCAGAAGGGGTTTATACCAGTCCAGTGAATGGTTTACTTACCACGACGAGATGGCAGCCTTTGCAAGTGTAGTTACCGAATTTCTTGCAGTCATTGTTGTCGGCGCTCCAGTTTGCGCACACGAACTGTGGAGTTGCCATGTTTACCCCGATTTCAGACCTGGTCAAGTCGGGACTCAGATGACTGTATATCCTCGATGCGCCAAATCAACTCAAGAGAAGAGGATAATGACCCTGATACTGGTGCTGAGCACCAGTGACCTTCAGGGAGACGTGAGGTGGAAAGATGAGCGCTGTGAAGAAGAGAAAGATGAGGAGGAGAGAGAGGTGAAGAAGAGAAAGATGAAGAGGTGAGAGAGGTGAAGAAGAGAGAGAGGTGAGAGATAAGAGATTGAAAAGAGAGAAAGGTAAATGCCTACCCACCTGGCAAACAGAGGCAGCCGAGCTCTCTTGATTCACTTGGGCCATCTGCCTCTGTTTGCTCAAGTTGGCACGGAATATTTCCCCCGAGCCCATTCACTCAAGTTCGGTATCCACATGTTGACGCAAGCTTTCAAACAGAGCAAAAAGGCTTTAGAGTTGCTCTAAGCTGTTCAAGTGAAAGGAATTGACATTGCTGATGCCAATGAGTCTATTCAATGACAACTATATGTATGTGAAGACTGCATACACCAGTGAATTTGCCTCGATTCAGATGAGCTCGCAAGTGAACTATCCGTATACAGGACGTCGAATTTATATGGAAAGGCCATTACTGTCATGTAATTTGCGTATGCTTCAGCACCAATCAGTTGTCGAATATCACCTCCTGCTTTTGCTGTCAAAAATACACTAGCCGTGGATTAGAGAGAAGCAAGCTTCGAATATCCCAAGCATCCGCTCTTTAAGAAGACATTATTCATAAATCTTCATCAAACACGTCAATCTCTGAAAAGAACCAAGAAATCATGGTGCCTAAATACATGGTGCATGTATATATAGAATATAAACCGACTTCCATCCATCATCCCACCTCCTCACATCCAAGCCGTTACACCTCATCCTCATCTTCACCAAGAAACTTACAACAGTCCATACACAATTCCACCCAAAACAACCAAAGCCGCCATGCCATCCGCAACAAGCCTGCTCCCAGCGCTCTTAGGCGTCGTAGCAGCCGGGCCCGAAGGCGAAGTTCCGCTAGGCTTGCCAGGGCTCGTTCCGTTGGTCTGGCCCTTTGCATTCAGCGTCAAGGTCGAGACAACAGCAGAGAGGGCATTCATCTGCTCGCCAACTCCAGTCAGCCCGTCAAAGGTGCTGTTGCTGTTGCTCCCAGCCCACGAGAATCCGCACGCAGTTCCCGCCTGGCCGGCAAAGCCCTTGGCCGGCGATCCCGAGCAGGCCTTGGCCGCGGCCTTTGCGTTGGTCAGGAGCAGCGGCTGGATGGCCTCGCCGGTGTAAGGAGCCAGCAGCGCCGTCTCCCCGAGCGACCGAACAAGGAAGCCCTTGAAAGCCTGCAGATCGGTGCTGCACGTCTTCAGAGCCTCGCACGCAACCTCGGCCAAGACGCCGTTGCTGACAAACGTGCCCTGCACGCCCTTGAGCAGGCCGTCGACGCGCGTCTTCCAGTCGGTGGACGTCGTGGCGTTGTACAGCGCGGCGCTTCCGTGCAGGAAGAGACTGGCGCTCAGGCTGCTCTGGGTCTTGTCGACGTTCTTGCAGTTGTCGGTGTTGACGCCCTCCAAGACCTGGTACGAATCGGTGATGAGGCCGGCGTCCTGCTCCCAGCTGAAGATCTTGGTGGCCCAGTCCGAGTAGGTGGTGTTCTTGGTCTGCAGGAACAGCCTGGCGGCGAGGTCGAAGAAGACGCCGTTGGAAGCCGAGTTCTTGAAGTCGTAGCCGGCGTTGAAGGTGAAGATTTGCCACCGAAGACCGCCGTCGCAGGTCTTGGTGTCCCATCGCTGCACAAGGTCATCGAAGACGTTCACGGCGAGATCCAGCCACTGAGGCTCGTCCTTGGACGGGCTCGGGAACCCGCTCTCGGCCGCGGCAATGGCGGCCAAAGCCCAGACGCCCTGGTCATCGTTGCCCTCGGTCTTGGTCTGGTTCGCCGGCAAAAAGTTGTTGTTGTCGCCGACCTGGTGCAGCAGGCCCTGAGTTGTCAACGAGTTGTACGAGTCGTCGCCCGTCTTGGCCCAGTAGTCGATCAAGGCCGTGAACAAGGCGCCCGTTTCCCACCCTGCTTCAAGTCAGTTTTTTTTGTTTTATTCTCTCCATACTCTTCACCCAGACGGATGAATCAAGAGGGAGGGGAAGCCGGACAGAAGTATGGCTGGGGGAGATTGCCCGGAATCTGGCCTGTCTCGTTGCCATTGTAATACTTGACGAGCCCATACGCAATGGTGCTCGCGCCATCCTTGATCGAGGCTGTCTGCCATATCAGCAATCACGAAGAGAATCACAGGAGCATCCAAGACTAAGAAGCCATCGCACCATCACTAGTAAAGTCGACCTTGATGGCGCCAGCAGAGGCACCAAGAAACGCAAGAGCCAAAGCAGACTTCATGTTTACGGCGTTATTTGTATCAAATGACTCTGACGGTCGGTTTCACCACGTTCAACTTATAGCGAGTGACAAGACAAAAACGAAAGGACGATTTTAATAAAAAAAAAAAGACAGCCAGCAGAAAACGAAAGATTGCCGGCACAGAATAACGAAGGACAAGCTGCTTTGTCGAGTCGTGGCCAACGAAGAATAAGCAAAAACAAGAAAAAAAACCCTAGAAGAGTCAGTGGACCAAACCAGCTCATCTTATAACGCTACTCGTACAATCAACGCCGCTTCCCCTGGCTGGCTCCGCTGGCTCAAAACGGCATGACAGCACTTTGTCAGCTTCGCCCAAAATCAAAATGCCCTCAACAACCCGCTCATTTTAGCATCAAATCCCAAGTCTGGAGAAACGAAAAGAGAAGAAAAATCCTCCGAGTCAAAAAGAGGATCCAGCGCCATTCCCGCTTGAGTCAAGTTCAAGTCCCACGACGCCAACACCGGCTACAGAAGCCGAAAGAGAAATCCTTCGCACTCGTCTATATTCCTTTTAACCCAGATTCAAATCCAAATTTCATTGTTTTCCCCGGATTTGTTAACCATAACAAGGGGGGGAGTTTATTGCTGGCAGCTCACGAATTCGACTTCGGCGTTTGCCTCTTTGAGAAAGGACATGTACGAATGCGACACTATTCCGTGTTTCTTTAGTGCCAAGGGGGCAATACGATGTGCGTCGTTGGATAGTCGGGGTTGTCATTCGTCCGTTTTGTGAATACGAAGCGGCCGCATTTGCCAGCAATCACTGAGCCGACTGTCAACGGAAACAACAAACAACGTCCTTGGGAAAAGAAGACAAGCGCTTATTGGCCGGAGACAGGGTGGGACTTTCTCGTGTTCCTCGGGACATGCCGTTGGAATTTTGCCCGTTTAGGAAGATGTGATATAGAGAGATGGGCTATTCGCATGGTTGGAGATGACTCGGCATTCAAGGCAACATCAAAAGCAACATGTTCATAATGCTCTCGGATAAGTCACAACTCTATGATGAAAGCACCAGCTCGGAAATCCCCCCCCCTTCCCCCCCTCACAACCCCTTCTCAACCAACGCTCTCATCTCCGTCCTAAACTCATCCATCACACTCCTCGCCAACTCCCTCCCCCTGGCCCTCTCTGCCCTATCCGCCGTCACTCCCCATTCCTCCGGCACCTCCACGCTCCCAACCTCTCCCTGCCGTCCCAGAATCATCTGCGAGACGGCAACGGCGCATCTCGCCGCCACGGGCATCCCGTGCCCGGTATACCCAGCGCAAATCCACAGCCCAGCGCCACCACCAAGCTCCTCGGGGACGCCCCCGACAAAGGGACTCCCGTCTGCGGAATACCCCATGATGCCCGTCCACTGATACCGCGGCCTCAGCTCCTCCTCCTCCTTCTCGCCCTCTTGCCGCAGCTTCAGCGCGGGACGAAGCGACCGTCGTAGCCGCTCCGCCACCTCGTCGTCAATCTCGTCGTCCTTCCACACTCCCTCCCCTCCATCAGGCACGCTCAACCTCTCGCCCCCCACGACAATCATCTCCAGCGGATCGTCCCTCTCGATCAGGTAATTGTCGCTGTCCTCCGCAAGCCAAACGTGACTGTGCTCCAGCATCACGTTCCTGTCCGGCGGCTCCAGCGCGGAAACCTGCCCCCTGACGGGCACAATCAACCCCGTCATCCTGGGCAGCAGGTGAGACGTGTACCCGTTCGTCGCGAGAAGCACCTCCTTTGCCACAACCTGTCCCCTTGGCGTGTGGACCACCCACGAGTCCAGCCCCTCTGCCTTGTGCACATGCGTCACCGGCGTCGTCGTCTGGAGATTAAACACCTCCGTCGACTGCTGCGTGAACAACGCCTCCAGGACCCAGGCAACTAGCTTATACGGCCAGCACTTTGCAGCATACGGCTGCAGCACGGCTCCCCGAGCATTAGGCACTCTCAGCGCCTTGAGGTCCTCGGGCTTCGTGAACAACTCCGCCTTGCCAGCCAAATCGGGATAATGCTTGTTGATATTCTCAATCCTCTTGGCCACGAGCTCGACAAACTCGTCCGTGGGCAAGGCATGAACACCGCCAACCCTCCTCCAGTCGCACGGCACGTTGAACTTGGTGACAATGTCCTCCAAGAAGCGATACGTCTCAAGCTCAAAGCGCGCAACCTGTGGCTCCCTACCGTAAATCATGGGCTGACAATGGCCTCCATTCTATTAAAAACCCCCATAGCATCAGCATCAACATCAGCATCAGCATCAGAAACACCCCTAGAATAAGCTCAAGTACTCGTACACCGTAAACTCACCCTTCCCGTAGCCCCCCAGCAAGCTTCCCTCGCCTCCAGCATCACCACCGACCTCCCCCCGGCAACCAGCTCCCGCGCAGCAAAAGCCCCCGTGATCCCGCTGCCCACGATGACGACATCTGCCGTCGCGGGGAGCTCCGGTGTTGATCGGCGGCCCAGAAGCACATATGACGGATCGCGATGCCAAAACGACTTGGTGCTTCGCGGGCTCGGCAACCCGGATTGGCCGTCTTGCAGAGTAGCGGTCACCATGGCTGCGTATATGTACTCGTATGGAATCTATGGCTGGTATTTGGATCAAGATGAAAGATGTGATGTGAAATGGCGAACAAAAGTCACAGTTTATATACCATGTGGAAACGCGAGTAACTAGATGACCAGACACTCACATCTGCATTTCCACGTGAATATGAAGGAAGACTCACAGTTTAGTTGCTTACACTCACTCGGCTTCCCGCTCCGTTATTCGCAACGGCATTACGACGCGCTAATGCGGGGTCCAGGGCTCCATTTGTAGAATACGTGTAATAATAGGTACGGAGTACAATTAACAACGGCACACATCTATACACAGAGCATTGCCAGTCAAATCAGTCAACAAGATGCACAAAATCGCAAGCCAATGTTGCCAATCTCTAAGGGATATCATTTCGTATTCATTGCATGTCGTCGTAAGCATCATGAGAGACGGATCAACCTCCCTACCAACTCCAAGGGGAATCGCCCTCAAGATCCTTCCCAATTCCAAACCCCAACGCCGCAAATCCAGCTGACCGTTCCATTTGCATCGCCCTTGTCTGCTAATATTTATTCGTACATCAATTACAAGAAAGAAAGGAAAAAGCAAGCAACTTCTTCCTGATTCTATACATGACAGCTCCCTATGGCCCTCACCTCGGACGCTTCTTTGATTCAAACACACAAGATCGTGCGCTTTTCGCATCTCAAAAAAACCCAACCAAGGTGGGTGGGTTTGCTTCTAAAGCCGTTCCAGTTCTAGCCACGCGTCATGGACATGTCTATTCGATCTCAAGTATAGTTGGTACACGCAATCTCGTCCAACGAGACGCGGCCTCCGCCTGCCGCCCGCGTAAGCCAATCGAAGGATCCGAGGTTCGGTGGAGAGAAGAATTCCAAGGCAGGATTCCTTCGATTGGCGTTCAAGTAGAAATTCGTTTCGCCCGTTCAAGTCGTGAATACCTTTCGAGGTATATGAAAAAGGTACGTCGAGGTTATTTCATAATCCATCAGGGCGTCAAGGGCGAGTGCCCGTAAAACAAAAGGAAAAAAAAATCGCTATATGCAGAGCCGGAGGCTTTGATAAATTCAAAACGCCGGCCCGTCGTATCCACTCGAACATATCTCGGTACAAGGCAAAAGTAGCTGAAATGCTCATCATACGCATCTTATGTTTCTTGGATATATCCAGCCTCGTTGTTTTTTGAAGCAATCCGCTGTAAACAAAGAAAGAAAGAAAAGTACAGAGCGTAGTCGAATCTTGTTCAGCAAAGAAGAAGAAAAGAAAACTTTAAGCGTCTGTCATTTCGAGGTCGCTGTCGTTGACTATGGAGACGGGGAACAGCTCTGAAGGACCCCAGTTTCCCTCGTAGACGATGGCGGGCGCATTGCGGTGCTCTGCCACCCACTGCATGCCTTCTAAAGCCAAGACTTCCTCGATGCGTGGCCGTTCTTCAGGCTCCTGCTGTGTCATCCACCGAACAATGGAATCAAGGGAGCTAGGGTGGAAGGCTTCAACCATGAAGTCGGGAGGCTGCTGAAGTTCCGATCGCTTAAAGGAGCCAAACAGGTTGCCAGAGCTGCGTGTTCTCTCGGTATGGAGATCGTCACTCGTCGCAGAGTCGGCAGGGTTACCAAGAGCATCTCGCTGGACATCGCTCGATGGCGTCCAAGTGAGGCTAGGTACTTCAGAGAGATCACCAGATCTGAGAGCAACCCAAGTAGGCCCGTTGTCAGGAAGCATCACATTGGCCGCCGTTTCCAAAGTCATGAGACCCAGGGAAAAGATATCGGCAGACTGATCGGCTTTGCCTTCCAACATTTCAGGGGCCATATACTCGCGATCTCCTTCGATATCTACCCGGACATCTTCAGAGACAGCCTGGGCCAATCCAAAGTCACCAATCTTGAGGACCCCCTCAAAGGTAATGAGAATATTTGCCGGTTTCATATCTAGATGCATAAATCCGGCTTCGTGAATCTCTTTCAATCCCTGTCGAGAAAAGAAAATGTCAGCGATCCGAGAATTAGACCCACCACAATTAGGGGATTGCGTCAACATACCAAGCAAAGATCCTGCAAGATCTTGTAGATGCGGAAATCATCCAACCGACCAACTTGTCCGATGTTGGCCAAAAATTTATCCAGGGTTCCCTCTTCGCAAAACTCTGTCTGAATGTAAAGGTGAAAGTTATGCTCCCAATCATCGATATATTGCACAACATGTTCAGCATGTGATAAAGCCTGTAGAATGCGAGCTTCGCGCAGCTTCGCGTCCCTGTCTTTGGGGCCATGGTACGGATGTTTGCTCTTTTTGACAGCAAAGACTTGGCTCTTGAAGGAATTCTTGGTGTGGCTGTCAATCGGGGTGAATGAAGAAGATACGGAAAAATCATTATGGTGATCCTGCTTGGTTACCCGGTACACGGTAGAAAACTCGCCCTTGCCAATCTGCTCAACCTTGTCAAACTTGGAGTGTAGGCTGGCATCGACATCCACGTTACTGGTACGGCCGTTGACTGGCGTGACGAAGATGCTCATAGACGATCGGAAGTCGCGGCCCGTGGTTGGTGTGACCGGTGGTGGCATGCTGGTTTCTCTCCGTCCGTCCCCAGCTCGGGAGATGGACAAGCGGCTGGCATCTATTGGCAGAAAGGTTTCCTGGGGGGTCTGAGGAGTGCGTCGTCCATCGGCAGGGCTCGCTGTGTCAACACACATCATCTTAGTACATACTCTGGTTCTGGATGACTTTAAAGATCCGCGACTAGGCTGCTGCGTCGTCGAAACTGGGGGCTCAGGATTGAGCGGCGGGGGCGCACTGAGCCCCCTCTGGGACCTTGCCCGTCCAAATGAAGATAAGGAAAGAGGGTCGGATGAAGATGTTTCGCTGTCCATGAGGGTAGATCGATTGGCTAGCAACTGTGCTCCTTCGACTTGGTCCCTTGGACTGGCGGGCTCTTCTGGGATCGACTTACAGCTAAGATCTCGTGGTCGTGGGGGTGTTGCCTTGACTGTTGACGACAAAAACGATCGGTTGGCACTTGGGCTTTCCTGAGGGCTTTCACTAAGGCTGCTCAGGCCACTGAAGCTTGGTGTTAGAAGGTTTTTGGTCGGAGTGGGAGGCGCATCGCCTTCAGCGGAGGTTGCAAAGTCGGCACCATCACCAAACAACTTGCGGTCGTCACCATCAACGCTAAGGATGCTTCCACGGCGGCTGGCGAGAGCACCACCGCGTTGGAAGATTGACAGGCCCTTGGAAGGGTTACCAACGGTATCAGGGGCACGACCCAGGACAGGGTTAAACGGGGTAGAGGGGACACCGCCAAATGATTTGCGATAGCTTGCTCTCTTCTTTCCAGAACTAGAGGGCGGCGGAAAGGTCGCGAATGGGTTGGTGTGTTTTTTGCACGGCGTGTCAGGTGGCGCCATTTTCTTGTCAGCCTCGTCCTCAGGGTTTCGGTTCACTTTGGAAATAAGGCCAGTGGAGCTGAATGCGCCGATCCATAGCTGGTGAGACTGATTTGGCGTTCCTATCGAGGCCCTGTGCTCGTTGAAAGATCGAGCAGAGGGGCGAGTAGCACCAGGGGGCAGAGATCTTGAAAAGGGATGCGGCTTGTGGGCGACCTTGGCAGGCGCATAGAGAGACTGCTCTTCAGTCAAACTGTTGCCAGATGTAGAGGTCGTCAGGGTCTTGGACAACGGGTGAGGTTGGTGATCTTTGCTTTCAGCTTTGGAAATGGTCGCGCTGGGCGCAAAGGGATTCTCGCGAACCGCTGTTGGGGGCACAAAAGAGTCAGTAGAAAGTCGCGGCCGGCGTCTAACAGGCGTTGAAAATTCACTGCCAGGCTGCGAAAGCTGTCGCTCACCAGACTGCTTCCCCCACGAAGTCTTTTCGCCGTAGCGTTGCTGCAGCGTTGATCTCCGGAGAGATGAAGATCGTTTTGGAATGCTTGATGCGGGAGAAGGAGATGCTAGGTGATCGCGGTGAAAGGCAGGTCCCGCCATGCCCGACAGCTCGTACTCAGGAAACGAATCTTCGTGTATATCAAAGGCGCCAGGCGGCGATGCGCTTGAACCAAATATGTTGAGATCCTCCGTCTGCACAGAGCTCATAATGCCATGCAAACTTCGTCGCTTGGCCACGGGGCTGCCTTTGGTTGACTGATCCAAGTTCATCGTTGCGTCGCTGCGCTTCAAAGCACCTGTTGTCGGAATCATGGGAGAGTCGCTCGTCGAATCCAAGGCTTTAAGAAATGAGAATTGCGAAGCTTCTGTAAGATCAAATTGCACACTTTGCCGAGTCGACCTGTCGATAATTTTGCGCAGTGTAGAGCGGCTGGGCGTATTGTTGATGTTGATGTGGTTGTTGTTGTTGTTATTGTTGTTTTCCTGTCCAGCAAATCTAGGTCTGGGAGAAGATGGCGGCGAGCGTGAGGAAGTAGAGTTCCCAGAGTCGGGAGTGGCGCTCAAGGCGCGTTTCAACGGGCTCTTTGGGGACGCTCGGGTTCGGGTGATGCGCGAAGCAGGCGCCGTTTTTGTGCTTTTGGCGGATCGGAGCGAGAGCTTAACGCCTGGCCGAAGGGGTGTCTGCGCAGGCGATAGGTGCGGGGCGCTGGCGAGGAATGACGAGCCGACAGCTGGCGGAGCTGACGAAGGGGGATTCAGCACCGGGCGTTGTTGGAGCGGAGTCGTAACAGGCCGTCGACTGGGAGACAGTGAACCATGCCGCGTGTTGCTTGAACCTTGAGAGTTTGTTCGTGCGAAAAGCTTTGTGGGGGATCGTGACATTGACCGTCGAAGGTTGCGAACAGAGGCTGGGTCCATATGATGAACGTGAGTGGGCGAGGGCAATGCCAAAGTGCCACCGCCACCGTTGGAAAAGGACATGGCACTGGAATGAAGGCAGTGCAAAACAATGCTCAGAAGTTTTCTTGCTAAGTGTTATGAGAAAACCGCGGACCAGAAACCACCAGGCTAGGGAATGTCGATGGTGCTGAAGGCGTGCGCAGCTTCGGATTAGTTAGTCTCCTCGTAAAGGTTTGATTATATATGAAGCGCGCTGTAGATATCTCCTTGGTTGGCGGTCTCTAGGATGGCCAGGGAAATCCGTGCATCACACCAAGAAATAAAATACACAAAGACACAAAAAGTAAATCGGTCTGCCGAGGAATCGAAGTCTGAGATGCTTGGGAAACAAAATCCAGTCGAGATGATGTGCGATGTGTGCAACGTAACAAGAGGTTGTAGTATAGAGAAACCGCACACGGATGGAAAACGTCCGGGAGGGCTATCCTGATTAAAAAGAGAGAGGGAGAGACAAGCCGTGAAGAAGCCCGAGCGGGTCGCAGCGAAGAATACCAAAAGAACGTCTTATCCAGTCCGCATGCTGAGATGGGCGGCAAGCAGGCGGGGCCGAGAGTCAGGAAGGCCCAATGAAGCCAAGTCGACAACTTAGAACAAGTGGATTGCTGGCCAGAGGCAGTCACAGCATGGCGTGGGCCGAGAGTGTACGAGTATAGAAGGGAAGGCAGAGAGAGAGAGAGAGAGAGAGAGAGAGAAGAGGTGCTCACGATGCGTATGTGCCCGGCGCACTCTCGCAGATATCGCCCGCCTGTGAAGATGGAATATGTAGATGTAGATGGCAGATGCACTTGCGTCGATGGTCGGGCTAGGAGGATCGCAGAGCCAATATTCGCAGGTCCAATATGTCTCCCCGGATGCCTTTCAAGCACCTCCCCCTTGTTGAATCGCCGCTCGTTGCTGTCGTCGTCGCCGGCTTCGTATCGTGGACAAGTGACTCGGCTAAGGTTTCGAAATTGACTTTGGCAGCGCCGCCGCAGTTTCCCTTGTGAGCAGCGTCGGGCTCGGCCACGGCTGTGACTCAATTGAGAGACAGAGTAAAACAAAAGGCACACGCAGGGAGAGAGTGAAAATCCAGGTCAAACGCCGGATGGTATGCAAAGGTGTTGGGGCCGAGCGTGCAAAGGGAGTTGGAAGTACGGAGTACGAGTACGAGAGTACTAGAGGTACATGTGCAGTATAATCACAAGCAACAGCCTGGTGGTACCTTCTGCGGTGTACTTGTGCTGTGGTGTGGGAGCAGAAGGCGCGACTGAGATGCTGCATTGTTTATCATCTTACCAAACGAGGCCTAGCGCAGCACGCGGGAACGCGTCTTCAACCAGCCAAAGTGGAACCCATTTGGCAACGACCCCTGTGTCCGCCCGGCAGAATTTTAGTTCTACTGTAGCTCAGTGCGCCACAACGCCCTTGCGACAATCCTTGCTATCGACGAGGAGAGTTTCCTCGTTGAAGCACATACAAGAGGTAACAATGTTGTATGGTTTTCACGACTATTGAAAAGTATTTTTTCATTACTGCTGCTGCTACTATTGCGAGAAAATAGCATACTGTATGTACCTGCGTTTGATTCCAGAAAGGATCAATTCAGCAGTGCCACAATTATGGCGTGTTCGATATACCTCTGTCCATTACAGCGGACCAACGGACAAGACATTGCATTTCTCGGCCTGCCCATCATCACCCACGGGTCCTTATCAATCTTTTGCACAGCCTGGTCACAAGCAAGTGTGACGACAGTTTACAAAGAATAGTACGGGGTACATACAGGGTTTTAACATTGCCACCAATAGCCCATGCATGATGCCATCAATGAGGGGGGAACTGGAACTCTACATACGAAACATACAAACCACAACTCGGCGCATCGATTCCTACAGCACAACTTACGACATTCTGAGGCTCCAACCCCAACCCAGGAGGGGCACGGGTCTCGCTGACAGTAACGTAACGGGTCCAGGAACGGCGCCTTGGCCTTGGGAGGGCCCGTTGGCGCTTCTTCCTACGCCAAACCAGGCTATGACATCGAGGATCAAGGTGACATGGTCATGGATCGGAAGGGCAGTGGCAAAGATTGGCCCAACCGTCTGTTCCTCCCTGCATGTTTCGGGTTTCATGGTTTACTACCTTTTTTTTTTTCTTTCCCTTGCCTTTGCCACTTGTTCCCCAGACGCCAGGGTTCATGCAGCATGCGGGTAGCACGCGTCAATGCACCTCAGACAAGCTCATCAGGGCAAAAAGTATCAAGAATGAATGGCCAATGGTCTGTGAGAAGCCGCCGGCTCAGCCTCTGCTCCCAGTTTTTCCAACTAACGGCGTCATTGCCGGTGCGGTGGGCGATGACTCGCTCATCGGTCAAAACAAACAAAAACAAGGCTATTGTTCACTTGCAGCCTTGAAAGTTTGCGATTCTTTGCCACTGTTTTGATATCTTTCCACGACGCGTTTTAGAGGGTCAAAACAGCCAGCCATTTTTAAACTTGGGTAACCCTTGTTCAAATGCGCTCCATACTACATACAAATCCAAAAAGCGCCCCTATATTTTGGGTATTCTCTCCGCCATGGATGAATCTAAAGTGGTGGCATTACTCTAGCCCGTTTACACATTCACATCCCTATCTTGCCTATGTACCTGTATTCTTCCAGGCTGTCAGCTTTGAAGGACGATGGCCCCCTTTTTTCCTAGTCTCCATGGTCATTTCGCTTCCCGGCTCGCCATTCCGGGCCCGTACCCCATGTCATGCGGTGCACCCTTCATCCTCAACCTGCTTTCCCCAATACCTCTACTCAGCTTCTTTCACCACCGCCTGCGAGTCATGGCCTGGAATGTTCCCGTATTCAATTATTAATAGCTTTGTTAGGCTTTGGGTTCTATCGCCGTCTTCACATCTCTAGGCAGCCAAAAGATGTGCTCCGTACTGTAGCATCGTAGCAAGGCACCGGAATAGCCTTCAAATGCGCGACCAGGGAGTGGAGTAGCCGGAGTAGCTGGTCCATGACAACTGGTCTCTCCCTTCCCAGACGTGGAAACTTTGAAAGGATCCGAGCTGTTCTCGTACAGCACGGACAGAGTAGGTCGTCAGCGTTGCATCGAGTTGCGGGAGCGCGGTCTTACACCGTTCGAAGTGAGACTTGCCAGACAAGGTCTTATGTCCACTGAGGCTGCAAGGCAGAATCACGAGCACCCTGTTTGGTCCAGAACAACTGAATGAGAGTCCAATCGAGCTTGATAAGACGGATATTTAGCTTTCTTGCTTCAGAAAAATTACTTTCATTCATATCTCGATCCTTTAATTGTACACTACGGCTCCTGATGATGAGATACATTAGACGATCGATCGTGGGGTTTGCAAGCTCTGTGACATTTTGTGGAGCCGCCTGCAGGTACCAGGCAACGGGCATTGGCTGTATGTACCTGTAACCTTGAAGCTTGAAGTTTACCCTACAGCAATGAGGAAAAAATAAGATATGCGAACGTTTTGCAAGTCGGCGCTACACTATTGGATGGGAAATTGATAGAAACTCTATGGCGCAAGATAGTTTCATTCACTGACATCTAAAAGTGAATGCTGGGCATTGTATATCAATAGAGTGGTTGCGGGTAGTCGATCATGAATGCCCCCAACTTAACACAACACATATAAACTGTGAAGTCGATAATTTACATCTCGAGGTGCCAAGAGAATGTGGGAAAAACAACATGAAAAGTGAACCAATTCTCCTACTGCAGGTTAAAATCATCAACCAAGGCCAACTCATACGTCATGATAAATATATCGCTCTTTTACTCCATATTGGGTGAGCATCCAAGAGTCTCTGGGATGCTGGATGCTTTGAGCCACTTCCCGTGTCAATCAGGGCTCTTGCTCTGCAGCTGGTCCATTGATCCGAAACGTGGTATGGGGTAAAACAGCGATCAAACAGCCGATTAAATTACATCGATCTAGGTACCAATTCAAACCGGTAATCTGGACAAGGGCATCTGCACGTCATGATGAAGTTTGGGGATTAACTGAAGAACAAATACGTCATGAATACTAGAGTACCTAATAGGAGGAATGCACAGCTGCTGTCAGCCATAATCACAGTGATTTGTTGGTCTACATGTGCAAATTCGATCCAGAAGAACGCTCCATGCCTCATATGCCGCGCTGTATATGTGCACAAATCAATACAGTTCCATCTTCTCCAGGTGAATCAGGCCGTTCGGAGGCTGTTTCTCATATTAGCAATTGCCACCTCCATAATGTCATCTGCTCACTCACCGGAATGAATTGACGTAGCTTGACGCCCGCCTGTCTAAACACTTCCGCCGTCTCAGTGTCCATGCTGTATCCATGGGCATACACCACCTCTGCGATGCCGACCTGGCAGATCTTGATGCTACACGTCAAGCACGGACACGTATCGCAGTACAGCACGGAGCCCTCCCGGATACGCTCCCTCCCGGCCTCCAGAAGCGCATTCTCCTCGGCGTGTATGCACAAACACGTGGCCAGTCCGACACCAGAGCTGCTCCCCTCGTTGCATCGAGGACAGCCACCCTCTGCGCAGTTTCGCAAGCCGCGGGGGGTGCCGTTGTACCCCGTGCTGATGACTCGCCGTTCTCGCCCGACCAGGACGCAGCCTACACGGCGTTTCATGCAATTCGACCGATGCGCGGCCAGAGATGCCAGAGCCATAAAGTACGTGTCCCAGCCCGGCCTCATGCGGTCGGGGTTGGGGATGTCGAGTTTCCCCAGAGTCGCATAGAGATGAGCCAGCGACGATGAGGTGTTGAGCAGCCTGACGGTGGCCCGCGATATGAGCGGCTGCAGGCCAGTGTGAGGGTCGTACAGATGCAAGTCATTCTGGGCGACAAACTCCTCAAGGGAGATGGCAGATTGACCCGGCTGCTTGGAGCGCTGCTGGAAACGACGCCAACGCACGGTGAGCGGAGCGTCGATGGAGATGAGCAGGAAGAATGGCCGCCGGACAAAGACATCGAGCACCTTCTCCGTGGGGATGTCCGTCGTCACAAAGCGGCTGCGCCATCGCCGAGTTACAAAGTCCAAGAGGTCCTCAGCCGTGGCAAAGACATACGACGACGAGGTCTCAGTACCATTAACCACGGCGGTTACCCCAGCACCGGCCGCACTGCCGCTGTCAGGGGACGAAGATGTCTTGCCCGCAGCGTCCTGGTCTGAGACGGACGCAGGGGCTTGCAGGTAGAGGTGCTTGAAGCCGTGATGCTCAACCAGATACTGGGCCACAGTCTTTTTGCCCGAGCAGATGCCTGGTCAGTTGAGGTCAGCCCGCTATATCTCAATTAAAGAAGGCTTTGTCTCTGCGCATGCGGATCACATGAACGTACTGCCACATATGCCGACGAGCATCTTGGCCTCTTCTGTAGCCCTGAGAATTCGCTAGCTGGTGATTTAGATTTAGCAGCATCGAGTCCCTCCGCAAAAGAATTTCAGATCGCGTCTGGGCATCAATCCGCATTGGTAAGTGGGGCGATGTGGAGGAAGCATTCAATTCAATGGACCTTAACAGTAGCTGCTCCAAAAGAGCTGTAATATTAGGCGCTGAGATTTGCTCCATCCACACAAATTCGGAATTGGCAACATTACTCCGTACATGGTACCGATAAACACAGCCATCGGCACGAGTTTAATTTTACAACACGGAAGACGAGATGGATGGCCGTATCTAACAAACCCGTCTCACATCCATCATCTTATATATCCAGATGGAAGAGAGAAAAAAAAGAAAAAAAGAACTGCCCCCACACAGATTTGAACTATGGACCTTTGCATTACGAGTGCAACGCTCTACCCCTGAGCTATAAGGGCGCTCGATGAAATGGAGCCAATGTCAAAGGCTTTATAAACCCTAGAGCAACTACATACGACAGAAGATGGCCTATGCCGCAGTCGATTGTAAAACTCTTTCCTGGTGGCGGGGTGCTTAGACGCAAGTCATCGTCATTGCACCTCTTTAAACATATTTCAACACATTTTTTTTCTGCCTAATAAAATCACCATATAAACGGGAGAAAATGCAACTCAAGGCAATTCAGAAGCTGGAGCTGCCGGCTGCGGCGGACATGCACGTTCATTTGCGCCAGGGCGAGATGATGGACGTCGTGGTGCCGACGGTTGAGCAAGGAGGAGTTGATACGGCCTTTGTGTATGTTGATTCTCCCTGTCATTCACCCGGAAATGAGAGTTGTTAGGCGTAGCTGACATGAGATATATATATGAATAGCATGCCAAATCTTGTATGTGATTGTAGTCGCTTTGATTTTAATAGAACATTGACTCACCCGTTTTCTGACGGAATTTCCTCACTCACAACATATCATCTCATTGCATGGGCTGACAGATTCATAGGTGCCCCCCTTGACAACCGTGGACCAAGTATGTTGCCATGCATGACTTGCAACCACCTCTGCAGATGGCTAATTCTCATCGAGGTTCTCGAATACCAAGGCAAGCTCCGTGCTGCCGCGCCCAATGTCCATTTCCTCATGTCCCTCTACGTAAGTTGCATCTACATATCCGAGTGTATATACGTGGACAAGCACCTAAGAAAGACCTAGCTTCACCCATCGGTTACACCAGAGACTATTGAAAAGGCAGCAGAGGCGGGCATCACAGGCGTCAAGCTGTATCCTCAGGGTAGGTTATTTACACTGTTACGACTCAAGATGCAGGGCACTAATTCAACCCAGGAGCGACCACCAACTCTGAGCATGGAGTGGCCAACATCGAGGCATTCTATGACACTTTTGCCAGCATGGAGAAGCATGATACTGTGCTCAACCTGCACGGAGAGGTCCTCGAAGCCTTTGCTCCAGAAGGCACAACACTAGAAGAGGCCTTCCTCCCCACTCTCAAGCAGCTCCATGAGAGATTCCCAAACCTGCGCATCGTGGTATGTATAACTCCACCGGAAGTCCCTTCTCATTTTGATGAGATGCTAATAGCTGTAAAACATCACAGCTGGAGCACTGCACTACGGCTGCGGCGGTGGAGGCAGTCAAGGCCTGCGGACCCAACGTTGGAGGTATTACTTGACCCCCTTGGTACCATTTCCCCCTTTCCCAAAGATTCCTGCTGATTGCACTTACAACTCAGCGACGATTACGGCCCATCACCTCTACCTGACAGAGGCTGATGCCTGCTGCGACCCTTTTGCATTCTGCAAGCCCATCCCCAAGAAGCCCACTGACAGGGACGCTCTGCTCAAGGCTGTCGTCAGCGGCAACCCCAAATTCTTCTTGTGAGTTATTCCACCACGCTTGCGCTTCCTTATGTCTATTGGTCGCCATTGTGCGATCTGGCTAACGTGCTTCTTCACAGTGGAAGTGACAGCGCCCCCCATCCGCTTACTTCCAAGACTACGGCTGCCCAGGGCAAGGCGCCGGCTGGTGTCTTTACACAGCCTTACGTTGCCCAGCTCGTGCTCCTGGCACTGGAAGAAGGTATTGAGCGCGGTGTCATCAGCGAAGAGGATGTAACCCAAGAGAAGCTCGAGGGATTTCTCAGCAAGTTCGGAAGACGCTTCTACAAGTTGTCCGAAACCTCTGGGAACAAGATCGTTTTGGAGAGGAAGGGAGAGAAGATACAAGCTAGCGTCAAGAGTGAGAGCGGAGCTGTAGAAGTTGGCATCTCGAGAGCAGGCACCGAAGTCTTCAGCCTGACGTGGGTAAAGGCGGCATGAAACATTTAGCACGTTTGGCTTTGTTGTGTGGATAGGGGTTCGTTTCCGCTTCGTGCAAATGAGGTGTTTGAAACTCGGCTGCCCCGGAACGGTCTGAGTCCGAGATACATGGCATCGCGGGAACTAGGGATTAAACTCTTGACGGCGGTTAGATCCGAGACGGCTCATGTTCCGGAGTGGCGTGATGGATATATATCTACCTATGCAAGGATGAGGGACATTAGGCGACGTGCGAGGGTAAATAGAAGATGTGTTGACGTTATGCTCAACTCCGAACATCTATGGAACATACAACCCAGATGATTCAGGACAAGGCATAGTATTGATAAAGGTCCATAACATATTGGTACCTGTGATCAGCTCACTCAATCGTTGTCGTGTTTTTTATTTTATTTTATTTTACAATAGCTAAGCAAGGTGAAACGAGCATATATTGACTAGGCCATTCTCCGCGGATGTATCCACGGGTGAATGGACGTGTGCAAATACCACGGAGTCAACCAACAGCAAACCTCGAGGTTGGAGCATCCGTTTGCTGGATCCGCAACGAGACAAAACATCTACAAATGGGTTCCGTCATATAAAGGTGTGTGTCTTGCTTAGTTGACTTGCACACGCAACCTGTTTCCGATTCTCTAGACTAAGAACGGATTATCCTCCACGGGGCGAAGCAGTATGAGGTATGGATAACCGGCCGGTAGGCTATGATGACGCTATTCGGATTCAAGCTGGCAACTCCGAACAAGTCTTTGGTGGAAAAAATGAATTCCTCCACTCTTGTTCGCAACTGCATACAAGTACGAGTCAATTACTCGTAACCTTGGCCCAACGTTCAATCACATCCCATTCATTGCCAAAAGCCCCGGAATTTCCAATCCACACAGGCGGCCCTTGTCGAGCCCACGCTTAAGGCTAACCGCTCGCATTAATATGATCAGAGCGGGCGCAGCTTTGCTTTAGTTCTTCATCACGAGCCCGCGAAAAATTGCCAATGGAATAGAACCCTGCCAATGGAACCTATTTCCGAGTCTCCACTCCCCAGCAGTTCGTGCAAGCCATACCATCAAAGACGTCGTGACTGGTCATTTTCGAGTTATTCATTTCCCGTTGTTTTATATAAGTTTGATATCATAAGCACCAAGTGACAAGCGTTGCATTAGGGGAAGCGACTCGAGTGAGCTGAATGAAAAGTCCAACGGCGAGTCTCGGAGAAGAGAGTGGGGAGTGGAGAGCTGGAGCGGGATTGATTGACAGGTTATCTAAAGGTCAATAGAGATTATAAATATAAAGATGGTCTTGGTAGCTCCTCGCCTTGTGATGCAATTCGTGTCGAGGGAGGAAAGCCTGTTTGTTGTTCGGTGCCGTTGGATATTCGCTCGTGTTCGCTGCTCTACACCAGGTTTGTAACGACTGGAGCAACGATGGAGTCGCTCAGTGTGGCTCTGGTTTCATTAGCTAGCGTCGTGTTAGTGCTGCGACAGACAGATGCGACAGTTCCTCTGGCAGCATCACTTGGAGTTTTGGTGTATGTTGTAGGAACGGTCGTGTGCAAGGTCGGAAAGGCGTTGATATACCCGTTCTACATCTCTAGATTGCGACACTTGCCCGGGCCAAAGGTATGGCAAATTGTATAAGCCTGGTGGCAGGCGGTCGTCAGAAAGCACAAGCGCAAGAAGAAAGATTAAAAAGAAGAGAAGAGAGCTAATAGCCGTCAATGTCAATGTAGGATAACCAGTTCCTCGTCGGCCAGGGCATCCGCCTGCTCAAAGCCGCCGGTCCCAACGACTTATATCTCGAGTGGGTGCGCAAATGGCCCGACGCGCCCTTCATCCGCCACCTCAGCTTTGGCAACTCGGAAGTTCTCTTGGTCAACAGCCTGGAAGCAGCCCGCGAAGTTCTCCAGACACACGCGTATGCGTTTGTCAAGCCCAGTTTCTTCGTGAAGCTGGTGGGGGAGATTGTGGGAATTGGCATCTTGTTCAGCGTGGGCGACCAGCATAGGCAGCTGCGACGAATCACGGCTGGTGAGCCGACCATGTTGTCGAGGAGATGCTTGGAAGCTCTCTGTGTTTGAGTTGATGCTGATATGAAGCTGGTTCACAGGACCCCTTTCGAAGCCGAGCGTGCGGAAGATGCTCCCCATATTCAAGGACAAGGCCAGAGAGCTGTCTGTCGAATTCGATGCGGCGATTGGACAGGATAAAAAGGGAGTGGTTGAGGTCGAAGCCCTTTTCAACCGAACAGCCTTCAAAGTCATCAGCACCGCCCTCCTCAGCAGGGACATCAGCGAGTTTCGATCCAAGTCATCGCCCCTCAGCTTCGAGGAGTGTTACAAAGCCATTCTCATCCCGCCGCTGCTGGGGAAGCTCATCACGTTTCTAAACCCATTTATTCCGCTGCGGTGGCTCCCGATCGAAGCGAATCGAGCCTTTATCCGGGCCAATAGTGCTCTGAGGGCGATGCTCACTGAGCTGGTACAAGAGCGTGTGCAGCAGGTCCAGCAAGACAAGAAGAGCGGCCAAAGCGATGCAAAGGCTGATACCAAGGACTTTTTGACTAAGCTGATTGAGGCGAATCTGGCTGAAAAAAATGGTGTCTCTGACCAGATGTTGGTAGACCTTGTAAGCGGTTCCCCCGTCGATGTGGTATGTGGCCAATTCCGGCACTGACTCGTCCAATCTAGATTATCCAAAGCGTTTCTGCTGGCCATGAGACCACAGCTGGCGCCCTCACTTGGACTGTGTACGCGCTCATCAAATACCCGAACATGCAGAAGCGGCTGCGCGAAGAAATCCTCTCTGCCCAGAAGAAACAGCCCGACCTGGATGCCGCAGCCATCGACGGTCTCCCGTACCTCAACAACATCATCAGCGAAAGCCTGCGCGTCTACTCACCAAGCCTCATGGCGCCATGGGAAGCCGGCGAAGACGTCGTCATTGCGGGCGTCCCCATCCCAAAGGGCACCACCGTCACGACGATTCCCGCCATGGTTCACCTCAACCCGGCCATCTGGGGCGCCGACGTTGACGTTTTCAACCCGGATCGATGGGACTCGACGACGGGACCGGCGGCCAACCCTTTTGCCAGCGAGTCGTTTATCAATGGCCCGAGAACGTGTCCCGGTAGAGCACTTGCGTTGCTGGAGATCAAGACGGTGCTGGTGGAGATGATGAGCAACTTTTCGCTCGAGGCTGTTGATGTGGATGTGCAGTTTGAGCATCCGACTTTGACATTGAAGCCAAAGGGGGGATTGCATGTTCGAGTGCAGAGGCTATAAGGATGATAGATTGATACCTGTATATAGTATACCTCATGATAGTGTTTTTGGAGTTGGCAGCTATATGCTGAGTAGGGACTGAATTACCCACGATCTTCATGCTACATGTATCTAGTTATATCGTATAAACCGCCCCCATGCTTGTGCTCGTACAAAATACAGAGTGCTCCGTAGCCGTGATATTAACTGCCGGCGAGTTCCTCTTTAGGCTGTGATGCAACTCGCATGGAATTCAGAAAGCCGGCTTTGCGCTGGATTTAACCAGCCACAAGGATTAGGGCAGTATAACAGCATCCAGGCGGGTTAAAATGGAGTGCTGACTCCAATCTTCTCCAGACGCCGTATTCCGCCCTCTGGATGATGATAGCGGAGCCAGGTGGCTTTGGGATGCTGCCAAGAGCCGTTTCCCACATGCAGTTATTACATCAGAAATATGTCCCCTTTCCATGAAATGGCATCGCATGGCGTAGTATTATCATGCCGCATCGTATTCAGAAGTTTTATAAATCTAGATTGAATGTTGTGAGAGGCTGCCACAACACTGGAGTTTTGAAACCTCGTATTCCGTTGTGCAAGTCTAACTCACAACCATTCAGAGTTGACAACTTGAACCCTTGGTCAACTCAATCAACACCATCACCAAACCAAACTAGAAAGACTCAAAACAGTCGGTCAGCGCCGCGTCTAGCTTCTCCCGCTATGGGGCCGACGCGCCCTTTTTCGTCCTCCGCCCTTCTCCAATTGGCCTGTCTCCGCGTCAGCAGCACCGAGATTCGAACAAAATGCAACTCTATAATAAGGGGGAAACCAAGGAAATCCAGCAAGCGAACCGGTCCGGCACCTAAATGAAGCATACATACGCCTCAACTTGCTTGTGCTAGTAAAGTCCAATAGTAGTACGGAAACTAGTTTGATAATTAATCATCTCCCTCTTCTCTCTCTCTCTTAACCCCAGGCGTCCATCTCACAAACTGGTTGTTTTGTCTCCCCGCCTGTCAGTGACTCCATTCGCCCATTTCTCGCCCTTCTCCACGATCCATCACCCTCCGGATGTCTTCGAGCCGCCAACCACAGCCAAGACGCAGCTCGGGCCGCACGCTGTTAGCCTGCGAGCCTTGCCGCAAGAGGAAATCAAAGGTATGGCCCACGTTCAATCTCGTCCTTTCCGGGGGCCAGGATTCGATGAAGACGTGCATATTGTGTACGAGTATGGGGTTAGCCCAGTGTAAATGGGCAATGGGCAAATGCCTGTTCTGTCGTCTGTCCTGGGTTTGTATGGACGGGAAAACTTGACTGGCGGAATCTCGTCCGGCCCCATCACGGCCTTTAGAATCCTCTCCGAGCCCCATCACGGACGTGACAGTCCGCGCGGCTTCTACTGGGGGGCCGACATGACTAGACCAACGCAGATTGAGTTCCCCTGACAGATTCCAGAGTAGATGCTGATGCTCTTTATTTGTAGTGCGATGGCGAGAAGCCACAGTGTGGCTCCTGTCGGTCCCATGATCTGGCCTGTCACTACGAGCCAGCTCGAACTACACGGCGGTACGGGCTCTTGTTCTCCCATCTACCTTGTATCTTAGACTCAGCATGAGACTACACGTATGTATCTGTAACAAGAACCGCTTGCTAAGTCGTCGACGTCTTTCTCCAGGCAAAAGTACTGGGACCGCGACTATGTCCAGGCCCTCGAAGACCAGGTCCGGCTGCTGTCCGCGTCTCTGGAGCAGTCCAAGGAACCCGGCTCGTCTCAGTCCGCTTCCCCGGCCAGCCAGCCGTCCCCCTCGGACCCAAAACAACTCCCGTACGGCCCGAAAATGCTCAAGGCCCTGCACGACTTCGGGTCCGTCAAGTGGGCCGACGTCACCGGCCGGGACGGGCTCCCGATGCTCGCCGGGCCGGGCCGCTTCTCCTTCTACTCCAACACCCTGCTGCCGACGTTTGAGGACGGCACCAAGCCCTCGCCTCCTCCCAAGGAGGTCATGTCGAAGGAGACGTTTCTGCTGGAGATTGCCTCCAACTTGAGCTTGAAGCAGCATCTCAAGGCGCACTTCCTCGACAACCTCAACCCTTACTACAAGTTTATCGACCCTATCTGGCTCAACTTCTCCGACTTGTTCCCCCACAATGATACGGCGTTGCAGTTTCTGTACAGCGCCCTTTTTGCGGCTGCCGCGTACTCATCGCCTGTGGCTACCAGAGAAACCGCCGACGCCTTCATGGCATATGCCGAGGGCCTGGTGCAGCAGTGTTATCTGGAGCACTTGTGTCTCCCTGTGTTGCAGGGCCTGATGATCATTGCTTGGCAAAAACATGTGATGCTAGATGCCGCCAAGGGCCACCTATATCACTGTAAGTAATGAGATTAATCGGTTCGTTGTTGATCATGGGCTGAACGGGAGTCTCTATCCTGTAGACATGGCCATTGGGCTATCTAACCATCTGAAAATCCGAGATCTGCCGGCCCAGGAGCGGACTGTCAACGATGTGGCCACCATCAGGACCTTTTGGTCCCTATTTTTCCTTGACCGGTTTGCTCGCCCATCTCAGTATACTTGAAGAAGCTGATGTGAACTAACCCCTTTCTCTTTTTATATATTCAGGATATCTACCCCGAAGTTGGGTGCCCCTCCAGCGATTCCTTGGGACCCTGACAACATCACGCCGTATATCGACACGGTGTCGCCGGAATTGGTCGACGTGACATCCCTCTCTTTTGACCACCACTGCCAGCTATATAATATCCAGCAGCGGTATATCGACGTCATGTAAGTACCAATCTCTTTCCAACTAAGATCTGTTACTAGATTCTGACGATCCACGAATGACAGGTACGCCCCCAACTTCCAACAGCGCCCAGCCGCGGAAAAGCAAGCCGTCTTCGCCAAAGCAAACAACGAGATGCTAGCCCTGCGGAAGAAGATCGACAGGCGCCTCTACATCAGCCGCAACGTAAAGCCCGACAGAGTCCAAGTCGTCTTCTGGATCACATATCACTCCATCTTGATCAACCTCTACCGGCCGATTCTCAACCCCAAAGACCCCGGCATGGCTCACAACATCCCCACGGTCCTTCGGTCCTCAACGGCCTCGGCCATGGCAATCACTCGACTGCTCAAGAGCCTGCAGGCGTCCGACGAAATCAAGTATCTTCCCCCGTTCATCATCTACCACGTCTTTCGCGCCGCGTTGGTACACGGCCTTAACCTCATCGCCGCCGAAGAAGCCGGTGGCCAGCGGATGTCGTCGGGAAACTTTTGGTCTTGTTTCCGCGTGCTTGGGGAGCTGAGTGGTATCTGGAAGGAGCTTTCTGAGGGCACGATGCCGTTTGTGCTTATGGCTACGAGGGGCTGGGGATTCCAGGAAGAGGTGGGCGGGACAGAGGATGAGGATGAGGATGAGGATGATTATGAGGCGGGGATAACGGACCTTCTTGGTGAGCTTGAGGGAGAAGTAGTGTAGTATATGTGATTGTTCGGGGAGGAGTTGTTCAATGGCGTTGGCGGAAATGTTGTACAAAAGCGTCAGTCTCAAAGAGTATGTAAAAGGTGAGCGTGTTAATATATTAATAAGATCAAAAACTGTGCACAACAGGCATATTTGTGTATATATCTCAATGTACACCTATCGACTCAAGCATAGAAATAACATTATTTCATCAGAGTGACGACACACGACTCCCAAGCAAACATCCCATATCTCACCCCCATTTAGTCGGACGTGCAAGTCACGAAGCCAACTGCAGCAGGTGGGTGAACCGGCACAGTCGTCGGTTTGCGGATCGAGACAGCCCCGAGGCTCTTGTTAGTAGGAGCCTGGAAAGAGCACGAAGTGAGGATGTAGCGGCGGCCATCAAAGGGGGGCGCGACGAAGACGTCGGTGACGGTACCGCCAGAAGCTATCGAGAACTGCGTTAGTCTTTCACTGTCTTTTGTCGATAAAGAGTACAATAGGGTTACGTACACAACTTCTGGGTTCCGTTGTTAATCTTCACACTGATTGGCTTGGTGTAGGTGCCGTTGGAGTATGTATAAGCAATCTGAGCGGTGCTCTTGTCGTGAAACTGGTGAGCCGGTGAAGCGGCAGCAAGGCCGGTAAGGGCGGCAGCGATGAAAGCAGAGAAATGCATCTTGATGGTGTAACTTTTATATGATAGAAAAAGTATACGTATGTACGAGAATTGTGTCTAAGGAGCGCGAGACGTTTAGAAAAGATTGATGTCTGTTGAACGAGAGAAACCGCTCCCTCTCCCCCCCTTTTAAGCAAAATCATTTCCACAATACCCATCTTATAGCCTTTCCATCCGTTGCTTCTGCCTCCATTTATGATGCCCATCTTTGCCAATTCTTGCCATGGTGGAGCAGGGAGTGATGGACCGTATCAAATCCCGCTCTCACCTAGCGTTACACGCACCTATTCATCGCAATTATAACCTCTGCTGTTGTCCAGGCCGGCAGTGGCAGAGATCAACATTAAGGGACCACGCAGAGCTATCTCAAAGTCTGACAGGTCGGTGTTGTCAAGGGACGGGGGCCTGAAGATCATTGCCCAGCTCGGAACGGTCGTTCGTTAGCTGGCAAGGGGCTGACAAGGCCATGAGGTTATCTCGTTGCCAAGATTTGTGAAGCAGGACTATTTTCTTCCACCTATTTGATCGCTTTATACCTACTCGAGTTGTTATTTCGAGGGTTGCTATTTAATATCTGATAACGCAGACACTTCAAAGCGTTTTTTTTTTTTTTTGGCAACTCCTAATGTTTCTTTTAGTCTGTGCAAGCCATGCGAATATTCTGGGGCCATTCGTTTGAGGTTGTAGTGATCGACAACAATTGCGGAGCGACACTCGGTGGAAATATTTCTCTGTGCTCCGTGCTTGATATCCAGGCATATGACGCGGCATCGCCGACGAATGCAGACCGATAAACATGACTTGTTTTGTGGAATAAATCGAGTCATGTCAGATTCTCGTGCTTTTCGAATACTAGTACCCAGTTTGTACTATGCCTTGGTATGCAACTCCTTTGCACGGCCATCGCATGATAAAGCAGCATCCGTCAATTAATTATTCTTATTACTTATGTCTGAGACGCGTCTGAGGTAATGTTCTCTTGCAGAACTTGATCGACGTAAGCATCATTCCGAGATCTGCGCAAGATGCCGAGAGTGGCAGGTCGCAAAGAGTCTGAGAAGCTGTTGTGAGATCGACAAGTCGTGAGAGATCGTCAGCATTGCGTCTTATCCACTGTAGCGGATTGACAACGTGGTAATTTCGTATCAGCAGTCGATGTTAGTATAATCAAAAGCTTGGCCTGGCATGACATGAGCCTTGATGATGATCACAGGCTGCCTCTGCAAATGCAGTACAAGTAGGTCGTGATGGCTTAGGTCTATCCGACATAGTATAGAACATTATTACCCCATCTTCTAGCTTGAAGAGATGCGAGTAATGTTCACGTTATCAAACTCTGCCTCTATCCCGAATACCCTCACGCCATCCATTCCGCTGTTATACACATCATCTGTGACGCTGATGACAGCGTGCCGCTCGCCTTTGAGCTCCACATGTAGTGAGCTGCCATCTGCCGTCACCCGGAGTCGATGTTGCTCTGCCGGCTCAATACCAACCTCTTCTCTTCCCAGAACTATAACCCCAGTTGCATCTGTTCGGCCGAGGATCAGGGAGCCTGATGTGCTGACGACTGCATAGTAACCTTTGAAAGAGTCATCGTCACTAGACGGACCCGACACTCGGAAGAAAAGGCCTGCATAGCCCACACAGTTGCCGGTGCCCTTTTTGGAGATTTTCACGTCGGCTTCATATACAAAGTTGGAAAAATTGGTGTTGAGCAAGGCCAGGCCACCTGATGAAGCGTTCCCTCGCAAAACATTTGTTTCAGCATCCCAGTCACCTCCATGAGTTTCCCAGCCGATCATGTTGCCGTCCTCAAAGTTGTCATGGACCAGCATCTTGACCGGTTCAATAGTGCCGTCATCATTAAAGTAGAGCCGGTCATATGCCAAGTGTCGGTCGTTTCCGTCAGTTGACCCCAATGGATGCCGATGGTACAGCATGTAATAGATGTCCGCATCAGGAACTTGAATCACGGCGTTGTGGCCGGAGCCTGTTGCCACGGCTTCATCCTGTTGCAATATCTTGACGATGCGGTCAAATGGCCCAAGTGGTGAGCTGCTCATGCCGTAAGAAACCGCATAGTCAGGCCCTCCCCAGCCACCTTCGCTCCAGAAGAGGTAGTAGATGCCGTTACGCTTGAGCATCTGCGGCCCCTCAACGTAGTTCTCTGGAGTAATCTCCTTGAAGGTGGTGCCATCGTCAAAGGTGCCCAGGCTAATCATGTCGTCGTTTAGCTTGGCGACGTTGGCGTGAGAGTGTCCGCCGTAATAGATGTAGGCTTGCCCATCGTCGTCAATGAAGACGTCTTGGTCGATTGGCTGTGCGCCGTTATGATATGCGCCAATGAGTGGACGGCCAAGGGGATCTTGATACGGACCCTCTGGCTTCTCTGCCACGCCCACGCCGATGCCGCCCAGCTCCGAGTCTGAGTGGATATCATTGGCGCCGAAATAGAGATAATACGTGCCGTTGCGATAGACTGGCGCCGGGGCCCAAACAGCGCGATGTGCCCAGGCGAAGTCGTCAGCAGTCAGGATCGTCGAGTGCTTCGTCCAGTGAACCAAGTCCGGAGATGAGAAGGCATCGAGGTACGTCTGTTCATCGTACGGCCGCGACGCCGTCGGATACACCCAGAACTCGCCATTGTAGAACTGAGTGTCTGGATCAGCATACCAACCGTCGACAAACGGATTTCCCGCTTCAGACGTGGCAAAGTCGGGCGTCCTGGATGCAGCAGCCAGGCAAGAGGAAGAAGACCAAAGGGTCACCAGCAGTGCTTGAACCGACCGAGGCTGCATCTTGAGATGGTGAACAAGTCAAGTCAGCTCTCGCATCATTCACTTGGTTTCTGCTCTGTGATTTTGGATTGTTTGAAAGTCGAACCTCGTTTGCCATTCGAGTGTTGAACAAGGCATCAAATGATGATCATGCGGCACAGCTCAAGTGATCCTTCACCGTAACGGTACTAAATTCTAGCGCTGCGACAGTACAGCCATCAGGTACCGAGGTACAAGCGCCAATCTCACATCATGTGGATTTTCAACGCCAACAGACAGCTGTCGTTTATTTGAATCAAGTACATGGAGCAAGATTGAGGGAATCTCCGAGGTGGCCGATTGTATGCCTGTACAGGTAAGTTGTAAGGCTCACAAGCCATCTAACTTCTACTCTACAGGATGATGTTCATAGAGAACAAGGTCCACAGATTGATAAGATCAAACGCCCGCTCTTATCAGCTCATCTCACAACCCTCAAAACAAACTCACCAGTCAGTCAATATTCCAAACAGCCCTTCTTGACCAATCAATCATCTGCTCGAATCCTCAAATCGGTATCGCGCGCCACCATGACAAGACGGTATTTCGGCACGGCTTCTCCAGCCGAAAAGTCCACTTTACGGGGACAACTCCATCAATAGTCCCAGCACAGCCGCTGCCCGACAGCATCTTCGGACCACCAGTCTGGCCGCTGTGGAGAAGAATTGGTGTACTTTTGCTGTTTTTTTTCTTTGCTGGACGTCCCGGAATCGAGTTTTGATCTCCGAATGGAGATGCCGATGATGTCAATCTCGACTGAGTAATATATACCTATCGTAAGTCGCGGCTGCTGCGGAAGGGATTGTTGAAACGGCACCTGGCGTGACAATTTTGAGAAAGAGAAATATCGGAGAAGAGAAGTAACTGTAGACGAAGAATAGGTCCAAGCGTATTCAGAAGCCTCAGCTTTGTAGAGATGAAGGTGTTTTCGTCTGTATACTGCGGCCTAGATACAACAGACCGCGATAATCGTCCCACTGCTCCATTAAAGGCTTCAGACAAATAAATAGCGCCGTTATCAATTAATCGTAGCAGAAATCGGCTCAACTTTGGGAATGCCAAGTGAACGGCTCCCCAAATCGACCGCTAGGGCTGATCGTGGGTCTCAGCCGGCTTCAGATTCGGAACAACAACGCCGACATCCACGGAACGCCAACTGCTCGTATATAATCAGATGCCTCTGTCTTCTCATCTAATCTTATCTGATCTGATCATCCTCAATGGTCAGCCAGCTTCTCCGTCATCTTCATGCCCGCCATGGAGACCAAGGCGCCGGAAGCCACCGAGGCCGGCGAGATTGGATTTCAGAGCAGGAGATCCAGCATCTCCGAGGACAAACGGCCATCCGGTATGCATTCCGTGGTATACTTGAGCTTCGATGAGCTGACTGAGTTATTCTCCATCAGAGGAATCAAAGACACCGACAGAAGAAGTCCTTTACGCCGCCGGGGTTGGACACCGAACGGATGATCCGTCTCTGCCTTGCCTCACTTTGCGCATGTGGGTGATTGGCATTGGATTCTGTCTTATCGGCAGCGGCGTCAACACGCTATACACATTTCGGCTTCCATCAGTCACTCTCTCCCAGTCTGCGATCCAGTTCCTAGCATATCCTCTGGGAAAAGCCTGCGAGTTCATCATCCCAGACTGGGGCTTGACTGTTTTTGGAGTTCGCCACAGCCTGAATCCCGGGCCCTTCAACTACAAGGCATGTAGACAGTATTTTCAATCCTCCAGGGGGCAAAATCTAATCTGAGTTGTACGAGTCAGGAAAATATCCTCATCTACATACTGGCCAACTTGAGCTACCTCACCCGTCTAAGCGCCGACGTATTGACCGAGCAGCGAGTATTCTATGGCGCCAACACTGGCTGGGGCTTCGAAATTACTATAACGCTGGCCACTATTCTCTATGGTTTCTCCCTAGCCGGCTTTGGTAGATCACTTGTTGTCGAACCAAAGACTTTAGTATGGCCCGGGGTACTGGCCAACACTGCGCTGAACGCTGCTCTGCATCCAGTAGGAAAGGAAGATGAAACCGAGTATGCGATCCATGCCTATGAAGAAATAATTCTTGGCTAACTTTCATCAGGGCTAAATGGAGGTCTTCGCGGTACAAGTTCTTCTTGATTGCTTTCACGGTGGCCTTTGTATGGTACTGGTTCCCAGACTTCATCTTTCCAGCGCTGGGGTATTTTACCTGGGTCTGTTGGATAGCACCTCGCAATCCAGTGGTCAACCAAATATTTGGCATGAAGAGCGGTATTGGGCTTTTGCCATTCACATTTGACTGTAAGTACCGCGTCTCTGACAAGTATTCCAAGCTCACATTGTAACAGGGGCGGAAATCGCATACATTGGAAGCCCTTTGGTGGTACCGACCTGGGCCATTCTCAATACCCTTGCATCAGTCGTCTTTTGGATCTACATCGTCACGCCAGCAATTTACTACTCAAACACTTGGCTGTCGGCATATCTTCCCATTCAAAGCAATTCGATTTACGACAACACGGGAAGCGCATACAACGTTTCCCGAGTCATCAACAAGAGACAAGGATTCGTCTTTGAGCCGGAAAAGTACGAAGAATACTCACATGTAAGAGTGGCCTGCTGTTAGCTCTAATTTAATTGCTAACAATCATTAGATTTATCTTCCAGTCACTTACGCCCTCAACGCGTTTGGTCTATGTTTCGCCTGCATCTCATCACTGTTTGTCTGGATGTTTCTCGAGAAGCGCCATGAAATCGCCCAAGCATTCCGAGAATCCCAGCTTCCTGCTCTCTTTGGACGCAAAACAGATGCCAGACCAGATTTACAACCGCAGTACAATGATGTTCCTATGTGGTGGTACGGAGCCTCTTTTCTCGTGTCTTTGGGACTTGGCATTTTTGCCTGCGAGTTTTATCCTGTGCAGTTACGCTGGTATGGGGTCATCTTTGCCATGTTTGTATCTGCAGTCTTTTATCTTCCTGTAAGTTCATTTGCATTCCGTGTTAATCCAACATAGATGTATGCGCTAATACGACTTTGGATCAGCTGGCTTGGGTTTATGCTACGACCAACATGAAAGTCCAGATTGACATCTTCTGTCGGTTGGTTGCTGGCTACATCTGGGAAGGCAAAGTCCTGGCCAACATCTGGTTCTTTGACTTGGGCTACATCTCTGGCATCAAGGCTCTCGCATTTGCCCAGGATCTGAAGCTAGGAATATACTCCAATGTGAGTAGAGTACCGGACATGGAAGCTCTGCTAGAAGCAAAACTAACTGAACGCAGATCCCACCCAGGTACCTATTCATTGTCCAGATTGTTGGCTTGATCATGGGGACATTGGGACAAGTCTCGGTTCTGAACTGGGCACTGGGCCATGTCCCAGACATCTGTTCGCTAACCGCAAAGAACGGATTCACATGCCCCTATTCTCGCACCCACTTCAACACCAGCATGGTCTGGGGCGCTCTCGGGCCTCGCCGGTTCTTCGCTGACGGTACTTTATACCAAAACCTCTTGTGGTTCTTCTTGATTGGAGCCACTCTACCAGTCATAGTGCATGCCCTGAAGAAAAAATGGCCCGAGCAGCGATGGTTAGAAAAGATTCACATTCCACTGTTTCTTGGTGGGCTGAATTACATCCCCCCAGCCTCTGGGACAAATTACGGCAGTTGGGTCATCGTTGGCCTGATATTTGGCTTGTGGATCAAGAAGAAGAGCAGAGGCTGGTGGCGTCGATACAACTTCGTGCTCAGCTCGGCCCTGGATTGCGCAACAGCCATTGCAGGCATCATCATCTTCTTCGCCATCTTCTATACTGGAGCGGCCGACAAGTTCTCTTGGTGGGGAACCACGGTACATGAGGTAAGTTTTACCATGAGTTTGCCGAATACGAGCAGCAGCTAATCAGATCTTCTCTAGAATACTTGTGACTGGAAGAGCTGTACATATAAGACGGTCCAGAAGGGGCAGACGTTTGGGCCATAGTGATATGAGCTGATAGATAAAAGCGAAGCATTAAAGTCATTAGAGGTATATAGACAAAATTAAACAGCAACTGATTGACTTTACGGATGAAGAATGCATGTAGAAGTGACAACCATTCAGTCCGCTGTAACAACCAGGATTAAATTTTGTACCCCTCGCGAATGAGACACAGCGCCAGCAACAAACATACCCCTCTTGTTTCTGAAATGAATAATTAAATCACTAAAATTACAACAATACTCAGTAAATACGAGATATTGAATCAATTCCTAACCCAGGAACATATTTCAACGTACATCTTCTCAACAGCAGTTTCAACACACGGAGGCGGTACCGGGAAAGAGAGAAATATAACAACGACCCCATTTCCCGAACATCAGCCGCCCCAGCCAATCACAGCCGCCCATTTTGCAAGCAGCATTGGCTCCAGCCATGGGAACTCCGATATATGCCATTTCAAAGCTCAAAACCTCACCAGGAAACAAGCAAAAAGCCTCCCCCCCTCCGGAACCACACAATGGCGAGCAAAATCACGCCCTTCCTCCTCCGCTCCGGCGTCCGCTGCGCATCGCGCGTCGCCCGTCCTCAAGCCCGCGCCTTTTCCATCACAGCCAGCCGGCCCAGCGACACCCTCCAAGTGGTAAAGTCTCGCCCTCCCCCAAAAACCTCAATCGCTGTGTCGCTGCAGCCTCGCCCATCGCAATTGCGCTGCGTAACCACCCCTCGAAAGAGAGAGAAAGAGCCGGATCGCCCATTGAGACAGACACAAGACGTTCCAAGAAGTTCGCTGACCTCGGATCGATCTCCCAGCACCGAAACACAGCCGACAACAACCCCGACCTGCCGTTCAAGTTCAACGCCCAGAATGAGAAGCTCATCGCCGAGATCCTCAAGCGCTACCCTGCTCAGTACAAAAAGGCCGCCGTCATGCCCCTGCTCGACCTCGGTCAACGCCAGCACGGCTTCACCAGCATCAGCGTCATGAACGAGGTCGCCCGCCTGCTCGAGATGCCCCCCATGCGAGTCTACGAGGTCGCCTCCTTCTACACCATGTACAACCGCACCCCCGTGGGCAAGTTCTTTGTCCAGGCCTGCACAACGGTACGCATTCCTTGATTGCTCACTCCTACGACTCCGTTTTCCAATCTTCCCCATTGGCGGCTTTGGGGAATCACATCACATGTCACAGCTACAATTAGGAGGGGTAGCATCATATCATTACATCCCCCCGAAAAAAACACCAGATATCAGAAAGAAAAAAAAAACTTGCAGCTAACCCCCTGCCACACCAGACCCCCTGCCAGCTCGGCGGCTGTGGCTCCGACGCCATCGTCAAGGCCATCACCAACCACCTCGGCATCAAGCAGGGCGAGACCACAAACGACGGCCTCTTCACCTTCATCGAAGTCGAGTGCCTCGGCGCCTGCGTCAACGCCCCCATGATCCAGATCAACGACGACTACTACGAGGACCTCACCCCCGAGACCACCGTCAAGCTGCTCGACGCCCTCAAGGCCTCCGCCGCCTCCGTCGGCGGCTTCGCCAAAGCCCCAGTCGCCGGGCCCCTCACCGGAAGGAAGTCGTGCGAGAACAGCGCGGGATTGACGAACCTGACAGCAGAGCCGTGGGGCGCGGAGAAGACGAGATCCGATTTGTAAATTTACTATGGAAGGGATGGAAATGAAATGCAGGGGAGGAAGGGAGAGGACGGCGTTTGACACGGGTTTTAAATGTACATAACGCCATGTTGAATGCCAGAAAAAGTATAGATCAAATCTTGGTGGTGTGTGCGATGATTACAGTCAAAGTTGATAATGCATGCGCATGCTCCTGAATAAGAGGACATTTCATTCGTTATATTTCTTTTCATGCGATACTTTTTTTTTTTTTCGCAATCTTGAGTCATATGCAAAAAAATATCAAAAAAGAGATTGGATAACAGAGAAAAAGAAACAAGATTCAAAAGGGAAAAAGGTTTACGCAAGTCGCATAATCCATCCCTCTCCGCGCCGCCTATTCATATCATCCACGCCACCCCAAATCACAATTCCAGTCTCTTCCAAATCGAACATCGGGGCGCTGGCCAGCCAGCCCCGACCCCTTGGCACTTCCAAGACCTCGTCGTCATAGGGGCCCATGGTTACCTTTGTCCATTTGCCTTCGCCAGTCTTACGGCCCACGGCTGAGAACATGGCCGCCGTGAAGCTTGCGGCAGTCATGCCCACCGGCGGAACCTGGAACACCCACACGTCGTTGTGGGATTTGCCGACGCCGTTGTAGCCCTCTGAGCTCGGGATGGCTTCACCCATGGTCAGGACGAGGTACTCGGTGCCGCCGCCAAAGGTGATGGCTTCAAGAGAAGACGCGCTTCGCGGTGCGGGCCAAACCTGGACGTTCTCGGAAGGAATCTCATGCGAAGAAGCCTCGGGCATGGCCTCCACGATAGACTGCCAGCTACCACGGGCTCGGACAGCCACCTCGCCCCGAGTAACACGGTCATCGAACATTTCGATCTCGAGGTTTAAGAAATCGAGCTGGCCTCCAATCTCATTCTGTCCGTCGTATCCACCAAAACGGAAGATTCGACTCTTGCTGATGCAGATGGAAGTGCCGCTACGGGCAGGTCCTGGCGCTGCAGGCAGCTCAGTCCACATGCGCGAGTGGACGTCGAAAGCCCACAGGTCACTAGTGCGGTCGCCGTTGGTTAGAACACCGGCATGCACAAAGAAGGTGCCGTAACCGCTCGTCTCCTCGTCAATTGCATTCTCGGCAACGTTGCCGACAATGGGATCCTGGGGGATGCCCGTCTTGGAGGTATCACCAATCGCCCACTCCTGCCAGGTCCGAGGCTGGGTTGGCGGGGGAGGGGCAAAGTCGCGGGGCCGATCCGTCGCGGTAGCACTGTGATAGCTTCGCGGTGCTGGATGAGGCACGATGGATCCGCCCTTGACGGCCGGGACGGGGTCGAGATAGGTCCAGAGTCGAGTGCGGGTATCAAAGATCCAAACACGACCCCCTTCATCCAGAGGCCTCATATCTGGCCCACCACGGCCGCCGTACAAGAAGATGCGGGACCCAATGACGGCGGTTGCATGCCCAACTCGTGGTGACGGGACATCGCCCAACTTGTCAGCCCGTCCTTTGCCCTTATCCGCTGTTGTCGGCGTGGCTTCTCCTTGATCGCTCTCTTCAGTGGGATCATTGTTGTCGCTGTCACTCTCTTCCTCTTCGAGCTCATCGCCAAGGTCTTCAGCTTTGGCTTTGGCCCTGGACTTGGAAGGCTTGGCTGCTTCGTCTTTAATGCCCTTGTCCTGAATCGGTGCCGGCGCAGGGATCGTGTGGTCTGGCTTGGCCGGGATCTTGAAGTAGTCGGCGCCGGCGCTGCTAAAGGGAAGGCGAACGACAACAATGTCATTGTCAACGGGTTCGTGGGGGGTGATCTCGCCACCAAAGATGTAGGCGCAGCCCGAGATGATGTCAAGAGAGTGGGAGGAACGAGGAACCGGGGGCAAATCGATGCGCTCCCAGGTGCCTCTCAGGCCATCCTGCTGGGGTTGCCTCCGGAAAGCATCAAACGAAAACTGTGGCATGGCCGGCAGAGAAGGGAGAGCGGGCAAAGAGGGCATCGCCGGCATGGAGGGCATGGTGGGCATGTTGTTCTGCGCAGCTTGCCACACCTCCGTCGAACGGCGCTTGATGGTGCCGCCGATGTTGTCCATGGTGTCGATGGATGGATGGCTTCCCAGAGCTGGCCGGCAAGATGAAGATGCAGTGGTGATGACGAGGGAGAGATGCGAGGATCAGGGCAATGGGAAAAGACCAGCTCCGGCGGGAAGAGGAGAATTGGAAGGAATTAGTGAGATGCAAGATGGTTGGCTGCTGACTTTGACTTGCTGTGGATGGGAGAACGATTGAGCGTCGGGTGGATGACGTACGAGGAGCTATTTCAGTACTACCTGGTAACGGGTGCTGGAGGTGCTCCCAAGTCCCCTGTAAGAAGAACAGCTGGAGGAATCTCGGAGGCCCTACGGAGCAAGCAGAGGACACTACAGTACACCAAAGCCAAGGGAGCCCCGATTTGTGCAGCTCATCCGTGCCGACCGTGGCCGAGTCTCGATCGTAAGTGGGCTGGGCTGTGATTCTTCCATCCAGAGGGCGAGAGTGGGGACCGTATTCAGGACATGTAAGCATGGATGAGAGAGAGGCGGAGCAGCTGGACGGACTTGGGGTCTCTTCCTGTTCTTTGTGCTAGAGTTTAGTACTATGTAGGTAGTGTAGCTAGCAGGATTAGCACCAATGCATCCATCCATCCTGTATGTAAGTCAGCAGCTTCCAATGCATTGCAAATGGATGTCCTTATGTGGCTGCTGCTACTATTGTATGCCAGACAGGTGTGGACGTGAGCTGACGGTAAGTCGTTAGCGGGGCTTAGCGTGCCGTTTGACGCACTCAGGCATTGATGGACCGACTATTTACGGCCTGGAGTGTTCAATGGCTTGTCAAACACGTGTCAAAGCAATTTGATGGAATGGATGTGGGAAAATGCACTGGTAAGAGCAGCTATACACGTATACATGATATACATGGACACCTGATGTGAGACTGTAATAGAATGGAGCAAACGCCCATCGCCGAGCGCCCGATAATACTAATACCTACCAAAAGCTTGCCTGAGGTTATGAAGCGCGATCTGTGAAGTGGGAAGTGGGGGAACAGCTCCAGCTTCTAGCTGTCGAATGGAAGAAAAGAGGCCTCGCACTCTGCCTTGCCTTGATTTGGCTGCCCCTCTCTGGCCGACTTGCATTGGATCTCAAGAATCATCCGATACGACCACGGTGAGCTCCTAAAAGGGTTGCATGACAGGACTTGAGGACTTGAGGAGCTGCCTGGCTACAAGGATATCGTCTTCATCGAGATCCTTGCACGGGTTACGAGGCAAGCAAGATGCCTAGCGGTACGGAGAATACGGACAGAACCAGCATACAGCTCCAGTCAAGCTGCTGCGCCATCGAAAATTGATTAAATAGGACTGATGGATCATTTTCTGCCTGCAGAGCATTGCATTCCGACCTACCTAAACTGCGGTCGATGCCCCGTGGTATAGAAGACTACCTACTAGATTTCCGAAGACTGAGCCTGGTCCCTTTTGTGTACACTAATCTTCAGTAACCATGGAGGGAAAAGATTCATCCTATTGCTTCATTTCCTCTTACAACTTATTTACAGCATCACAACGCTCCCGACCGCAAAGGATACTCAAAGCGGTGGAATTGCCGCGTTGATCCCCCCTGCATATGTATGAAGCTGTTGTTGGTTGTGCAAAATTCATCCAGAAGGGCGTCTAAGCCACATGAGCCCTGGCCAGCGCTATGGACTGCGAACCTATCATCTGTGCTTCTCGGATGAAGATATTCAGATCAACCAACAACACAAGCTTGCTCTCTCCCAGTTTCCTGACGGCATTCAGACTATTTTTATGCCAGAGCCTCGTCCACTTGCCCCACGAGATCCTACATTTTATATCTATTCCCTGCGACGTCGCATTCATCTTGGCCATTCATCTATCGCCGACGTGCTCAGCCATGCTCGACAACCCTCTTTGGCAGCCTGCAGATCTCGAGTTGTCGTACGAGCGGCATCTTGGATGTTCATTTTCCCAATCAAGACTCCATGGCCTTCGGTAAACAACCTTCTTTGCCGCTTGATGCTTCTGGGTTCTGTTTGAGGCCTACCAACTTGCTGCATGGCCGGCGCTTAGATTCCGGGGCTCGCACCCCTGTCGCGGCCTGCCACCCTCTCGGAACGTTTCATCCATCAGGCTCTGACTGAACCCAGGATGGTGGTGGCTGCAGTGTCGCGCGTATGTTCGCCATATATAGATGCCCTGCGAGCCCACATGACTCCGTCAATGTAGACATCAGATATGCTACTCCTCGCGAACCATCTCCCGGTCTAGCTCTGTTAACATTAATTACTACCCATATTTCTGCCTTCTTTGATATACTTTCAAGATTCGTATCCATGGAGGAGATTTATGAAAAGCTTAGCGCGGTGAACTTATGGCAAGGCTTCGAAAACTCAGATGAGGGGTCTTTTGATGTCGTCGAGGCATGGCTTCTGCATTCGACTGGGGAAATCCGCGTCAACCGCAAGACCGTCCGCGCGAAAGAGCTAGATGACTGGCTCTCTGAGGAAACAGTGGGCGATGGAAGCACAAGGGAGTCTCTTGTTTTGCGTCTAGCCTTGATAAACTGCGATATCAAAATTAGACAGCTGAACCTCTCCAAAGATGTCATGAAAAGACTTCTCAATGCGTTCGGACTTCGACTGGCTTATAAGTACTCCCAGAGTTGCATCACCAACGTGGCTGCCATCCCACCACTATCTACACACCACCAGACCTATTCTTTCTGCTACATGCCTAAACTGGCAGCGGTCTGGGCGCATCGCCGTTTCGATGTCACGAACCAGATGGACCGCCCGTTTGTTACGCAGGGCCTCATATTCCTTGACAAGTCCAACTTAGCATACCTCTCCGAGGCTTTTCGCACTCCTTGGAGTCCCTCTCTCTATGAAAGCTCCATGTTTCCGGCCTTTCTACTTAGCCTCATCCTGAGCACGCAGATCCATCAACAGGAAGAAAAGATCAAGCTGAAAATCCGCGCGAGTGAGAAGTGCACGGCGTTTCAGACAACAAGCCAGGACTACGACAAGAACATGATGAGTCTATTCATTGACCTAGCTACCCAGGCGGAAGGGTGTGCTGTAAAGCTCGGCAGCTTAAGCAGGAAAAGCAAAATGGTGGAAAAAACTCTCAATTTTATCCTGAAGCACATGAATGTACCGGACCAGGGCAGCATCGGAACACCGATTTCATCCATCTCAACTGAAGCCTGCCAGCTGCTGCGAAATCATGTGCTCCTATTGCAGGATAGGTTGGAAATGCAGGTTGTGGACATAGAGTATACTCAGAAGCGTGTGCAGCTTCAAACTGGCATGGTAATTTTCCCTGACCAAAGGCAGAAATCGTCTTTACTGACATATTATAGCTCGCCGGCCTCATCTCTAGAGGCGACTTCAGAGCAACTCTCATTTTGGCAGAGTCTCAACATCGAGACTCCCTGTCCATGAAGACCCTAGCCATCGTCACCATGCTCTTCCTCCCCGGAAGCTTCATTTCCGCCTTGTTCTCAACGTCCATGTTCGACTGGGACAGCGTCGATCCCACTTCGAACAGCATTGGAGTGCGAACAATGCCTCAGTTTCGGTTGTACTGGGCTATTACTATTCCGCTTACGATTGTTACCTTCATACTCTTCTTCCTATGGCTGTGGATGACGAAGCTACGAGGGGATGCTCTGAGGAGAAAGGGAGATAGTATCAAGCAAAACTTTTTCGACAGACTGTCCGAGGAAGAAAAGGCAGAGGTGGATATATACCAACCGGGGAGATTGCGAAAGGATACGGAATTTACCAGGGCGTAGTGGAGGCGTGATGAGTCTGACTATGTGTGCTCCTGCAGGCAGCGGTTTGGTCCCCCCCCTTTATTGTCTGCTTATGAGAGGGTGTTTTCCTTTTTATTTCAGAGTGATTCCCATTTTCTATTTACAGCAACTATAGCGTCCTATATAGTAGCATTGATGAATGAATGCAGGTGATTAAAATCTCTCCATGTCTTGTCATCGTCGGAATTGATCGGCACGTGGTGAAATTGTCTACATTGTATGCGATTTACTTGCAAGAGGGAATTGCTAGGTGGAAACGAATGCCATACTGGTTGAATGAATAAAAATAAATTTCCACTTAATTGATTTCTCATTGTATCTATATGGAGAAAAGTGCGCATTTCATATCATGACATGGATTTTCTATGAGTAGAAGCCGTCCATTCCATTGGCATCAAAGTTCCAATTCTAGACGCAAGTCAGAGCTACCCTGCTATAGGCAGTTAAGTCGCGAGCTCAAGCACCAGACAAGAGCTTCCCCCACCAACGCTTAACCTCTGCTTTGCATCACTCCAAATGCTCCCTCGATTCAAGCACCAATTTGCCGCGGGGCAATTGCACTTCTCTTCTTGAACTACAGGCTGCTGGCAGAAAGCGGCAGGGTTCTTCTGTGCAGATCTCCAAACTCTGCTAATTATGTCGATTTCTATCGCTCCATAGAGCATCATTCTCTCGACCTGTGTCGGGCTCCATGGCTGCTTATGCTTCCACGGGCGGCATTGTGCCCGCGCAGCTGGGCTTCCTGGCCTTGTTCAACCCCTCTCTAGGCCAGACGGACGAGACGATCGACGACCAGATCGTCTACTATGCCTCCGTTTCGACACAATCTTCCAGCCGCAAGCGGAGGCGCGCGCGCACGAGACCGACAGATGGGCTCTCCCAAGAGGAACGCCACGAGCGACTGCGACAGATAGGTCTTGCGCAGGGAATGGTCAGCTTCGGCCGCGATTTCTCGGACGGAGCCCCGGTAGACGCCATCGACACAGAAAAATCGAGGGTGATTGCGCATGAGCTGGAGCCGGGATGGTGGATACTTGCTGTGAGCCCTGAATAGTCGGCTCCAGAACGGTGGTCAAGATGAAATGCTGACCCAGCTGCTGATAGAGTATCGACTTGAATAAAGTGCCTCTACCACCGCGGCTACCTACTAAGACGGGGGAGCAACAGGAAGAGAGATACGAGTACTCGAGCCGGGAGATGAAGCCTGCTACACTGCTGATGACGGATCTTCTGCGAGCACACAGCATCTTTCTCTTGCATCATGGATCCTCGCTGAGCGCCTTGTTTGTTCGATACCGCCGAGTGAAATTCATTGCACTGCTGAGTCGGTACTGGGATCTATTCCTCTCCACCTGGAATGTCATGCTGCACGGAAATCCAGCAAGAGACATGTTTGGCGGAATCAACTTGGCCGCGTCCGGAGAGCTCGGCGTGGGTGTTGGTGAAGAAGATCGAGGAAGCGGGGAAAGAGAGGTGCTTGAGGGCTTGGTGAGCAGGGTGGAGGGGCTCGTTGATCTTGTCGTCTCGAGATTTGGGCCTGATGACCCCGAGACAGAATCTAGCAAGTCGGATAAGATCGAGCTAGAGCCATGGTTGGGAAGTGGTAAAGAACCTAGTGCCGAAGACGGCGCCATATTCCTCGGTACGGGGACGCTATCACGAAAATCCCTACGAGACGTAACACATTGGATGGAAGATCTTTATACCTGGGGCGAACACGCTTATGGTCTCATTGACAGCCCAACCTCTACGCGACGCGCCAGAGGCAAGAAGTCGACATCAAAGGTGCCGATTCTGAACGACGGTCAGCCCCCAAAGACAGATGCAGCACCCAAAGCAGCGGAGCCTACAACAGAAGCTGGCGAACCTCCGAGCGATGCCCAGGATACTCAGTCAAAGGCACCGGAAGCTGGATCGAGCCTGGCAAGTCCTGAGCTTGAGGCCGGAAGGCTCGACAAGATGGTTAGCTACTTGACACTAGGATACGGTTCATATTGGTCGTTTCCTGGCGGCGGTGGTAACTCGTCAGAGTCAGCCAACCAACAACCTGCAGCTGATGGCAAATCGAACGCGGAACCGCATCTCCAATCGCCAAAGCTGCCGTCTCCCTTGGAGTCTTCGGGCCACTACCTGATTGGCCTCAAAGGCGACATCGAAGATGACTCGGCAGCTGTGAACGACGTGGAAGGGGCCCTCGGCTCAGATGACGCTGAGGACGGTGACGACAACAACTCTCGCACCGTCCTTCGCACTCTCCACGTCGAGCTGGAAGGCTCTTCTGCAGAGAACCGGCCAGAGGGCACCGTCATTCGGGACTTCGAGCACGAAGCCAATCCGTTGACTCAATCCCAGGCGGTGGGCGGGATGCTCGCAGGCTTCGACTCGCACGACGTCAACATGGCGGAGAAGCTCCGCGTCGTCGTCTACGTCAACAAGCCCTTCATCTTCACGTTCCTCTTCCGCCTCCGCACCGACTCCCTCGCATGGGACACGCTTTACCGCTCGCTGCACCACCAGCTGGCGCCGCTGAGGAAGCCTCTCTTGGCATCAACCAGGTACCGTCCCGAGCGCCCAGACGCCGGGCCCGTGTCCTCCCACATCCAAGACCTCGTATGGGATCCGCCAGCCCTCACCGTCCACTCGTCGATCCCAAACATTCCCGACTTCTTCCCCGATGCGGCGGCCTCTTCGGCCTCCTCTCCATCTTCATCATCATCGTGGTCTCGCGCGGATGCCGTAAGCACTCACCTCCATCTCCTCAACATCTACGCCGCGACGCGGTCCCGTATCGCCGACCTCGAGCGCACGCAAAAGACAAATCGCGGATGGTGGATCGTCTGGACTCGGGTCCTCCAGCGCACCGCCGCTACTACCCCTTCCACGACCACCACTGCCACGGCACAGCCGCTATCCACCATCCATGAGTCCGCATCGTCATCATCCCTGACCTCGCACACAAGCCACGAAGCATCCACCCAGGACAAGACCGCCCCTTCCTCTCGTCGCTCCTCCACGTCCGCATCCTCCCATTCACCTCCGCCAGCCGTCGACAAGGAAATCTTCCTCATCCGCCGCGCGAGCGATCACATCGGCTTCCGCAGGGCCGCGGACGACGGAGCTTCCGGGGGCGGAGAAGGTCTGGGACGGTTGGCGCAGGGAATTGGCGTCGATACGAGGAGATATGTCGAAGAGCTGTTGACCTTGCTGTAAGTGAAGAATAAGGCGCTTTGTGGTTAGAGGCGGATGCAAGGGTCGGGGGTGTTGCTTGGCGCGGGTATGTGATAATTATACAATACGAGTATAGCTGATGCGATCCGCCTATCACTATTTCAAAATTAGGCCATGGCAGGCCACTTGTACGGAGTACCCAGCAATTCAATGGATGAGTTCATGACCAACCTTGTAATTTTTATCACCCCAGAGTACCTATCTAATAATAGGTACACACACATTGGAAACACCGTCACATTCACAGATACTACCTCAAAGTAAGCCAATTAAGACAGTAGTCACTACAACATTCACAACACCAAAGATCAAAAAGCATTCCAAGTGATAGCATCTCAAATAATGGCATCTAAAAGGGGTATGTCATTCCACGTTGTCTCCAATATGAGAGGACATGTCTATAAAGTTGTGTCTATATGTACATAGAAAAGAGGTTATCCCGTTGATTTTGCCCAAAAAATGTGTGTGTCTTTTTTTCCATCCCGGGATATAAAAGAATAATACTGAGTAAAAAATAAACACATCATTTTTCCTATCCATATCGCATTCCCATCCGCGCCAGGGATGATAAGAATCCAAACAAGTTAAATCAACGAATGAAGGGTATACGTGAAAAAAGTTGACTTTGACATCTTAAAAAAGTCATATAGAAAATGTGCACTGCACATTGACAGGTCTTTGTGTCCCTATGCGTCAGATACTCTTCACTACCAAGTACCTAGGTAATAGGCATGATGAAGAAGCACCCACGGCAGCTTCCTCTTGGACAGCTTAGTTGAAAGACCAGGTGACGGGCTCACGACCGCCGTCGAGGCTGCCAAAGAGCTCGAGGAAGACCTTCTCGCTGACGTCAATGTCGTGGGGCGCGCAGCCCATGCACTTGTCCTTGACGACGGCAGTGGTGGTCTTGCCGCCACCGTGGATGGTGATGGTCTTGCCGCACATGGGGTTGCCGTTGGAGACGGAGCCCATGAGGCCGACGGCGATGGCGACAATGCTGGCGCTCTGGTCCTGGCCGCTGTCGTCCTCACCGCAAGAGCCGAGGCCGATGGTGTAGTAGGTAATGTCACCGGAGTACTCGTCGCTGCTGGCGCTGCTGCTGCCGACGCTGTTGTCGGGGGCAGAAGCGGGAGCCTGGCTGGGAGAAGGCGAAGGAGAAGGAGAAGGCGAGGGCGAGGGGGAAGGAGTGGGAGTCTCAACCGGAGGGGGAGGGGGAGGAGGAGGAGCCGCAGAAGAAGTGGTGTGCTGGACCGGAGGAGGAACCACGACAACCGGAGCCTCAGAAGTAGTGGTCTGAGGAGGAGGAGGAGGAGGCGGGGTGAAGACCGAGGTGCTGGAAGAGGCAGCAGCGGTGGTTGGCGGAGGAGGAGGAGGAGCCTGGCTGGTGGTCGAGGTGGGCTGCTCAGTGGTAGAGGAGCTGGTGGGCTCGAAGAACTCGCCAGCAGAGGCCGAGGCGGTGGTGGTGGCGTCAGGGGCAACGCTGGCAGTGGTGCCGTCGTGAAGCCAGACGGTGGTGGAGGAGTCGATCAGCTCGGTCACGTAGTCGGTCTCGGTCTGCCACACGGTCTCGGTGACGACGACATCACGGGCAGCGTGGTGGTGAGCGTGGTGGCCGTGGTGAGGCTTGGCGGCAGCAGCTGCGACGAGCAGGGCAGAGGCGAAAGCGTACTTCATTTTTGCAAGAGTTTGTTGAAGGAGCGGTTTGTTGTCAGGTGGATGTTCTGTTCAACAGGAACGTGATAGCAGAGTGCCGTAGAGGCAAAGGGTTGCAAAGATTCAAGGAATGTGGGTTGCAAGAGGGAAAAGAGTCCTGCTCTGAGAGTGGGAATAGATGGACTTTGAATGAGTCGGATTTGCTTTGAAAGGAAGAGACGAAACAAGAGCGACCGGGGGGGGGAGAGGCGCCGATTTATGAATGGGATTGCAGCTTACATGGCTCCAGGATTAATACGGAGCGCTAGAACAAGCTGTTGCCGGGGTTGTGCGCGAGTGGGCCGGACGTCGGGCTTTGACTCCCTGCTGTGGCCATTGTGGTTCCTTTTTTTTTTGGTTTCCACTTGGAGTTTTCTTTTTTTTTTCCCCCGATTACTGTGCTGCTAACCTGAAATCCTAGCGCCGCCTAACGCAGCCAGTGTCGATGCACAATGGCCGAGACTGGGTGGCAGTGAGGGTGAGAGTCAAAGTCAGCGAGTGAGGGTGAGGGTGAGGGCGAGGGTGAGAAGGTGATGAGACTTGCAGCTCAAGTGACAACGGCGCATGTCTGCTTGGTACCAACAGCGTGCACTGTCAACGGATCACAGCCGCGCCGAGCTAGGCGGTAGCGGCCAGGCGGCGCTGCCACGTCGCTGCTGGGCGCTGCCATTGGCCGCCAGGGGCCCGTAGCGCTGTATTACAGGGGCTAATAGCCTTCGCGGGCTCTGCAGGGGCCGCCATCCGGACCCGTCGCAGCGTCGCAGTGCCAGCCAGGTACCCGGGCAGCCAGCCAATGGGCGGTCGCCGGTGCCTGAGGCGCCGTGGGCCCTTCGGAGCAAGATGCAGCAAGATTGGCAGGACTTGGGCATGAAAACTCTGCGGGTCGCCAGTGGGCCTCGTTCGAATGGATCAAGTGCTTTGTTCACCACATCAAACAAACTCACTTGCCATCGCGGTGGGGACACGCGTGAGAGAAAAACGCCTTGCCACGCAGGTTTTTTTGTTAGTTCTTTCAGTCCAGTCTTTGTCTCCTCTTTCTTTGTGGGTGAACGGCTTACGTGTTGCATGTGCATGTGCTACCGTCTTTCATGACTTGTGCAAACCGACTCCCTTTCAACTGGATTGAATCCTCCCCCCCACCCCCCTTGCTCACAAACGGCATCCCGACAGTGAGGGAATTGAAATCTTTCCTCGTCTGCAGACCCGCTTCTGCCTCTCTCTCTCCATCCACTTGGATCTTGACATTGACATTTTACCGTCCGGCTATCGAGATACTTTCCATGGGGACATGGACTAACTTCGACAACGGGACGCGTGGTGCGGCTTTTTCTCGTCCTCTCGGCTGCAAAGAATGAATCCATCTACGCATGTGGCTCCCCGTCACAAAAGACACCATCTTGCGCCATCCTTATAAATGGAGTGCGCCTCCACGTGCATTGTCACTGCATTCCAGCCCAGCACACAGAGGAACAAAGTCCACGCTCGGAGATGAGGCGAGTCAGAGGTGATCGGCCCCTCTTTTCATTCCCAATACTGTGCCGGTGTGGATGGCGGTTTAATAGGGTCAATATGCGGTAGGGGCAAGCGCACAGTATGATGTTGATTGGGGGCGTCGACGGGCCATGTGTTTTCCCGCCTTCGTTGTGCTTCCGACCACGCCGACCAAGGCACACTCGTCCAGTCTAAAATTTTGTGGCGGTTGACTCCTTTGCGCGTCGTGGCCTGCCGTCTAACTTCGTCCATGTATCCACCGCCTGTCTACCAACCGGATGTCCCTATCCAGGGCAATTGTGGGCAAATAATGGAACCGCTGCTGCCTCGGGGCTTTCGCTGAAAACTCGAAATTGGTTCCGGAAAGGGACGACTATTGCCGTTTTGCAGACCCCGAAGGGCGAAAAAGAAGGGAAAACAAGGGCCAAGGGAAGAAGCAATGCAATCGCCACAGCATCAAGAAAATTTCTCAGCTCGACGCCCACGTCTCGCGTATGCTAGCGCTTTGCCTCTTTCCCACTGCTCGGCTCGCCATCCCCAGCATGTCTGAGCTGGCAAGATGAACCTGGGCGAGATCGAGCCTGCGCCAATCGTTAATTTCGCTCAGCAGCTGTAACCGTTCCACGGCATCAATCTCCCCCGCACCCTTGCTTTGCACAGCAATATGCCATTCCTGGCTCGCTTGACAGTGTTTGGTGGAAGTGCATGCAGGCTCCCTCCCGGCTCTGTTGCTTTGCTGGACCGTGTTGGTGCAACCACCGGCAGGTTTCGTCTTCTCAGCGCCCTGCAGCAATGCGGAATTGAGAGAGAAGAAGAAAAAAGAGGAGTCAGGTCCAATCACGAGGAAAACGGCCATCGGTTGTCGTGTGTCATCAACTTTGGATTTGTATTGGGTCAGCATGGTTGGCTGCTGTGCCGCTCTTCTTGCTCGAGGTGGTGCCACCTGTCGCCCGCTTTCTAAAAGTAAAAAGGAAGAGTGACTCTCGCTGAAACACTGGCCTGTCCTCGTCGAAAATCTCCTCGACCACAAACGCCTTCTTGGCGGCCTTGACAAACTGCATGTCCGCTCGTCTCCTCTTCTTGAAGCAAAAATACACCACGGCGTTTTCGTTGAGCTCAAACAGGTCCTTGAGCGTCTGCATCAGCAGCGGAAAGGCCGGCTCAAAGTAGACGCACTCTGCCGCCAATATCACGTCCGGTTTGCACGCCACGACGGCATCCGATAATGGCTCGCCCCTGGAAATTTGCACGCATTGTGTTTTGATCAGCCAAACTTGGTCTACAAGATCGAGAACACGCCACGCAGAAGTATTGGCAAGCAACGTAGCACCGCCAAGAACAAGTCCCCGTGCAGGCAGCGGTGCTTGGTGGGTACTCCGGAACACACCGGTGGGAATTACATGTGAGATGTGCAGCAAAAGTCACAACGTACCAGTCCAATATTGAGGCCGTAGCCTTACCATCGAGCTTGTTCAGCTGAATATTATGCTTCATCAGCTCCAGCATCACATCCTGGTCGGTTAAGATGAGTGGCGCCTGGAGGTCGCAGCCAGCCGCCACAGCTAATCCGACCAGCCCTCCGCCGGCGCCCAATTCCAGTCTGCACGAGAAGAAACTGAGTCAGCATCCATTCGTTCCGTGTTTGCTGCCTGCATTCATCCTGGCTGGAGGAAGAAAAAAAAGTTGCTGCATGAGGGGCGTAGCCCAGCGAAATGCACAGAACTGGAGAGAATATCAAGGAGCGAAAATTTCTCACATTCGCGCAGTCTCTAGTTTGCTTCTGTGATAGCGCAGCATGTGCTTCCCCAGCACCATGCCTGCAGGCCACGTCTGGCCTCCGCAGCCTGTTCGCACGTCCTCGTGGAGCTTGATCGACTGTGGCAGCAGTCCGTCGAAGTCGATGCTTGCGTCGCCCGCTGTTTTGTAGGTGGGCAGCGACACCATGTCCTCGGTGATGCCCGCAACGGGGTCCAGGTCTGGCGATGAACTGCGGCTGTCCATGTCTGTCTGTATATCTGCGAAAGCCCTGCCGGTCGTAGAGGATTCGACGGAGAAGAAAAGAGGTCTGACGGGATGAAGTTGAAAGTGAAGTGTCGTCAATATTGTAATCGTATTTCCCCCGCAGCGGCCTGTCCCTCTTTTTTTTTTGATAGATAGTGCTTGCCTTATCATGTTTTTCCTGGTCACGACGCTGATTCCGAAGGCCAGACCCTCAATTGTTCCGGGTCGCCTGTCAACGTCTCTCACCTGCCACAATCGGCCATGGCGACTCGAGATGAATCGTGAACTGATGTCGCCCCTGCTGTCGGGCTACAAGGATATTGATTGACGCCTCGATCGTTCATCAACAGCGCCGTTACATTGCCCGAAGCTTATTTGCACATACACACTGACTGTGGGGCCAGCGCTTCGACGACAACTGAGCTCACCAAAGCTGCCTCTGAAGCCCTCGTGTAGAACCAGAGACATGGCCTTATCATCAAGGGAGGATTCGCGCTGCGTGTCTCTTTTTTTCTCTTAAAGTGCCGGCCAACCCTCCCCCGCCTCTTGTCTCTCCTCTCCCCCCATTCTCAAAGTCCAAATAGTTCGAGTCGCCATTCTTCCGAGTGGCATCCCATGTCTCACTGCCTGCGCGGGGCATCTCGGGCTCAGGAATGCCACAGCCTCTTTAACCAGCTCTCTGGCGATGTCGAGCCTGCTGAAGCCCTCCCATTTTCTGAAACATTTCGCCTCTCGTCGTAATGGGCCGGCCGGTACGCTGTCATGATTCCCTCGGCATTTATTGGCATCTTCTGGTGCATGATGGACTTCGAGGACTAAATGGTGGAATGAAGGGGCTGCGTCTTGGTTTATACCCAGCCATCCACCTGACGGGACTCAATATGGCACTTTATGCTGTCTCTTCCTTTGTAGTTTGCAGATTTGCTCCTTTTCCCCTTTCTCATCTATTCCATCTTTGCCTCCTCCAAAACGTATTCTCTCAGTTGAAGCTCTTGGTGTCTACCGCATGGCTCTTTTGTGTGTTTCTGCTATTGAAGCTATCTAGCGCTGCATAGCGCAACACATTGATACAATGGCTTCACTCCTCGCGGCTCTTTCAGCCTTGGGCTTGATAGAGGCCGTGTGGGCTGAGCCTACAGTCTCGTTTCCATTCAATGCGCAACTGCCACCAGTCGCCAGGCCAAATGAGCCCTTCTCATATTCGCTCTCTCCGAACACATTTCGATCCGGCACCAATATGACGTACTCTCTAGGGGAGCATCCCAAGTGGTTATCAATCGAGAGCGAGAACCTACGTCTTTACGGGACACCAAAGGACGAGGATATCCCTCCAGGCGAGGTTGTAGGCCAACAGTTTGATCTCATTGCGACAGACGATGATGGTTCGGCTTTCATGAATGCTACTCTTGTCATCTCACGCAGCCCACCGCCGTCTATACAAATCCCGCTCTCGCAGCAGATGGATCATTTCGGGCAATTCTCAGCTCCGTCTTCCATATTATCCTATCCATCGACCGAATTCCACTATACCTTTGACCCGAATACATTTGGCACAGGGAAGAATCTCAACTACTACGCCTCAACCAACGATAACACTCCCTTACCAGCATGGATCAGATTCGACGACAAAACAATGACCTTTTCTGGCAGGACTCCAGCCTTTGAAACGTTGGTCCAGCCTCCACAGACATTCGACTTTAATCTTGTTGCGTCTGACATCGTCGGCTTCTCGGGGACGTGTCTTTCCTTCGCCATCGTAGTGGGAAGCCACAAGCTCTCTGCAGATCATCCAGTTGTTCTTCTGAATGCTACAAGAGGGTCCAAGGCGAGCTACAATGGTTTAGCAAAGGGCATCCAGTTGGACAGCGAGGCCATCCGGTCAGGTTCTCTCAACGTGTCAGTCGAGAACATGCCATCCTGGCTAACTCTTGACCATGCAACGCTGCTTCTGGAGGGAACTCCGGGAGGCGATGACCATTCTACGAATTTCACAGTCGTCATTCATGACTCTTTTGCCGACACGCTCAACGTTTTTGTCGAGGTCGATGTGGCCTCGGGAGTATTCCAGTCAAACCTCGAGGGCGTCAAAGTACAACCGGGGAGTGACTTCAGCCTAGACCTGTCTTCGCATTTCCGCGATCCAGATGATATCGAGCTCAAAGTTGATATCGATCCACAGGAGGGTTGGCTACAAGTCCAAGGGCTCAAGATGTCGGGCCATGTCCCCAAGACGATGACGGGCAAGTTCAACTTGTCCATCAAGGCGGTTTCAAAAAGCACCGGCCTTACAGAGACACAAGTCGTTCATGCCGATCTTCTCTCACCCTCAGAGGCGACGAACACGGCATCGTCCTCCAGGCCTACAACGCCGGCTGGTGCGGCCTCCAAGGACTCCCACCGCCACCACATAGGCACAACAGATGTCCTCCTTGCCATTATTCTGCCAGTTCTTGTTATTATTTTCGCCATCATGCTGCTTGTATGCCTCATGCGAAGGCGGAAGCACCGTGGCACTTATCTATCGGCAAGAAAACATCGGCCCAAGATATCGGACCCAATACTCTTTACTGTGCGCAATAACGACTCAGATCTTGAAACAATCTACCATGCAGAGGACACTGTTCGCTCTAAAATGTCTAATAGCCCTCAGCTGCATCCCAAAGGCGACGGATACCGCGTTGGGGGGAGGATTCGTCCCCTAAGGTCCGGTACACGACTATTTAAGAAAGACGACGGTATCTTTGCAAGAGTTGCTTCACGAGTGTCATTAAGGTCATTAGCATCAGGCAAATTGGGCGGTGGATCGGCTATGCGTGGTCCACCATATCCGATGGCCTCGGGGGCTCGGTCTGCCACAGGCGGGAGCGTTAGCCTTCTGGGAGATGATGAAGATCACGGCTCCTGGTTCACTGTGGAGAGGGCAACGGTTGGTGAAAGAAGCCACAAGTCGTCAGACAGCAGGCAGTCTGACACGACTCTACCTGAAGTCGCTCAGCCATACTTGCCCACATCTGGCTTTCTTTCAGAGGCGGGGGAGAGTGCATTCAGGAGCGGATTGGATCTGACTCTGCCTTCGTTCGATGACTTGGCCAACATCCAACCCATGCCCATGGCGGCAAAACAAACGTCGGGCCAGCGAGCCATCTCTCCGGCCTTTTCGGCCACGACATCGAGCTCTGCCGCATTGCCGACAGATCTCGCTCTTATTCAAGAGCCATTCGACCCCAGCCTAGTCAGTCGAGCAAAAGCGACTGCCAGGAAGCCCGTGTCTAATACAAAGGAAGCGAGTGAAGCAGCAGAAAGCGCCTCAGAGATAAAGCAGCCAAACCAAGCGCGACTTCCAAGCCAACAATGGCTCAGCCGCCGCGGCTCCTCCTGGAAAGAAGGAGACTCTGTCAACGGGGCTAAGAGCTTCCGCACCGAGCCGTCATTCGGGTCCCAAGAGAACTGGCGCGTCATCGGACGACGGGACCCAAGCGTGGCATATCTGGAGCTCGTAGACGAGACACCCTTTCTCCCGTCTCGAACGAATTCGAAGAACAACCTGGGGCAGCCGGAAGAGAGGCACAGTCTCGAGCTCATGTCCCCGAGCAAATGGGGCGAAGACGAGCGGAAGAGCACAATACGGCCGATGCGGTCGACGAGTGTGCTGAGCGATGAAAGCTCATCTGTGTTTGGGGAGCGGGAAGCGCTGGCAAAGGCAAAGGCGACGGCTTGGAGGAGAGATGATTCAGCGGCCAAGGTATCGGAAAGGAGCTTCGTGGCGTTTATATAAAGAAAGAGAGAATGAGCTTTTTTTGGTTGGGTTTGTGCTTATTTTCTCTCTCCTTATACTGTCATTAAGAGCAATGTTGGATACCATATGGAGGTTGTTAATCTTTTTTTCCCCCCCCCCCTTTCTTTGCTTGAGAAAATTAGATGTAGTTCGCCTGATGAATTACGTACCTACTATATTACCTTTGTATCACATGAGATTTTTGAAATGATGACTGGGCTGCGTGTGAACCTTGAAGTCTATTGCACTTGATTGATGTCATTGATGGTTCAAGCTTGTTTTTGTTGCTGTGACTGTGGCTGGATGTTGTTGGATAAGGTACCCGCGTATTCAACGCTCCCAACATTGATATCCAGCATCCCGTGTCGTAAATAATACCGAATACTAGAACGAATTTCATCATAGTAGTGGATTTGATGTTTTCGATCGAAAGGAATAGCTATTATAGCAGATATTAGAGAAATACAGAGGCAGTCAAGTGCCGAGTACTTGCCATTGCAATTGCAGCCGCGCGGTAACCAGGGCATTGAGTACTAATCAATCGCTTGGCGCATGGAGGGGCTGCCCACGGGATCGCGGGGCTGTCAATCCAAAGCTGCAAATCTCATCATCAAACACGGCAAGGCAGTCCAGTCAATGCTCGTGCTCTAGGCCCTCTGGATTTCTCCGCTGCCCCAGGTCTGCCCGAGCTAGACTAAACATAAAATAGAAAAAGCTCCGCATCACTAAAGAAAGCACAGGCATCTTGAGATTGGAGATACCTGTTTGGTCCAGGCAAGTGGCTTGAAAGGTGCTGCTAGCACGCATGCAGCAGCTTCGCCACATCTGCCTATCTGCCTATCTGCTGCCTAGCGAGGGCCAAGGGAACCAGTAGCGGACGAGCCTCTGCTGGAGCGAACCGCCGTAGCGCCCACGCTGCAGCGCCTGCGGAGAAAAAAAAATTGACCTGGAGACCTACGAAAAAAAAGAGGGCACCGGGAAGCCCGTTCACAGCACAAAGAAAAAAAATAAGTGTGGCGTTGGCCTGGCTGATGTATCGCGGTACCCCGCTTCCTGCGAAGCCGATTTTGCGCTCTGCTGGCATCACAAACCAAACCACCACACACAATCCTCCATCCGCCTGACGTCCGGTGTTTTTTCCTGCTCGCTCCGCGTCCTGAGATCCAACAGCCCACGGCCCCTGCCGAGGTCTCCCGTCCTGCCTCTCTCGCCTACAGCCGCCCTCGTGTCGAGTCTCTCGCATCTCGTCGACGTTTTCCCCCTCCCGTTGCACTCGATCCCTTCCTGGCCCCTCGTGAGACGCTGCAGCCATGGGCCAAACCCTCTCGGAGCCCGTTGTCGAAAAGGTGCGTGCCTGAGCTGCGATGCTGCTTGTGAACTGCTTGCTGTTTCTGCTTGTCGCTTGATCCGGGGCGCGCCAAACTGCCTGCCATCGCCCTCAAGCTGTCCTGCCGCTTGGCTGCCGGCATCCCGCGACGCAACATCCCCCTCCAACGGTCAATATCAAACAATACTTGCGCGGCCTCGTGCCGCTTTGATCTTCGCCCTGCCTTGGTCTCGTGTGTCCCGCCATGAGGTGTTCAAACAGGATCGCCGTCAAGCCCACGCAGAACAACCCCGCCGCCCACAGCTTCCCGCACTATCTCGCTCGTGGCCTTTTCCCCCCCAAGCCTTGCCCACCGTCTCTTTGTCTCGAATGGCCCTCGCAATCGCTAACAGCTTTCTCTTCACCACCATCTAGACTTCCGAAAAGGGCGAGGATGACCGACTCCTCTACGGTGTGTCGGCCATGCAAGGCTGGCGCATCAGCATGGAGGATGCCCACACGGCTGAGCTGAATCTAACCCCACCTGACAACGACATCAAGACGCACCCCGACAGACTGTCCTTTTTCGGAGTCTTTGACGGACACGGAGGAGACAAGGTCGCGTTATTCGCAGGCGAGAACATTCACAAAATTGTTTTTAAGCAAGATAGTTTCAAAACCGGCGATTATGCTCAGGGCCTCAAGGACGGTTTCCTTGCTACGGATCGGGCCATTCTCAGCGGTACGCGGCGTGATTGCTCTATATCCTTTGTTTGCGTGCGCCAAAGAGGAAGTGGCGGGGAATGACTTGCGCAAACGTTCCGCCACTCTCCTCGGCGCACATTTTGCAATTATCCCTCACGAAGCCGGATTTTGTGCTAACGATGTGGTGTTTTCATCATCTACAGACCCCAAATACGAGGAGGAAGTCTCCGGCTGCACTGCCTGCGTTTCTTTGATTGCTGGAAACAAGCTATATGTCGTACGTCTGCACACGTCACAATAATTGAAGGCGGGCTGGAATTAATAACATGTGCGCAGGCAAACGCTGGTGATTCTCGAGGTGTGCTCGGTATCAAGGGACGGGCTAAGCCCCTATCCAACGACCACAAGCCTCAGCTTGAAAGTTTGTTCATCCACTCAATCAGTATTCAAGATTGACAATACTGATTGCGTGCCCTTGCGGTTTACAGCGGAGAAGAGCCGAATCACAGCCGCTGGCGGCTTTGTCGACTTTGGTCGTGTCAACGGCAACCTGGCACTGTCGCGTGCCATTGGCGACTTCGAGTTCAAGAAGAGCGCCGAGCTCTCTCCTGAAAACCAGATCGTTACCGCCTTCCCCGATGTCGAGGAGCATGACCTCACAGATGAGGATGAGTTCCTGGTGATTGCTTGTGATGGTGAGTGGGATTCGGCCGATCTTGGGAGGGAGCATGAAGTCGATTCGGCTATACACTTGATGAACGTTTCGCTGACGGATATTTGTTTCCTCTAGGTATCTGGGACTGCCAATCGTCTCAAGCCGTCGTCGAGTTTGTGCGACGAGGAATTGCTGCCAAGCAAGACCTTGATAAGATCTGCGAAAACATGATGGACAACTGCCTGGCGTCAAACTCCGAGACGGGCGGTGTCGGCTGCGACAACATGACCATGGTCATCATCGGTTTCTTGCACGGCAAGACCAAGGAGCAGTGGTATGACGAGATTGCCAAGAGAGTGGCCAACGGAGACGGCCCTTGTGCCCCCCCGGAATATGGTACGAGCGAGCCATTCCCCAAATTCTCACAAGCAAAGATAGACGCCGAGCTGTGAAGACTGACCACACATGTTGCTACCAGCCGAGTTCCGCGGTCCCGGAGTCCATCACAACTACGAAGATAGCGACAGTGGTTACGACGTCGACGCCGAGAGCGGCGGCAAGTTCAACCTCGCCGGATCCCGTGGTCGCATCATCTTCCTCGGCGACGGCACAGAGGTCCTGACCGGATCTGACGATACGGAGATGTTTGATAATGCTGACGAGGACAAGGACCTTGCGAGCCAGGTGTCGAAGGGTTCCGCCAAGCCCGATGCCAAGGAAGAGCCAGAGGCCAAGTCACAGTCAGATTCTAAGCCTGCGGCCGAGTCGGACAAGAAGCAAGATGAAAAGGCACCCGAGGAGAGTAAGAAGGATTAGGTGGTCCTCTCGCCTTGCTCAGGCAGCCCGTCTTGAAGCCCGTCCTTGGCGTTGTTGTTGTCGGCGTGTATGTGTGACATAATTCTTTTTGGCTGCTACTCAAACCCAGGCGCGAGGGTATACTTTAGCAAGGACAAGGGGAGGGGAGGTTTTTTCAGGGACGTGGTGGAAAGAGGCAAGAGGGTTTAGGGGGGGGCGGTTAGACATTGAGTGTTCCTTGTTACACGGTTTCTTCTATCGTTGTTGATATTCGGTGTACCGGTGGTATAATATTTGGATCAAGGAGAGTTGGGTCTCTTGCAGCATCATGGTCTCTTTGACGCCTCAGTTTTCCCCACGTCTTTGGCAGAGGAAAAACCGCCACTCGGATCTTTGATCACTTTTCCGCCTCGTCTCTTTTTTTCTTTGTTTTTCTTTTGTTTTTTACTTATCTTTTTCCTTTTTTTTTTCTTCTTCTTCTACTTTGTCATTGCTCCAGACCCCCATTATTATCATCACTCTGATACCCAACCAACCTTGTCCAACAACATGTCCTTTTTACAAAAATACCTGGGTGACTTGAACTACTTTCTCTTTCTTTTTTTTTTAACCGAAATAAGGAGACGCAGGTTTTGTCGCATTCTGGACATTCCCGGAGCTGGCCTTTCCGTTCTCGTTTTCGCTGTCCTACGTGCCATCGCCTTTGTTTCGGGATTGGCTGATAGTCTTTTTTTTCTGGAGAAACACTTCTCTTTGTCCTACGATTCCAGGCCGCACTATGAAATGAACCCTCTAGGATTGCACGTATGCCGATTTAAGAGCCCTTGGGTGAATCGTCTCAACATCGGTGGGTTTGGAGGGGGGAGGTTAGTACACGCAATGGGTGGGTAGATGGCGTAGAGGCTCTTTCTTGGGGGTGGTATTATGTCTACACATGTTTGTTATACACGAGATCCTGGTATATGCTAGTATACAATGTAATATTCATACAAAAAACAGTCGAAAAGGGGTAGCACTGCTGCTCGTCTCATATCATATCATATCGTTCCATGCCGCCTTTCCCAATCCCTGTACAAGTTCATCATCTGCCTTCTCGGCTCATCAAGCATTTCCTCTGGGCTGGGGCGCCTTTTGCTCATCTCTGGGTTTCCTTCTATTCCGGTTAAGCCATTCCTGGGATTTCTTCTCCCTCTCCTCGTTCCACCTCTGCACCATAGTCTTTGGATCGAAATGCCAGTTCAAGTGCACATTCATCGATTTCCCCCCAGCTACCTCGCTCTCCATCCTAACCGCCAGATCGTCCGTCGGGGCGTCGGCGCCCTCGTACTGGAAAGACTGAGGATACCTATGCCGTAGAATCAGCGGCCAATCCTTGGTCCGCTGAGCAACGTCAAGAAGTTCGACAAGGGGTTTCGCCGGCTTATACCCCTTACAGGCGTGATTAATAGCCCATTCCACACGGGAAACGACTCTGGACAGCCCCTGTGCCTTTTGGTTCACGATAAGACGCCCCATTTCCTTCGACAGCAGCTTCGGTTTATGTCGTAGCCAAAACGTATCCTTGACATGGTCAACGAGGTGACGACGAAGAATCACACGCGTGAGATCCCTCAGCTTATACTCCAACGCAGCGTAAAAGACGGCCACGCCGAGAGCATGCGGCAGCTGCATCCTAATAGCCAGCCGAATCACGTACTGGTACGTCAAAGCATCCGCCTCGCACCCCGACTCGTGAAGCTTGGTGAGCGCCCAAATGGCGGTATCCCAGTCCTTGTACGCAAGGCACTTTTCCAGCACCAGATTGATAGTATCGGCGCCAATCCTGCGGCCGTCTTCAGACTGCTTCTTAATGAGGCTCCGGAATTCGTCGTAGCGGCGATTGTCCCGTTCGTGGAACCGGAAGAACTCTGTCAAGATGCTGTTCATGGCGTCCGCCGTGAACCAGTCATCGCCATATCGCGACTTTTGCTCCGCCATGAAAGCGTCGAGCCGTTTCCCCGACCTGAACGCGACGTAGGCGTCGTGCGTGGCCATGATCCTCGCGATTCCTCTGCGGGTGGCCGGGTCCTGGAACAGCCCCAAGTCGTACATTGCCACAATGATTTGCCTCCTTTCAATTTCCTTTTCGACAAGCTCAAGAAACAACAGCCACGTTCGAGCGTTTGGTTGGAAATAGCGCTGCTCCATCTTTCGAAGCAGCCAGTGGAAAAAAGAAACGTCACGCTTGGTAACGTAGCCTTCAAGCATGATGTTGAAAACCTCCGTGTCCAAGGGAATGCCCCATTCCTCCGCCAAAGTCAGCAGTCGATCTGCGTCGGCTCGATGGCCTCCCTTGTGGGCCATGAACGACATGGCCATCTTTAGAATTGACGGTGTAATGCAGGCCCTGGCGCCGTCGTCCGTGAGAGCACCCATGATGAGCTTGATTCTAATCCCATCCGTATCGACAAAGGTGCCGTCTTTCTCCGGCCTTACATAGTAACGCAGAGCGAGGTGTGGACGCAGCCGGCCACAAACAAGCATCGTAATGTACAAGTCCAGGCTCTCCACTGTCCACTGTTCCGGTTTAGGAGTCTGCTCGTACGGCGAATCGATCCAGTAGGTCTGATGTTCTTGATGCACCCATATGTTATCAAGCTTGTCCTCGGGAATAAACGACCCTCCATCCGCCGCGTCCTCGATGGCGGGCCACAGGCGCTTCTCCTCGTAGCCAAACGCCGCAACCTCTCCAAGTCTATACACCTCAACATCCTTACACGCAGCCACCAATTCCTCCGCCGCATTCGCCAACACAGAGCTCTTTCCGCGCAGGATAATCGCAGAGGGGTCCTGGTGATCCGACGAAACACGCAGCTTTGCGAGCAACCCCGTCGTGGAATCCACAAACTCAATCTTCTTGCTCTCCAGCTCCAGCTTCCACGACTTGGGCAGAACGATTCTCATAGCCGCCATGCTCGACGGCTCGCTCCTCTTGGTCATCATCCTCTTGAGCAAGTTAAACGTCTCGGACCAGTCCGGCGTGGCCTGACCAAAATGCCGCCATATCACGTCAAACGCAGCCTGCACCCTCGCCACCTGCAGCGCGTGAACCTTGCTCTCCTCAGCGGCATGTGCGGACGGATAGTCCCTGACCGTGGGGACAAATGGCGAAGTGAGCTTCCGCTCCACGTCCTCCCTCCGCGCCTGGCTATTATCCTGAAAGGCTTGTCTAAACATGCGATTCCGAGCATTGTTTAGGCTTGTGGGCTTTACAGGCGAGGCTGTAGTGTCGGAGGGAGTCGTCCCAGCTTCTGCGAGAGCATCTTGTGATCCCACAGGTGCCGATTCATTCGTCGAGACGGCTGAAGATGCACATCGCCGAGCCGCGGCCAGCGTCAGCGGAAGAGACGCCGCGGTGCGCCATGGAAGCAGATGAGGTGGACGAGATGCTGTTGGGCGGATGAATTGGGACCGAGTCCTCCAAATCGACTTGATCCCTTGCATTGGTCATGAGGTGCGCATGTTGTTGCTTTATATGATGGCAGAGGGAGGCAGATGGGCCATGATCAATGAGGACTGGAATTGGAATTGCACGGCCGATAAGAACCGATAAGGATTTTCCAGTGTTTCTTTTTGCCTCTGCATTTTTGGGTTGCTGTCACGTGCTACTTGCCCATGCAACTTCACTCAATGTCCACCTACGATCAACAACTTAACCTAGAGCCAAAAAAGAGAATCTGAGAATCCGAATCACAGACATTTATTTTCACGATCCGACTATCAAAATCAAACTGTTGGGTGCTGCTGCGCCAGTCTCGAACCCAATCGCCAGATGCTGCGCTCTCATGCAAGTAAATGCGTAAATAAAACCCAATAGCTCCATCAATCCCTCCCGGCTCTCCTCCCATGTACAACGCCAGCTCCAAGAGCCCAGTATCGCCACCTCCCAACCCGTGGCTTTCAAATTATAGCTCAATCAAGTTCTTTTTCAAACACAAGGGGTATATGCTCAAACCCGTATAACTCCTCCAGAAGCAAGCCGAGGCTCAGTGCTCTGGCTTTTTGCCGTTTCTGGGAGGCTCTGGAGCACTCTTGTCCAGACCTTGCCAGGGATCCGCTCCCAATTCTTTGCCAGAACCGTTCACATCTCGCAGCTCTCCGCTCTCAGCCATCTGCTTCACGTCGCTCCAGTAAGCCAGCTTGCAAACTTCTTCCTCAGCATGTTTTGCAGCGGCGTCGAGGGCCTCTTTGCGATGCTTCAACTCGAGGCTCTTGTCCTCTTCCCACGCCTTTTCAGTCTCTTCGTGAATCTGCATCAAGTACGATAACAGCTGCCTGCGCGATTGCTGAAATATGAACAGCGACATGATTTCGTGCATTTCATGCTGCAGCTCTGAGAGATCTATTGCGTGTGCGACATAGTTCTCGACGGCCTCTCTCCTCTCTCGATCAATCCTGGCAGAGCGGAGAACCTGAAGAAGGGTTTCTATATCCTCGATATCTGGTCGTTCCCGCCCCTCTGCAGTCGATGCCTGTGTCATACTAATCCTGCTTGGGGCCCTGCTTGGGGCCCTGCTGCTGGCTCGACTGCTCTGGGATCGCGGGCTGAGAACGGATGCTGGGCGGATGTGAAAATAGTCGACTCCAGCAAGCATGTTCTCGGTTGAACCATCTTCTGGTCGCTTCCTGGCCCTCTGACGGATCCAGGCACGCCGCCTGACAAACGAGTTCCACCACTTCGGTCCATGCCACGAAAAGCATTTCTGAAAGGCAAAAGAATATTCCCAGCCGTCTTCATCCATGTCATCTTGCTTGTTGACGCGCCATTCAGGCCATGCCCACTCCCATGAAGGATCGGGAACCTGCGCGGTATGAATGTTTGTGGGGGACGGGTTGTGGTATGCATTGGCTAGCGGAAGAGTAAGTCAGATTGTGAGTCTTGTCTACATCATGTTCGTCTGCGAGTCTACTCACTCCAGGGGGTGGGATCAAGTCCGCCGAGAGCTGCGCTGGCAAAGAGACCAACGCCACAGAAAAACCCCCCTCTTTCATTCTCATAGAGGATGTCTATGGCCGTCTCTCGTTGTTCTCTCGACCTTGGCCTTGAGCGGTTGTCCCAGTTCGAGGTATGTGGCGAAATGAGGTCGCCGCTTGGAGCTGTTGTTCAGGTGTTAGCCTGTTCCGTGGCGAAACGCATTGTACCTAACGCAACCTACGGTGAATCTCAATCGATGGTCTTGCACTAGAACGCGAGGGCTCGAGGTTGTTGGCGGTCCCTGCTGTGTTTGACTTGTAGATTGAAGCTCCGCCATCCTTGCCCTTTGATGCAATCGGCTGCAGATGACTTGGATCTCCTCCTTGCGCTCTTTCGCCCTGTTCTGACGGCCGCCCTTGTTCTTCCTCTGTCTCTGCCCCCCGATCTGAAAGCAAGCGCGTCGAGGTGTTTGTGAGAAAAAGGCCTCCGCCCTCACAGCTTGTGGCCTGCAGCGATGGCGCCTCCTCATCATCCGTAATTGTGATCTCGTGATCGTAATCGCTGGGCTGCAAAGTGGCAGCGCGGCGGGAGCCGTGCATCTTGTTTACCTTCGCCGACAATTCATGAGGGAGTTCGCTGTCAAAAATGGACAAGGAGTATGGTAAAGAGGTTCTGGATTAAGGAGCTGAGGTATGGATCGGGTCGGATCGAGGTTGGATCGGCAGAGGGCTTTGGATTCACGTCATCGACTCAGGTAGCAGGCTTGAAAGGGGAGGGCCGCGATGTATTGTCCAAGTAACTGTCACCACTTGATCGTCTGGTATTATAAAAGGGAATAATTATAAAAGGATTCTAGAGAAAGAGATGGAGAAATAGAGGAGCCAAGGAGGAAAGAAGTCTCCAGCACGAAGAAACAGCAACGCTCCACGAGCAGCAATAGGAGTTGAGATTGGACAAGCAGACCAGACCAGACCAGACAGCTGGATGAAGCAGGTTTTACTGCTTGCGGCCACTAACAGCGGCGACTGGGAAGTACTATAATAAATGACCCCAGCAGGTGGGGAGATGCGATGCAGCTGCAGCACTAGTCCCGTCTGATGTTAATGCATTTAATGCATCATGCCATCTACCGTCTATAATTACAGTACATACATCGAGTATAGCTAAGGGGAATCTATCTCTCGACATGTTGCTGTACTCGTACGTGATTGAAGGCATCGTTAGTTGGATCCATGGATGAGCTAAAAATGCCACAGAGCTGCGTTCTGCCTGTAGTTTTGACGCGTGAGGCCGCCATGATGTAATGGCAGGGTTGCAGCCGGCGCGCTAAAAGGCCTTTGCAGCGGCTTCATTGGGCACGTCTGCTCAATTTCCAGGGAACAGACAGGCACCAGAGGAGATGCTCCAGTGGGGTTCTTGTAGGGGATCGACAATGGCGCATGCTGTAGCGTAGGGCCATCGATGCTCTACTGTACACCTGATACACTGATGCATCTATCCTCGTACGTGTACCTCTTGATTCCGACTGCAGATAACAGATCCATGCACTCCGCTGAAACAGCCCATCAGGTGTTGTTCCAAGGCCCCTGTTCACAATGCCTTTATTTTTCTCTTTCTCTTTCTTTTTTTTCTCTCCTTCACTTTTGGATTTTGTCTTACTCCTACTGACTCAACGGTTCAATAATAGTTTTCTCTACCTTAGTACTAATACACATGTCATTAGCACATGCTTTTCCAAAAATCCGGGGTACTTGTACTCGAGGCCCCGCTCCCGCTGCCACACTACGTCATGTATATCCAAGTCACCATCTTTGCATCACCATCACGAAGTTCATCCAAATGCGTCATTATGAAGTTATCCAGTCCGTCCATGTTATGTAAATCGATACAGCAGCAAATGCCAAATTGTTACAAAATCTGTTTCCAGCTTAGCAGCACCGGGAACAATAATCCGTAAAACTACATATTTCTCCAATCAACCAATCCAATCTGCTTGAGCCCGTCCCTCCATCCCGTTTTATATACATCTCTCCAAAACACTTCTCCCTTCCCTCTCCTCAAATTCCCACCTTATTTCCCCCTCCTCCGAATTTACCGCGTACTAGTAGCAATCTCAAATCTTACATACAACCTCTGCTATTTCGCCACGCAGCCAACATTACCCCGTATCCTACTCAACAACACAACATCGCAGTGTAACTACACAACCAAAAGCCTCACCATCATGTCCAAATCACGAATGCCCATGTACCTCGGCGTCGCTGCCATCGGCGGAGCTGGCTACTATCTCTACGGCGCCGGCGGCAATGCAAAGGCAGCCGAGAAGAAGTTTGAAAGTATGCAATCTAACCCACCCTCGATATCTCTCCCCTTTGCGCATGTTATCGCAAACTACCATCTCCGCCAAATACTGATTCCTCATCTCTTCTCCCAGGTGACATGGACAGAGCCTCCGGCAAAATCAGGGCCAAGCTCCCCGGCGAGACTCCCGACGCCGAAAAGAACCTCAAGGGCTACGGCCAAGAAGCCGGCGCAAAGATTGACAAGGCTGTATGCTTCCTTTCCCCCCTTTCAAGCTCTTTTCACTACCATTTATTGAAAATAGAACTGTTTGCTGACACACGCTTCTCTTTCTTTTCGTAGTTTGCCGACGCAGACAAAGAAGCAACCAAGCTCAGGAAGAACACCGAAGCATACGCCAAGGACGCCAAAGCTGAAGCTCTAAAAGCCGTCGACAAGTTTGACCAGAAAGTGGAACAAGGCGCCTCCAAAGCCAAGAGCGGCATCTCTGGCTGGTTTGGAGGGAGCAGCAAGTGAAAGACCCGTTGAAAATAATGCCAGATTGCTGAGGAGAGAAATGGGCGGCGTGTGTCGGTAAGGAAGACGCAGCAAAGACTGTATCTATACCGTGTAACCTAATGTTTTTTTTTATTGATGAAAGAGGGAGATCAAGACCCCCCTTTGCTATGAGCAAACTAGTAATTGAATCATATCCCATTCATTGGGCCTACTATGTCATCTTCTGTCTTCTGAATACTAGTAGGTGTGTAACACCACAGATTGCTCCAAGCAGCTCTGGCACCAGCCGAGAAGGCGACATGCCAGACGCTTCAAAATAATAACAGATAATTTTCACAAAAAAAAAATCATATCCCTTCTTCAAACTCCCGTGCCGTTTTCTAAACCATATATACGCCCCTCCCAAATCACTGCTCCAGCTCCGCCGCAACGAGCTTGAGAATCTCCTCGGCGTTCTTCTTCGCATTCTTCGGATTCTTCGCAACAGACTGCCACACCTCGCCGTGTCTCGGCTCGTTGAGCACACACTTGGTCACCACATCCGCCCTCTTCTCGTCCGTGCCGTGCTGCACCAAGAATCTATAGTACCAAGCCCAGCTGTCGCCGCAGTCCCCGTCCAGCACGAGAGCCTTCTCGAACCAGCTCTGCGCCTTCTCCAGCTTGCGGTCGGCCCAGAAGATGCGCGCGACGGCCACAAAGAGGATCGGGTCGCTGTCCACCTTCTTGATGGCCTCGAGACTGCGGGGCTTCCGCTGTGTGCGAGGCTCCAGGTGCCAGATCTGCTCGACCCAGAGGAGGCCGCTCTTGGGAACTTCCTGGAGCGCCTTGGCCATGAGCGACTTGGCCTGGGACAGGTTGCCGGCGCGCCGCTCAAGACGAACCGACTCGCACCAGAGCTCGCCGTTTTTGGGCACGGCCAGACGTGCTCGGTCCAGAACCGAACGGGCCTTGACAGTCAAGCCGGCGCTTTCTTCCAAGCGAGAGTAGAGAAGCCACAGGGGCACGGATCTGGGGACCGCCTTGACGCCCGTGCTGTATGCCTCTCGAGCCTGGCCCGGCTTACCCAGGTCTTCGTAGATTTGACCCTTTAGCATCCATAGCTTGGCTGCTGCGGGGAAAAGTTGTAATGCCTGGAGCACGAGATCAAGTGCCATTTCGACATTGCCCAATACCCGCTCAAACACAACGCTCTTCATCCAGACGCGATCTGTGGGTGCCTGTTCCCGTGCAATCTCGAGCAGTTTCCGGGCCTGCTCTTCGTTGCCATTCTCTGACTCTAGCTTGACGGCAGCCAGCCAGATGTCCTCGTTGTTTGGGTTCTGGTTAAACGCTCGCTTGAGCACCAGTCTGGCATTGTCCACGTCTCCCGACTGCCACTTCTCCTTGGCCAGCATCATCCACAAATCTTCACTCTTCGGACATGCTTCCACCGCCTTCTCCAAGACCTGCCACAGGGACTCGCGCGTTCCGTGATTCCGCTCAAGGTCCGCCGCGGCCATCCACATGGTCCGGCTATTGACAAACACACGCAGGGCGTAGGCGTAGATGGCCCTGGCCGTTTCGTATTTGCCTCTGTTGATGCTTGACTTGGCGTCCTCTGCCCATGTATCCTTGCGGTCGTCGTCTTCGTCCAGCCCCCAGCCCAGGGTCTCTTGAATGATGTTCTGGCAAGTGGTAATGGCACCTTCTTCCTCGCACTTCTCCGCCTCGCCAATCCATTCCTCACGCTTCGGCATGGCCGACTCCTTTGCCAAAACTTGGACGGCTCGCTTCATGACCGCGCTCTTCTGTCCTTGGCCAAGCTGCTCCTGTAGACGAGCAGCTGCAATCCAAATCTCGTAGGACGTAGGTACGGCTTTTCGAGCCTTGTTCAAAACCTTTTGCGCATTCTCGGGGGATTCTAATCGTGCCAAAGCAAGCCACAAGTCTACGGAAAGCGGGATGAGCTCCGTGGCCTTTGCCAGCATCAGTTTCGCGTCTTCAGGGTCGTCTTCCAGATTTACAGCCTCTTTCCACAGCGCCTCAGATTCGGGGATGTGGTCCAGCGCCTGTCGAATGACTCGTTTCTTGTTGTTGGGTATGGTCTCCATTCTCATCGCCTCAACCCAAAGCCTGACAGAGCGGTTGTTCGCCTCGATGGCTCGCCGTGCGATGATCTTGGCGTTTGGTGAGTCGATATTCAATCGGATATTCTCCAGCCATGCGTCCTCGCTCTTGGGGCATCGGGTACATCCTTGATCAATCGTCTTCCGCGCAGCAACAATCTTGCCTGCCAGCTCTTCCAGACGAGCCGCGGCGATCCAGCCCAGGGCATTGTTGGGGTTTGTCTTGACGACCGATTGAAGCAGCTCTCGCACTCGATTGATGTCTCCGACTTGCGCCTGTGATTCATTCACCTGCATCTTGTTGAGGCTCGTGATGTATCCTTGCGCATCGATACTGGTCGAGCTTCCAATGACAGAATCGCCACCGGCAGTTTGTGAGGCCTGTTCTAGCCTTGACTTCAACACTCTGTCACGGGCAGCACCGATCTTGGCAAAGTTGGTCATTGTGCCATCGGATGCGTCCGTTGTGCTCGTCGCTGCGCCATCATCGACCACCGTTGTGCCCATGTCTCCCGAGTCCCTCGCAGCCGCAAGCACACTGTCCGGCACCGCATAAAATCGCTGTCGTAAAGCCTGCTTGCTCCGCCGGTTCTTGCCAGTCAAGTCTCCCACCTCGGGCAGGTTAGCCCAGTCATCGTCCGAGACCGTGGCCAGAGCGCGCTTCAGATCTGAAAATTGCTGCTGGATCTTGGGATTGTTCCTCTCGTATTCCTCTCGTTCAGCCTGTTCGCGAGCCTCTCGCTGCCGTTTCCGCCGGTCCATTCGCTCGTCTACCCATTCCCAAATCTTATCCGCCTCCTCGTCCTCTTTGTCGTAGACTCCGCCAGCAAACAGTCCCACTTCGTTATCGGGGTCCTGGTACCGCTCGTCGTCTTCCTCCTCCTCCTTGTCTTTGCCCTTTTTGCCCTCGGGCACAAGGCCAAGCTGTGCAGCGCGCTTCGCAAGCGCCTCCTTGATCTGATCCTCGCTGGGGCCGTCACGAGCAGGTCCAAGATCGGATCGGGTTGTGAAACCGGTGGCACCTCGACCCAAGCCAGCGACGTAGTTTTCCGGAGCCGGCTGGCTCAGAAAGTCGCGTCGGGACGTCATCGTTCTGGCCTTGTGAAGCGGACTGTTGGTGTTTACAGCGATGGTTGACAATGGCAAAAAAAGAGCATCTGTCGCGAGCCACAGGCAGCATAGCCTTGTCGGAGGTGTGCAAAGGGAGCTTCCGGCGGGTGTAGATTTATAGGCAGAAGGGTGGGAAGAGCACCATAAATCCACACCCGTGATATCATATCTGGTACCCACATTTCCGCTTATCGATAATTACATCTTGATAATTTTCTTAGAAAAAAAAAAGTTTCCCGCCAGTCCATCGCCCCTCGTCCCCGCGATATCGCCAACAAGCTGCATTTACTATTGTAATAGACCAGAGATCCCATTTCCACCATGGCAAAAGCCGACAGAGCGAAGCGCAACAACGCTTCCAGCGGCCCCTACGAGAAGCCCAGCGGAGGAAGCTCATCAAAAACGAACAATGTCTTCAAGTTCAACACAAACTTTGGCCAGCACATTCTCAAGAATCCCGGTGTCTCAGACGCCATTGTCGAAAAGGCCTTCCTCAAGCCCACAGACACGGTCCTCGAAGTCGGTCCCGGTACCGGCAACTTGACGGTTCGCATCCTCGAGCGGGCCAAGAAATGCATCTGCGTCGAGTTGGATCCTCGAATGGCGGCCGAAGTGACCAAGCGAGTGCAAGGAAAGCCGGAGCAGCGAAAACTGGAGGTTCTGCTGGGAGACGTGATCAAGACGGAGCTGCCAGCCTTTGACGTGTGCATTTCAAACACTCCCTATCAGGTATGCTTCAATCAGGCTCTGTGTTTTGTGATATGATACTGACCAGACCTAGATCTCGAGTCCCCTCGTCTTCAAGCTCCTCTCTCTGCCCAACCCCCCTCGATGCTCCGTCCTCATGTTCCAGCGCGAATTCGCCCTCCGTCTGACAGCCCGCCCCGGCGATGCCCTCTACTGCCGTCTCTCCGTCAACGCCCAGTTCTGGGCCAAAATCACCCACATCATGAAGGTCGGCAAGAACAACTTCAGGCCCCCTCCCCAGGTCGAGTCCTCCGTCGTGCGCATCGAGCCCAAGATGGGCAAGGACCGGCCCAACGTCAGCTGGGATGAATGGGACGGCCTGCTCCGCGTGTGCTTCGTCCGCAAGAACAAGACTCTCCGCGCTTCCTGGCTGGGCACAAAGGAGGTCCTCGCCATGGTTGAGCGCAACTACCGCACCTGGTGCGCCATGAACGGCGTGCCCATCGACGAGAGCGTTGTCGAGGGCGACGCAGAAGAAGACGACGACAACGACATGGACATGGACGAAGGCGCCAACGACGGCGAGGACGCTGGCATGGACGTTGACGACGGCGACGAAGACACCCCCAGCTTCTTCAAGGATCTCAAATCCGCCAGCGCCAACGCCCCCAAGACCAAGAGCAAGCGCAAGAAGACAAAGGTCGCCGAGCTCGTCCGCGAGAAGATCCGCAAGGTCCTCGAGGACGTAACAGAGCTGGCCGACAAGCGATCCGGAAAGTGTGACGAAAACGACTTTTTGCGTCTTCTTTTTGCCTTTAACGAGGAGGGCATTCACTTTTCATAAAACCCCCGATTCCCACACTCTTGATTTTCTCTCTCTGTTTTCTTCCATCTTCCTTCCTCTCTTCTTTTTACTTGAGCTGTGTCTTCTCTGTTGGTTTGATATTCACGACATGTAGTGGTTTCAGGGGGGGCACGCGTTTTACGAAGAATACGTCTTTTGTTAGCTAGAAGACAAAGGTATTTCATGATTCACAAAATGGTTTGGCGAGTGGGGCGTTTCTAGGCGTTTACAGAGCTTTGAAATGGGCATTCGAAGAAGCATCACGTTTTTATCCCTTCACAATACACATATTATTTCAAGCACTCGAATATAAGCAATTATAACAACTCATTTTTTTTTTACCAACAAGTCTACCAAAAAATATATACATCCATCAATATCGTCATCGTTGAAATCATTTTGTTCACTGCATCTTTTCTGCCTCTGCTGTACTGTAAAAATATCTCGGGCATCAACACGCTCTCCTTGTTCTAAGACTTTGCTTGCACCATCCCCTCTTTTTTTCCTCCTATCAAAGAAAAATAAAAAAATAAGAATAAAAATAAAAAGAAACTGTGTGTGAATGGGATCGACCGCCTATCATAAACCGTTACAATTACAAAAATGGTAGTTGCCACTTGCTCATCTATGTTGCGTATAAAGAAACTCCATCCGAATGCCTCGTGTGCTCCCTGTTTTTTACTTTTCATCTTGTACATTTGTGTTTAGAAGGGAAATCTCCGTCTCTGCCAGAGGTTGTAGGCCACATCAAAACCAAAGATAAAAGCAAAAGAAGTAAAAGAAAAGGAACAAAGAAAAGAAAAGAAAAAGAGAATGAAGAGGGAAGGGAAGAGACTCTCCTCTCCCCCTCCTTGTGAGTCTGAACACAACACACAAAGACCCAAAAAAACACCTCGGCAGGGCCAACTTTGACCTTGCCAATAACCGAATAAGCCATGATATGGTTGGAAATTTCAATCCAACGCCACTGCTCCTTAGGAAACCTCGCTATGCGCGCTCAATGTACACAAGCCAAAAGAAAATGTTTGAAAGAGAAAAAAAACCGGAAGAGGAAAAAAATCCACGGAGAAAACAACGCAATATTAACGTAGCATACTCAAAAAGTAAATGCTCCCGTCTTATGCCTCGAAATTCATCGCTGTGATGTTGGGTTCCTTTGGTGGGTTGTTGGCCGAGTTCGGTTTGACAGTCGTTCGTCCAGAGACGGTAGCGCTGCGAATGCGTGCGCTCAGGGGAAGAGTATATTTCACCACGCCCTTGACAATGAGATCGAATTCATTCTGGTAAATTCGCTCCCAGCGCTTGGAGCCGCCCGCCGTCCCATTCCCAGGGTATGGCAGCTGCATTTCACCGGTTGACGAGGAAAGGCCCTGATGGAAGAGTGATCCCTCAAACGTCAGGGGGCTGTCAAATTCGGTTATACGCCCAAGGAGTATATTCGGCTTCGTCTCGTCCTCGCCTCCAGGAGTAGTCGGATCATTGACAGGGTCGTCAAACGGACGTACCAAGTTGTCTTCTGGCCCCTCGGGATTTTCCCACCAGTCCGAATCAGCACCTCCATACTCCGACTTGGCGAAAATCTCCAGGTTCGCATGATCGATGGTGACAACAACAATGTTGGGATTGTGCGCCTTGACGGTGACATCAAACATGAGAACCTGCTCGCTGGTGACGACATTGTGGATGGAAACAATTTCAATGTCGCTTAGGGGTTGAGAAGTCGCAAACATGAAGCCAATGGCACCCGTAATGACCAAGAGGAACATCATGGTAAGGACAAGGCAGGCGGCAAACCGATTGAGATACGACGACCTCCTGGAGTACGACTGTGACTCGGCCTGCCGCAAGTTGTGCGGACCACGCCTGAATCGCCCTGCTCTGCGGCCGTTTTCGAGGAGAGGAGTATGCTCGTCATCTGCACCAGTGGTTTCGTCCAAATCGTAGCTCGAGGACATGTGTATGACTGAGCGTTTAGAGTTCAGGGGTCCCCGCATGGAGGGGTGATTTCTCGGACTGGGGGGGCCAGAAGAGTGACGAGAGTTGACCACCTTGGGCCTGGCCGTATTCTGGAAAGGTGATTCATTGTCAAAGAGCGAAACATGGCCGTTGCCTGGCTGTCGACCCCAGCGGCCTATGTGGTGATGCTGCCGAACAGTTCCTCGGCCAGAACCGCTCGCACTGCGGCCAGTTCCCCTGCCATCCTCGTCGCCGGTCAACATGCCGTCGTTGATGGGGCCGTTGACGTAAGTATTGGAGAACTTCATGCTCTTCTTAGGTGCAGGGCCATGGCTGTCCGTGATACCATATATGGCCCGCATGTTGGGGCGGTCGCCCTGGCTGACTATAGATGTTGCACTGGGGGTGCGAGAGTGGAAGCGGCGCGAGACTCGGTCGCCAACGTCTGGGGGGTTAGAATCATAGACAAATGTTTCTTCCGAGTCGGAGGTGTTAGCTTCATCGACAGCGTTGGCAATCTTGGCTTCGAAGATGTCCGCCTTGGATGACCCTAGCAACAGTTTAGCATAAGAGCAAAGAAAATTGCTTCATGGGAAATGAAAATTGGTTGCTTGAATGAACACAGAGGCAAGAGGAACTTACCATTTCCACTATTTACTGGTTGCTTGCGGGATCTCTTCTTTTCCTTTTTGGGGGGCTTGATAGTCTCCGTGCTCTGCTTCGTTCTCAGAGTTCCATTCATGCCGTCGGGCTTTGGGCCTACGGCAAGGGCCACCTGGGGAATGCTTGCTACGGTCTCGGTCTCCACCGTCATAGTCTGCGTAGAGCCTTCAGGTCTGGCTTTGGCTTGCTTGGAGAGCATAACGGCACTCGACTGCCTCGAGAGCATGGGCGGAGGGACAGAGGTGGTTCTCCTTGAATCGGCCCTGCTGTCGCTGCCATTCTCATGACCCGGAAGCATAGGTCTGGCTCGCAACGTCCGGCCTCCATCAACATCTGATAGATTGTCGGCGGCGTATGAAAACTTTTCCCCAGCCGGTTCGAAGAAGGGGGAGTCCTGCTGGCGGCGGAAGCGGGCTGGAGCATTGGGCTGGCTGACTTCCTGAACGGTTTCCAGAGGCCCGCGGCCCGGAGATCGGAGACCGGACGCCATGTGTAGGTCCTCGGCTTCGCTCTCGCTGGTGGCCAGGTACTGAGATGAATCTTGCAGGACGGGAGATGGGCTAGGGTGCTGTACGTTGATAAGAGGAGGATCCTGCTCGCTCAGGCGAGGCGTGGTGCTGCCGTTTCTAAGCAGTTGCAGAGGAGGAGAGCGTACACGGGGCGACACGGGCCATTTCGTGGTGTCTCTCAACTCGGACGACAGTGCAGGCTTTTGCGGTGCGGGTGCCTGGACGTGGATCTGCGAGTCTTGGGTGGCGGTCACGGGCACGAGGGTTGGCGTGGTGGTCGCGGAGAGGCTTCGAAGACCGGAGGCAGGCCCGCCGAGGGTTGAGGTTGACTGGACCTGGCGAGACGGGCTCTGACTCTGAGCCTTGTGGCTGTTATTCCGTGATCTTGCGCCGTTGATCCTGCCCGACGTTGATGTTGCTCTCCGGGGATGACGGGTCGGGGAGGGGTCTCGGGAGCCCATGGGTGAATGGGTGACGGAGTCGCTGGCGGACGAGTGTGTTGACGTCGCCGTGGCAGTGGCACTTTCGCTGGCAGCGGCACTGACACTGGCACTGGCACTTGGATTGGCACTTGGATTGGCACTGGTGCTGGACGTCGTACCGGACTCTGGCGCACCAGGTGTGGGCTGATGATTCGCCATGTCGGGCCCGGCCTGTGTGGCGCCCTCGCCGTCAGTCGCAGCAGCCGGTGGCCTGTTCATGGCTGTGGATATGGAAACAAGTCGTGGGTTCGCAGAGCATGCATGCCAACGGGGCAAGCCTCTACTGGGTGCTGGTGCTTCGGGATGCTGGTTACTGGTTTGGTTCTGATGAGTGGGAACGGGTGCGAGGTTGACGGCCTAGGCCCGGCTCATGGTGGTTGGCTCGCCGAAAGCTGCGATGCGGGAGGATCGGATGGAGCGCGATGCCCAACGTCGAGCCCTTCTTCCCTTGCGTGGTCGTACTCGTACTAGCTCTTGGTGTTTCTGGCTGGATCCTGGAAGCCAGCCAATGGGTTCGCCTCGCGGGGGGGCGTCAGCGGAGCTCAAGCGGTGCAGCAGATGGAGCCCAGAGGGAGTGTCTGGAAGCAAGCTCGCACAGAAACTGAATGACAAAAAAAAAGAGAATATTATTTTCGAGCCGGGGAAGAGGATGACGGGCCAGAGAACGGGGCCTTTGGTTTTGGGACGCGGAGCGGAAACAAGTGCGCAAAAGATGACACAATCAAATCGGGTTGGCCAAGATGGTGGGACTTTGCTTCAGGGCCGCGCTAGCACCAGGAGCAGGAAGGTATGGAAGGGTGTGGGAATACGATGGAAGGGGAAGAAAAAAGAAAAAAAAGAAGAAAATAGAAAAAATGAGTGAGACTGTGAGACTGGACTGTGAGAGGCGAGGAGAGGGAGTGGTGCTAACTCCATGGAGGGAACTTGGAGCCGACGGGAGGGTACCCAAGGTGGTATGAGCACATGTACAAGTACATGCGACTTGGCCGCAAAGCACCGCGACCTGGCGGTAGCACCAAGTACAGTGCGTGGGGGAAGTAGAGGGCTTGTACCCAGGCGCCTGCGGGACTTGTGATTGGCACAGGTGAGACAGCGAGATTCGGCGGTCGGTTGATGAAAAAACGGGCTTGTTGCAACACCAAGAGCTCCGGTTTTCTGTGTCCAGCGGTAGGGCCTAGGATGGGAGGAGAGAGCCCTACGGTGCTCCATTCGATTAGGGGACCAAGGGGAAGGCGACATGCGAATAGTTGTCTCCTTTTCCATCGGCTAGAGTAGGGAGGATTGGATTTCAATGGTTTCACTCGAGCACTATACTTGAAGGTACGAGGGCCAGTGGTGTACGAGTACGTGTATCATACGAGGATTTTCTTAGTATTCGTACTTAGTAGGT